CTTCTTTAGTTTCTTCAGCTGGAGGTTCTTCTTTTGTTTCTTCGGCTGGTGGCTCTTCCTTAGATTCTTCAGCTGGTGGTTCTTCTTTAGTTTCTTCAGCTGGAGGTTCTTCTTTAGTTTCTTCAGCTGGTGGCTCTTCTTTAGTTTCTTCAGCAGGAGGTTCTTCTTTTGTTTCTTCGGTTGGTGGGTCTTCCTTAGATTCTTCAGCTGGTGGTTCTTCATTTGTTTCCTCAGGTTTATCTTATGTTTCTTCATTTTAAAGCTCGTCTTTAGTTTCTTCTGCTTATTCCTACTATTATTATTCTTCTGGGTTCTCATTTAATTCTCCCTCTTACTATTCCTGCATAGCATAATTTTAATTTATTCTCTTAAATTCATTTTAATAATCTTATAATCTCATAGTTTAATTTTAGCTCTCAAAATTTTAATGCTCTTCATCTCTATTATCATTTTTTTCAAAGTATTAATCAGATTTATTAAATTTACTATTTTCTAATTATGACTATGATTATTTAGTTTAATTGTCAAACTCATTATCAAGTAAATATTAACTATTATCAATTATTTCTCCTCTTTTTTATATTTTTTTTATAGCTTCCTAGTTATCAAATAATTTTTCTTTTGTATTCGCTACCTACTATTCATTTACGCTTAGAACATTCTCTGATATAAGAAAGCTTCTTTCATATTAATCAATCTACAAAAGATTGTCTTTATTTACATTTGATCGTAAATTGCTAAAATAATACAATTATTTAAACTTTTTTCTTCTTTCTCTATAATGTTGACGATTATCAACGAAATCTTTTGGGCTACAATGACTGGTAAACAATAATAAGCATAAAAATAATGTGACTGAGTTCTTTGCCATCACCTTTTGATGACTTGATAATATATAAAATATTCGTTTTTAATTGTTTAGAAATTTTTAGAAATGATCAATAAATAGGTGATTGTTTGATCCATCACCTTTAAAATTCCTACTTTAAATGTTTTAATGATATAGCTTAAGTTTAATGATTGTAAAATGTATTCTCAATTGAATAGAAAAGTATTATTTTCATTAAAATGCGAAATAAATACATTTTTTACTTGTTAAGTAGTAACATATATACATTAAAAAATAACGTAAGTATTTATAAATAAAGATTATATTTCTCGGAGAGTTGGTTTAAATATAAATCCTTCCACTATTGCATTGTATATTTGATATAAGCCAACTTAAAATATACTGTCTCAAGATGAATTTAATGCACCTTAATCAGAAATCCAACTAAGCAGATTTTTTCATAGATATTAAAAAAAAAAGCATGATTTGTAAGTTTCCAATTCAAACTTTACAATCAGTAGGTTGAAAGTAAAATAAATCCTAAAATAATAGTGCTTGATACTTAGGGATATATTAACAAATTATAAAGAAAGATGGCCAATAGTAATAATCTAATGATGGATAAAATATTCAAATTCTAAATCACCAAATTTAAATCCATTTGCTTAAAGACAATAATTTTAGCCATATTCAAGCAGTTTTATTAGCAAAATTAGAAAAATTGATTCGAACTTGTTAAAGTACATATGTTCAAGGATATTAATATTAATTCTGATGAGGAAGATAGAAATTACTTTGAAGAAAAGCCTCCAAAGGATTCAGAGACTTTGAATCTTAATCAGAATCTGATTTAGAAAATTGAATTTCAATAAATTAAATATAGAAGAAGTTTAACAATGCCAAGAAAAGATAGATATTAATAATTAAATAAGGCGATATAGGATTCGTTTACAATATATTAATTATAAGTCAAAGGAAAATAGTGATTGAGAATAAGAATAATAATTTTATTGAATTTTATATATTATTATAGGATTATATTATAAGAACCTTCATCTTATTTAGTATAGTTCTACATATTTAGGATCTTCTAATTCTTTATTAATTTCTTACCTCATCTTAAATTTTTACGGTTTTCCTGTAATAGTTTAAGGAAATTCATTAACAAACTTAACAAATTTAGGAATTTTGTAATAAGCAATTTTCTTATGACAATATTAATAGACATCTAGTCCAGTAATTTCTTCTGCATTTTTCTTCATTTTAATTAAGGCAACAACCTCTTCTCCATATTTTTCATCATTGCATCCAATTACTTGAACTTATTCAACTCCATTCATATGAGATAAATATTCTTCTATTTCTTTTGGATAAATATTTTCTCCTCCTCTTATAATCATATCTTTGCTCCTTCCAACAATAGCAACATATCCATCTTTATCCATGGTAGCAATATCTCCACTATGCAAGAATCCATTTCTATCAATAGTTTCTTTAGTTGCTTTTTCATCATCCCAATATTTTTTCATTACACTATAACCTCTAGAACAATATTCTCCAGGCGTATCAAATGGAACTACATTTCCATTTGCATCTATGATCTTTACCTCTGCATTGAGAGGGCATCCTACTTTGGTTGTTTTTATTTCAAATGAGTCAGTGGTTTTATTTTGGCAAGTGATTGGACTACATTCTGTTTATCCATAACAATTTGAGATATCTTTTACTCCTAAAACATTAATAATTTATTTCATAAGTGCCTCTGAAGCTAAAGATCCAGCAATTAATCCAGTTCTTAATGTAGATACATCATACTTATTTCTATGTTTTTCATACTCATTAAGATATTCAATAAACTAAAATAATTTAAATTTTAAACCATTGTTGGAACACCATAAATAGATGTACATTTATAATTGGTTATAGCTTCTAAGGTAGCAGCAGCACTAAATCCATCACTAGGATAAACCATTGTTGACCCAAAGTTTATACAAGCTAAATTTCCAAGAACCATTCCAAAACAATGATATAAAGGCACTGATATTGCTACTATGTCTTTTTCTGTATAATTTATTCTTCCTCCTACATACTTACCATTATTCAAAATGTTAATGTGGCTTAAAGAAGCTCCCTTAGGTAAACCTGTTGTTCCAGATGTAAATTAAATATTTGTAATTTCATCTGGGTCTTAACTCTCCATACGACTATCTACTTCATAAAGGTGATCTACATTGCTTATTGAAAATATATCTTTAAAATTGTAAAACCCTCTTTTATGAATGTTATCAATTATAATTGCAGCTAATTTTATAATAATAAGTTTTAGATACTTTTTAAATATGGCAATCTCTTTGATTAAAGATTTCCTGGAACATCCAATTCTGGTGCCAATTCCTTTATCATAGCTACATAGTTTGAATGCTTAAAAGTGGATTTCATAATCAATGCTTTACAACCAACTTTATTAAGTGTATATTCTAATTCTCTGCTTTGATATGCAGGATTAATATTCACTAAAATTAGATCTGCCATAGCAGCAGCAAATTAGGTCAATGCCCATTCTACATTATTAGGTGACCATATCCCAATTCTATCACCTTTTTATAATCCTAAAGCTATGAAAGCAGCCGCAAGTTCTTTACTCCTTGTATACAATTCAGAATATTTCATTTCAATTCCCTATAATTATGATATTATCTATTATTAGTTTCTTATATACCGCTATGTTGTCTGGGTATTTCTCTGTTATATCTTTAAGTTACTATCCTATTGTCTTGTATGTTAATGGTATACTAGAAGCTCCATGATGATAGGATTAATAATATCTTAAAAGTTTTTATAACATTTATTTAAATTAATATGTATTTCATAAATAATGACGCTCGATTTAAGGTATCTAATATGGTGAATTTATTTAAACTGGGATTTAATTAATTATTCTAAAATTTGTTTAAGTTTATAATAATTTTAATTTTTCTTCTAAAATTCTCATTTCCTCTTCGTGTTTTTCTTCCACAAATTCAAATTATCTTCTTAAATCTAAAATCTAAGATTTTAAAATGACTATTTCAGCATTTAATTATTCATTTTCCTCTTTCATACCATTTGTATATTTTATCATTTAATGTAAGTTTATTTACTTTAATTCTAATTCATAGTTTTTATCTTTTATTTATTATTCCTTTAAACTTATTTGAACTATTTATTATTCAATATGATCCAAATCACTTAGATTCTTTCTCTTTAACCTTTCATTTTCTGTTTCTAAAAGCATAAGTTCTCCTTATAATTTATCATTTTTTTATTTTACAGAATCTATTGTCTTAAGTTTTTCAATTAGAATTCCATTTTATGTTTTCAATTCACTTATATCATATTATAATTAAGATATCTATTGTTGAGATTATAAATTTCTATTTCTTAAATTTTAGATTTCAATAATATATTTTGTGTCTTAATTTTTATCCCTTTCTTCTGCTGGAACACATTTAAAAATTTCCAATTAATCTTTCAAAGATTAATTTTCACTTGTTAATTGACCACCTTTATAATAATTGCATAATAATACATAATGCTGAAGTATTTCTTAATTATTCCTATAAAGATTCATTTTACTCGTAATAAATTTCATAACCATTTTTGTAGTCTTTTAATTCTTGTTCTAATTGTTCAATTTTATTCTTCAATTATTTTTTCATTTATCTTTTTTTGTCTTGCACTTTCAGAACTGCTGTTGTTTTATAAAGTAGTTATTTTTCAAGTTCTTACACTCTAATTGGTTTTTCTTATTCTTATTATACTGTCAAAGATTTAACAGGTTATTTAATTTGATAAGTAATTTATTTATTTTGCTTCTCATAGCAAACATCTTTTTGGAGCTAATCAATTTTTTTATTTAATTATTGAATTTCATGTTCTTGATTTTATATAGTGATTTCTTTATTCTGTATTCTCTCATTTAATATTCTTTCGTTATTTTACGCAAGTCTGAAGTGCTAGATAGTGTTCTCCTATTTTTAAAATTATTCATTTAATGTTTTTATTTATTGTTGCAATGTTGGAATCTATTGTAATTCTTGCATCAGTTCTGTAATTTTTTGTTCAAGCTTTTTTTCTTTTTTTAAAAAAGTTAATTCTTTATCATCGAATTTTACCTTTTAAGCTCTAATTTGGTTGAGATTAGATGGTGCTGGTTTGAATTACATTTTTAACAATAAAAATTGTTAGTTATAATTTAGTATTAGACTTAATTGATTTCAAAGTTTCTTTTAGTTTTTTTAAATATTACAATTAAAAGAAAATGGCAAAAAATTTATTCATCTTCTTTCATAGCTAAGCCTTATTGTAATATTTTATTATTTGTTTTATTTAAAATTATGAGAGAAAATTTAGGTTAACCACACATAAATTTTTTTATAGTTTTTTTTTGTTAAGTATTTATTTCATTAGAGAAAGAAGAAGAATTTTCAGAAAATATGAAAATAAGATGAGTAATAAAAATATAATGATAATGAAATATTATTAAAATGAACTAAGAGCTTCTTCATAAATTTTTTAATGATGAACCATTTAAATCTGAACGTATGTGTGGATTAACTAATTTTGTCTATAAGGTTTCGACAACCAAACAATCTGTAATTTATAGACGTTACACATCTACATTTCGATTATTCTAAAATCGAGAAAGGGAAGTAAGATTATAATCAGAACTTGCATAATTAGAATTAGCACCAAAAGTGTTATATTCTGATCAACTCTAAAGAATAGAGGAATTTTGGCCATACCTTCCTGTAACACTATCAGAAATAAAAGAAGATTACATTGAGGTAGCTAGAATGCTTGGTTCATTCCACAAACTAAGAAATAGAAATTCGTTTGTAGAAATCTTTGATACTCCTTCTATTTATTAATGGTTACATAATACTAATTTAAGAGATGAGATTTTTGATGTTATTTTAGATTCCAATTGTTAATAACTATATACAATATTTGAGTAGGTATTCTCAGATTAAAACCAAACTTTTATTTTGGAATTATTTAAAGATCCTTCCCTTAGAGAATTGCCACTAGTTATAGCACATAATGACCTTAATGCTACTAATTTCTTAAAAGACTAAAGATTAATGAAATATCATTTGATTGATTTTGAATTTGCAGGATTGAATTATCCAGGTTATGAATTAGCTAATTTTTTTAATGAGATGGAATGGGATTATACATTTTCAGAGCCTCCTTTTTTTAAAATCAAAGAAGGATGGTAGGAAGATTTAAAATTAAATTTTCTAAGAGAATATTGGAAAGAATATGCTAATTCAAATGAAATTCCATAAGCACTCTTAAGATAAATTGAGATAGGAGGAATATTGTAAAATTATTTTTGGATGTTGATTGGTGGACTTTCTATGCAACAAGAATAGCAAGGAATAGACTTAGTTTATTATGTAAATAGAAGGATGATGAATTTTAATAAAGTTTTGAAATTAAAACAATGATTATTATCCTCTAAAATATTTTTAGGATTATTTTTAGAAAAAAGTTTTCTTTAAAGATATGAATTGTAGAAAATTGTATTTAATCAAATTAATAATTAATTCATTATTTTTTCTTAGCACTATTTAACTACTCCTATTCAAATTTGTTTATTAAATTGTTAATGACAAAAAACAAATTTATATGATTCTTTAATTTTTTTCACAAATAGTTAACAATTTGTCACTAAATGAAAAATATATAATTGATGATTACATTGTTGAATATACAAAATAAATTTAAATTATTTATTAATGATAAGTGACGAGTTGACTTTGGAAAAAATAGATTTTGATTGGGTAAATAGTTAAACAAAAGTCGCTCCTTTAAAAAAGGCTCTTAAACTTTTAGAATTAGATGGAAATTATTATACAGATTTAATTAAAGCTGTAGAAGAGAAATTGGTTTCTATAGATCCAAAATATGCTAAAGGTACTTTTTTTTTTAGATTTTTAGTATCTGAGGTAGTTATTGATCCAATCGTAAAGAAATAAGCATAAATAGATGTTGAAAAATGGGCTGAGAATCCAACATTGGAAAAAAATAAGCGATTGGCTGAATAAGAGAAAATTAAGGGAAATGAAGCATTGAAATCAAATGATCTCAAAGAAGCTATAAATTATTATACTTAGTCTATTTAATTTGATAGATAAATGGCTGCTTCATATTGTAATAGAGCATTGGTATATTTGAAACTTAAGGAATATTAAAATGTTATCAATGATTGTGATTATGCTATTGCACTTCAATCAGATTATACAAAGGCTTATCACAGAAGAGGAAAAGCCTATTTTGCTCTTAAATAATATGATAAAGCTTATTTAGATTTTAAGTACATCCTTTAAGTTGAACCAGACAACAATGAAGTAAATGGTGAATTAAGAGAATGCAGAAAGTTTTTGACAGAGTAATAAATCAATTCAGCAGAAAGTAATAATGATTTTAAATTTTAGATAAATAATTTATTGAGAAATCGGGTGGTTTTAAGAAAGTGCAAATTGTAGAAGAAGATGAAGAGGAGGAAGAAATACCTATTTCTAAACAAAAATAACCTGATTACAGTTAAGAATATAGTGATATTATGAATAAAAAGAATGAAATTACAAATAGAATATAAAAAGGAGCATATTCGTAGTCGATAATTGAATTGATAGAATTGTTAAAAGAGAATCAAAAATATGTGGAATAATAAAGATTTATAGAACTGAGGGCAATATTATTAAGTAATTTGGCTTATTGTCATCTTTAACTTTAGGAATATTAGAAGGTGATAGAATATTGTGGGAATATTATAGAAGATAATATTGCATGGGATATAAAAACGAAAGCTTATTTAAGAAGAGGAATGGCATATGAAAGATTAGATAAGGTTGTTTTAAGCAAATTGGATTTCTTAAGGGTTAAAGATCTTGATCCAGGAAATTTACAAGCATCACAAGCGCTTGATAGACTATCAAAGATAATGAGTTAAGAGGAGAATAATAAAGTTACTAAAATTAGAGAAGAGGAATAAAATAAATAAGAAATTAGATCATAATCTATCAAGCAATAGTAAGAGGAACCAATAAATATACAAAAATAATAACCAGAAATTATAAAAAAAACAATTTAAGAGGTGGATGATGGATAAAAATCTAAATTATCTGATGCATAAATCTCAACTTAACTTGGTAAACTAAAAGAATAAGGTAATACACATTACAAAGCATAAGAATTAGAGAAAGCTATTTAAATTTGGGGTGAAGGAATCAAATTTTATGAAGCTAATCCAGCACCTTCTTAAATATAACTTTATTTTTAACTCTTAACAAATTCTTGTCTTTGCTTGAGTTAATTAAATTAAAATAATCAAGTAGTTGAATTAGCAAGTAAAGTTCTTGCTAAAGATTTAAATAATTAAAAAGCCTTATATAGGAGAGGTGTTGCTTTTTCTAGTTTAGCTATGATTTCAGATAAGTTAGAAGAATAAAATGAATTATTTGGAAAAGCAAGAGAGGATTTAGAAAGACTTGTTTGTTTAGATTCAGAAAATAAATAGGCAAAGGATAAATTATCAGAAGTTTAAAAATTACATGCAAATTGTAGAGGAAAAATAAGAGAGAAACAAGAATCTCAACCAAAGCAAGAAAAAAAAGATGAATAAAATAATGCTTAATAAGAGAAGCCAGAGTCATAATAAGTTAAAAATTAATAAACCAAATAAAAGAGTGTTAATTAATAATAAATTGATTAAATTGGATAAAACTTAACTGTGAATGTGATTTAAGATTTACTGAACAAGAAATAACTGCCTGAAACTGCAACAATATTTGAAAAGAATATGAATACATTCAAAAAGGCAACCCCTTCTTAGATTATTGATTATGTATTTTAAGTTGATAATCTTTAATAATTGTATACTACCAAAGATTTACCTACAGATATCTTATTTTTAGTAATAAATGCAGGTTTAGCTTTGAAATAGGATAATAATTATAATGAAAAAATAAAAAGTAATTATTTTGATTGAATTTAGTTATCTTAAGAGATCGTCTTCCAAAAACTCACAAATTCAGTCTCTGTGTAAATATGATTTCAAAAAAAGAAAAAGGCTAAATAAAAGAATTATTAGAGTGTCATTAATTAAATGACTTGTTTAGTTTATATTTGATAAAGTGATAATTGATTTATGATTTATTTGCAATAATATTCATTTAGTTCAAACTGAATCTAAGTATTAAATTACTTATACGATACTGATTCTATCATTTTCCGTTTTAGCTAACATTTTTGTAATTAATTTCTTCATATTGTCTGATATTTAAACATCATTTGGAAACTGTACACTTTCATTTTAAATCATTTATTATAAATATTGAACTTTTTCATGATACCAAGGAGTTTTTCCACAAAGCATTTCATAAAATATGCATCCAAGTGACCAAACATCAGATTTTATTGAATAATATTCTTACCCAATAACCTAAAAATAAAAAAACTATCTACTTAAGGACTCATATACAAGGGTGTTCCAATCCATGGAGTATTATCATTAGCTATCTCTTTAATTTATTCTTCCATAGCTTTAGATAAACCAAAATCAGCTATTTTTATGACATTATCTTATAGTAAAACATTTGAAGGTTTTAAATCTCTATGAATGACGTTTTTCTCATAAAGATATCCACAACCTAATTATTAAAATGTTAATTATACCTAAAGCCAACTATTTAAAATAAGGTAAAGCATCAGCTTGACTAAGTCTTTTTCTAACTTGTATCAATTTTTCTAATGTTCCTCCAGAACAGTATTCCATAAAAAAGTAAATGTTATTTGGACTTTCAACTAAATCTTCAAATTTTACAATATGAGGATGTTCTTTAAAAAATAATAAATAGCATATTACACATTTTGCTTGTATTGTCAACTTCATTCTGTAATCTTTCTGTAATCTTTTGTTTCTTTTTTTCTGCTAATTCCCTGTTTTCAATTTAGTTTAATTGAAGAACAATTTATTCTTTTGAAATTACCTATTAGTAGAAATTCATATAAACTTTGCAAGCAAGGTATTGTTGAGTTTAAATGTTTCGAGCCAAATAGGTCTTAGCGTATTGCCCTTATCCAAGTACTTTAACAAGAATTTCATATTTTTTCTTTCCAACAATTTTATGGACCTCGTAATTCTGATTTTACATTATTTTTTTAATAAATCTAAAATAAAATTGAATAACATATATTCTTTGCTTTTTTCTAATATAAATCTCAAAATACTTGTTTCAATTATAAAACTCAAATATAAAATTTTTAAGATTTTGCTTATAATGTAGAATTAATGTTGAATAAATAAATTAAAAATATCATTCACAAGGGGTTCTGCAAATTGGGCAAATATTTTAAGTTTAAGTCCATTTTTGAATACAAAGTAGATGAAAAATGTGAGTTTCATGACAAGTAAGTTTCTATCTTATTTATCCAATCTTTAAATCTTCAAGACAAATCCCACATTACAATTATGATTTATTAATTATTTTTTATTTCTTTTCCACTCTAGACGAATCTTCATCAGCAAACTATGAATTGATTATATAATTTTCATACTTTGATATTAAATAAGAATGGATCTTCATCATCTTAAATTTAATGAAGTTTCTTGGCCATATATAATATGATTTAACTCACAATAAGACCTTGCATCACAAAAGTATCAAAATACATAAAGGAAGTTTTAGTATAAAGTTATGATTTAGTAATTTACATGAGCTGGAAAAATGGAAATTATATCAATCCATAAATGCATTATATACACCAAAAACAATAAGTTATCCTTCTTAACCATTTCATTTTATCACTAAAATATATTGATTTAATTAAGATAAACCAATTTCTATAGCATTTTTGATTTGGATTCATCAAATGTGGATCTTCATTTACAGGTATCTATTTTAAAATTGTTATCATTTAACAAGTCATAAAGGAACTGAATATTATAAGAAAAAGCGACTGAACAATGATCATTATAGCAAATATTTTAGTACTTAAATCCTCGAAATTATTATAGATAGTAAATACGAATAGTGATTTTAAAAAGTAATAGAGTGATGTTACTATTAAAAATACTATTCCTAAAAAAATCACTTATTTTTTTTATTGTTAATCTTAAATCAACGTAAAATTATGATTTTTTTCTTTTCCTGTGAAAATAAAGAAAATTTATTAGATAAGAACAAAGAGCAGTGCTATTCCTTTAAAAAAACAGAAAACTGGAACTAACATTGCTAATGCCAACACTAAAAAATAATTATTATAATCTACTATCTCCTGTAAATCTTTTAATATTATCACTATTGAGTAAACAAATTGTCATCGAAAATTATAATAGAGAAAGGATTCCTGCAACATATCTCGAAAATTAATAATCCGGAAGCATTAATATTTCTTTTACCGAGCAAACAACACCTAAAATAATTTGAAATAATACCTACTGAGAGTTTCTTATAGATTATGCTAACTATTAACCAAATACACCAGAATTCAGTAATAGAACACATGAGAGTGTATATTTTTTCTTGAGTTCCTTCTAACATAATAGTTAAAACTAAAGACACTATTCCCAGGGATCCATCAAACACACCTAAAGCCACCAAGCCATCAGAAATAGAATCACAATACATAGTTCTTTTTTATAATAATTTATTTGAAAACCTAAAATTAGATTGAAAAATATATATAATTTTTATAATAATAATACACAGAATTTCTAAATTTCTTTTCATAGTATTAATTATTTCGTTAATGCGTATTATAGAATTTAAATAAACAATTTTTTAATACTATTGACATTGTTGGTCCAACATTGCAAAGTACAGAAGAAAAGCTTCGTTTTAAATACATATTTTTACCTTATGAGAGAAAATAATGGTACTTTATCTAATCTTTTTCAAAAATTTAGTATAAGAGAATATTTATGAAAAATATTCAATTCTTATTATTTTTTTGCTTAAAAAATCACTCAATCTTTTTTGAAGCATATGAGAGTTAATTCTATATCGGATATTTGAGAAAACATATAAAAATGTGTATAATATAATGGCATTTTGAATTTTCATAGATTTTAATGATTTTAGATAATATAATAAATAATTGATATTTGTTTTACTACACATTATGTAAATTCAGATAGTCATTGAATGATCAATCCCTATTCTGATTGAATTTAAATTTCTGTAGAGTTTTCATCAATCTAAGTTTGTTTATATCCTTCCTATTAAAGGATTTGATTAATTTTGTAATTCAGCTAAATAGTTCTATTCTATAATTGGAAATTTAGATTATACTTAATTAGTGAGATTTATCAAGAATGTATATTTTGATCTCTTAACTTCAATAACAAAATCAATGAAATTGACTTCAGCAAATTAGTTTTCTAACCAAGCAAGTTAGGATTCCATTAAAAGGAAATGATTTTCCTTTGTATCAGAAATCACTCCCTAAACTATTTAGGTAGATGATTACTTATCCGACTACTAGGGCATTTAATTATTAGGCTCTTGTTGCATCTTAATTGATTTCGAATAATGTTTTTGGCAAGTATTGTTTTGATTACAATTAGGATACTTTGAAATCAAACCCTAATCCACCTTCCTTAATAGATCTACATAATGCTGGATATTCAAAATTGGTTATTATAGTAATTCCATTTGGTAATATATCATGAATTAAATCATTAGCTAACATTAAATAAACAGCAACATCTATATCATCAGTAATATCAATATTTGAAAACTTAAATCCATCTATCTAATATTCTGAAATCCAAAATTATAAATTTGATAACAACAATCTTAAAACTTCCCATTTTCCATAATCTAATTAATCAGTTCCATCACGCACATACTAGTATTCACTTCCATCCCAATTTTTTAAATGTTTTCCTATTAATTGATGATCTATTTCCATTAATACCTATAATCCTTATTAATGTAGTTCATCAATCTTCTTTTTTAAATCTTCAGGATTGACTTAATTTATATCTACAGCCATCAATACTTATTAAGTTATTAAAATTGCATTGAATCCTGGAATATTTTAAAGTTCATTTATTTTTTATTTAATTATTTTCAATCCTTTACTTTATTGTTATTATTATTATAATTTTTATTATTATTGCAATTCATATTTATTTTCAGGATTCCAAAATATTGCTTAATCTCCATTCCTTACTTAACTCCAAACTGATGCTCTTGATAAACCATTTAAATTTGTAATTAATATACTCCCATGAACTATTTAATGATTATCATCATCATCTTTTGGTATGAACACTTCCCAATTACCTCCATTATCTGTTGTACAACTATACTCATTTAATTTTAATTCTTATGCATTTGGAGCCCACTCTCTATATGTAATACCATTATCTGATACTATAAAACCAAACTTTTAATATCTATAATAAAAAATTATTTATTTACCCTTTTGCAAAGTCTTTTATTGATGATTCCACCTTTATTATTTATTCCAAAAGTTAAAAAAATTTCTCATTTCTTATCTGTATTACTTCTTTCAATTCAGGCTCTTCTATCACTGTCTGTAATTAATCCACATTCTTCTCATACTTTTATAAAAACTCTTCATTCTCCAATACTGATTACTTATTTTTAAATATATCAAACTTATACCTAATAAAATAAAGAATTCTTCTTAGATAATTTTCTATTTGGCACTTTTCTAGACAGTGCTGAACCTTAATCAATATAATTCATAATTATATATTAAAAATTTAATTATAAAATACTCATTTTTTATATTTAAATCTAAACTATTCCTCTCTTCAATCATTTCTTTTAATACTACTTTATTTAACATAATTCTCACCAAATTTAACTGAAAGTTAACTTAATCATCAATACAAAGATAATAAATTTACAAATTTATTATTATAATTAGTAACACACATAAATTAAAAAAATCAAATCTTAGCCATCAATCGAATTATTCAGTTTTTTTTTTGTATTCCTTCTAGAAAACCCTATATTAACTCTAATTTGTTTTTTTAACTCTCCAATTTTATTCATCCTCAAAAGTTTACTGTTATTCTTCCTGCTCATCGAATAAGCTGCTATAATTTTATGAATTTGATTCCAAATCATTTATTTGAAAAGGATTATTGTATTTGACTTGAACAATTTCAATATGTTATAAATCCTTTTATTTTTTAGGAATAATCATATTATTTTCATAATCTTCAATTTTATTAGAGTCTTCGGAATTTTCATAATAGCTATCGCTAACATAATCATGAAAGTTTGGATCAAAGTCATCATTATTTACATTATCGTTAATCTTATATAAATTTTTGGCATATTCTTTTTTGATTTCACATATCATTATATAAATAAATAATGCCTTACGAATATCCTTAATCTGCATAGCAATGAAACAAGAAAATCATTCTATTTAAAATAAGGAATATAAGATGTCGTCTGGTGTCATAATAATGATTAGATAAATAATTATAGGCATTTTGAATATAATTAATCTGATTTTGATTGCTTTATTCTATTCGACAAATAATATAAAAATATTATTCTTAAAATAATAAGCAATGTATTAGTAAATAATATAAATTAATATCACATGAAATAAGGTTGGCTTTGTATGAATTGCAAATCAACTGCTTTTCTACTCTTATTATACTTGCCAAAATATTCCAGTATCAAAAAAGAGAATCGAATGATATTGCCATGTTTAGCAGTCCTTAAGAAATCTTTAGTCATTCCAGCTTTTGTGAGATCATCACAATGAACAAACAAATCACTACCATCTAAATCCATGATTATAAATCCATATGATCTGGCTTCGTCATAAAACTTAAGAGTACCAAAATATCTAATCTAATATTTGAATTAAAAAAACTTACATTTGAGAGAATATTGGTTCCTTCTTATAAGTTTAAATTCAAAGATTACAAAAGTTCATTTTCAGGTGTAGGAGAATTGATGAGGGAATTACATTCTTTCATAAGTAGATCTCCATCTTGATTAATTTCATCTAATAGCTACATTTATAAACTAGTTCTGGATATATTTGATGGAGACAGTGGTACATTCTTCACATTAACTTTATTTATGCGATTGTCTTTCTAATCAGATAGATATTTAAAAGGATCTGAATATGATCGCTTATGTCTTCTTATAGGTAAACCTATAATGTCATTGATTACATCTAAAAGAATGTCTTTGATTAATTTATGCTTTTCTTCACTACCTTTTTTGCCAACTACATAAAAGTAATTCAAATATCTGGCTAAATAAATGCGTTTTTTATAACCAAAATTGATAACTTAGCATCTAAGATCTTCATTCTCGCATATATCATAAATCACTATTTTCCTCTGCAATTCTTAACTTACAGCATTTAGATCATCATCTTTGCATTTATCACTTAAAAACTTCCAATAGAACACAGTCCCATAAAGTGCATATGATATGGCTTTCATTAAGTCCTAACTTTTCTATCTTTTTATTTACCAATGCTTGAGTCAATATTTCTTTATCATCATCCATTAATAGTTTTCTGAATGATTCCATTAATTTGGCACTCTCTAAATCACAATTTAATTTATTTAAAGAGGGAGTCAATTGTAAATCATACAATTTACTAGGAAACATTTATTATTTTGGGGTAATTTTTTTATTTAATTCTTTACCAAATATTAAAATTTTGAATCAATTTTTTAATCTTCCCAGTATTATACAAATATATTTCAAATCTAGATAGTTATCTAAATTATTTCCTATTCAGTTTTACATATATTACTATTTTATTAAAACAGATTATTTTTAACATATAACTTATTTTAATAAATATAATGTCTAAGTGGGCTGAGAGTAAATATGAAGGAGAATAACTTGAAGGTTGGTTTCATGGAAAAGGCAAATACTATTTTAGTAATGGTGTCATCTATGAGGGAGATTTTTTTAAAGGAGAATTTCATGGAGATGGCACTCTCATTTTTCCTAATGGGGTATTTCATAATGTGTCCTAATATTATCTAGGGATAATACAAGGCAAAATGGGAGAGAGGCAAGATGCTTGATGGAACTTATTTTTTTGAAGATCATTTGAAATATGAACCTGTTGATTGGAAATATTGTATTGGAGATGATAGGAGATTTCATCAGGAAATCAAATAGAGTATCAAACCAGCAGGCATTACTCAAATGACGAAAGATGATATTCTTATTGAAATTCCTGAGGGTACGTATGGTATTAGTTTTTTGTTATTTAATTTCAGATGTAGGGGAAGGCTATTATGAGCCTGTGAAATCAATTATTTATAGATATGATGGATCCATCTCAAGGACACCAAGTGAACCAGAAGTCGAGAATATTTTGAAGAAGTGCCGATACAATCCTAAGAAAGACTTTATCATAGATGGAAAAGATGATAAAGTAATTCAGAAGATGACTAAGAAGTCTTAGTGATTATATATATATATTTTAATTATCATAAATTCAAAATGAAATGTGACTTTTGTGAAGAGAGCAGTCCAATAATAGGTAGATTTAATTGATTATTTGTAAGAGATCATGCGTCATTCATTGTTCTTGAAATACTCTCAATCTTAAAACTACCATTACACAAAAGGTATAAGCGAGATCTTGCACAATTATCGTACTCCTAATAATATTCTGTATAAGGATGTATTACTGTATGATACACCAGAGGAACTGATTTGTAAAGTGTATGACTTTACAATTTTAAATGAGAAATTGTAAATGTTGGGTGAGTATTACAAAGTACCAATAAATTCTAGTTATAGTTTCATAATGATATTCCACGGTTATTTATGGTGCCAGCAATAATTCCATTAAATTATTACCATGATAAAAAGAGAAGATTAGAGTATTTTCGAATAGCGAAATTGATTGCAAATGAGAATAAGAATAATCCTGATAAACCTCCAAAGGGCATAGTAGGTGACTCACCTTTACCTTAATCGAGCCAATAAATGACTGTATAAGAAGCAAGTTCCTCTGATGAAGTAAAACAGCTCCTCAATCTAGCCGATATCTAAATGTGAGAAGATCCTTGATGGCATAAGTTTCATTGAGACCAAGCCCTAATTTGTGAATTTCAAATAGTAACTCTAACAATACCAATTATTGCAATCAACAATCCCAAATTTAAAATATGAGAAATACAAACCTCAAATAATACACTAAACTATTTAATCACAAAAACCTAACAACTCAGATAAATAATAACGTAAATCCAGTATTACGAATATACTCAATATGCTCAAGAATAAAGTTCCAAAAACAGTAATTAAAAAGTAAAATTAATCAAAGAAATCAGATCAATTACATATAGTATTTATTATAGTTTTATATCATCATATAGACACCAAGAGATATTCAAATTAAATCTCCTACTAATCGTACTCTATTACCAAATTAATAAAGAATAGCTACTCTTTTAAAATCACCTAAATGCGTTACACCAAGAGCACCATAATAAAGTCCTCATTTACCTAAGAAAGTTTAATAATTAGAAATTAAAGTAATGACTGATCTATAAACACTTCTTGCTAAAAAACACACTAGAGATTCTAAATAATTTAGTACTGTCCATTTTGATAGTAATTCTTTACTTTAAGATCCTAGAAGTCTTACATAAAGATTTGAATCTCATAATCATTCTAAAGCATAATTTACCAAAAAAAAACTTAATATTAAAGAACTTAATTAATTCAGAAGAACTAAAATTTAAGAACCTTTATCAAATCGTGATACTCCACGTAAAATTAATTTTAAATCAAAATCTAATGATAAACCTCTTAACATAAATATAAGTACTGATCATAAAATTAATTTTTATCAACCAATTTAATCAGCCAGATAAGTTATTAATCCATAATAATAAATAATTACCACTTTTAAATAATCTAATGCTTAATCTTTATCTTAATAAATTCATCATCAAAAATCAGCCACAGCCAAAGCATTAGGAAAATCTATGAAATCAACATTAGATCCTTAAATTTGTTAGGTTGCACTTAATTTAGCTGTAAAGAATATTAGAAGTAGAAAATCATGAATTATTTATTAATGAGTTACTTACATTTATTTAATTCTAATATAATATTTATATATATGGAATCACAATCGTATAATTTCTCTAATCCTAAAAAGTGATAAACTCAAATGAAAAGCAAAGTTATTTTTTTTTTATTAAAAATGATCTCAAGTTTTCCAAGAAAAGATAATAGTGCACCAAGAAACTATCATCTTAAAAAAAGAATGTCCAAGAGAATTATCTGCTTTCAAAAGAAGTAAATATTCATCATTTTTATCATTTAATAGCTTTATTTGAATATGATTAACCTGCTTTTAGAAAAGCCTATACTACTCCTGATAATCAATTCTAAAATTATTTTGAACATATATATATATTTTATTATCATTAAATTTTATTTACCTCACGATTTTTATTATCAACTGAATTTGTATTATATAGTTTACTGAATTCTAATTAACTCATTAAAGGAATACATCCATCTTAAAATTGTTTAAATGAGTTTAACTCTTAGGATTGTATTTTACTTTTTATCTTCACTTTATTCTTCAAAGTTATATTGTCTCTTAACTTAGATAATTTGTCTTCCAATCTTTATAATAAATTTTAAGGTTATTAATCAAAAATCTTTGATTCTCCTTTATCATTATCATCTTTGCATGTTTTCTTACCATCAGTTATTTATAAATAATTATAAATTAATTAAACAGGCATTTTCCCTTTTACCATTTAATCTTTTAATTCAACACAATTTTTAAAATAATCATCTATTATCTGTACACAATCTGTATGCAATTTTAAGTCTTCCTACTGTTTTAGGGTAGAATTACTATGAGAATTATTTTATTTCCTCAAATATATTTATTATCTTTCATGAAGACATTTTAATTAAAAAAGAACTTCGAAAAATTTTATTCTTAAAATTAAATTCTTATAGAAATTCAGATTTTAAAATTAATCACTATTTTATGATTTTTATTTTTATAATTCCTAAATTCTTTTTCTACATTCATCTTATTATTAATTTAATTAATTTATTTAAGAATTATTCTTTTATTGTTCTAGATTTAAAACCTTTTTTTATAAATCTTCTATTAATGTATTAATCTCTTCATATGTATTTATGAAATTTTTGAAAAATCCTTCCAACTTTTAATAATCAAAATTTTAAAATTCATTTTGAATAGAAATTATTCTATTAGATTATTCTTGAGCCCAAGTATAAAATGTTTATTTTTTCTTATAAAAAATTTCAATTAATTTCTTAGCTTAATCAATTTTTTCTAGGTTTTTCTTAAAATTAAATGATTCTTAAAATTGAGAGGATTGATAGTTGAATTTCATCTATTCTTTACATTATTCTAGATTTTATTCTATAGCTAATTAAAGTTCTTATTTCGAATTTTCCAAATTTTTTAAAAGTTCATATTCTTCTGTTTTTAATTATAAATCAAGTAATTCCTATTTTAATCCTAATAATAGATTTGTTAAGGAATTTTAATTTTCCTTCCAAAAATTTTCTATTGATTCAATCATTGAATTTCTAATTTCATTCATTTTACTGAAAAGTTGTTCTAGATATTGAGATGAAATATCAATTTAAAAACCAATTTTACTTTCTTCAAGTTTTAATTAATCTATATTTTAAAATTACGTCTTTCCAAATTCATCAATAGAAGTTTAAATTTATTGTAAATTTATTTATTATAAATTATTTAAAAGATGCAAATTAAAGTCTAATTTTTGAGAAATATTTATATATCCTGGATTTTTTTAGATTTTATCCTTTAGGTTTGATAATTCTTATTTTAACTTATTAGTTCTGTTCTAACAATTTTAAAAATCCTCTACTAATCGTGCTTATGTTTTTGATTTCTCCTCATCCCCATACTATTAAATTATAGGCTTTAAAGTCATTCTTTGACGAAATTTATTATAATTATTGTCTAATAGTTCTAATTTATAAAGGCAAATTTTAAATTCTTAATTTATTTCCTAAAACAAACTGTTGAAATCTTAATGTTTCTTTAATTTTATATCTTCAATAAATTAATTGATCTTTATTTTAAATTAGAATAAAACCTTTTCTTAAATATTTAATTCTTAAATTGTTTCCTTTAATTGAACAGATTAATCTGTTTACTATTTCTAATTAATCATTTATATTTTTTATAACCAATCTTCTATTTACTCAATAAAATTTTAAAATTAATCCAAAATATTTTTAAGTTCTTCTTCATTTTACTTTTCCATACTCTACAACAAAAATACTAAATTATTTTCTAACTTACTAAGCTTTTCTGAAATATCTTCCATTTATTTATTACATTATTCAAAAAATTCTATCTTCAACTAATCAGTTTATAATATATTTAACATGTGCACAATAGCATAAAAATCTTAATTCAATAAATTATATTCATCATTTATACTTTCGCATTATTTTAAAAATGAAGGATCTTTTTAATTTAAAAAATTAATAATAGAATTGAGTCTATGTAATTTTTATTTTTGGGTAGAAAAGGAGGTATTCAATTAATATATATATTACTAAGATTTCTCGTATTAGATCTTCAATAGTTTATTATTTTAATCTTAAACTTATTATTATTCTTCCTTTATTATTTCATTGGCTTTAATAATTGAATTTTAAATGAAATTTTCAACAACAGATTGATCAACCAAATGTTGCTTATTCTTTTAGATTGATAATAATCTTTAAATTTTTTAATCTAATTATTAACGGATTTCTTAATTAGGATTTATATTTAATTGAATAAGTTCTGTAATAATTTATTCTATTTCATTTAGCTTTTATTTTAATTATTTTTTAAATTCATCAATAAAAATCTTATAATTTTAGGAAGAATTTGATTACTATTGTATTTATAATTGCTATAGTTAATATTATAGATTCTTTTAATTTACATTTAAATTTGATTCGATTTTTGTCAATAGTTTATTAAATTCTAAAAGTTTTGTATTTTTATTTTCAAATTATTCTTAATACTGTTTTTTTAACTATTCTTACAGTTATATTTTCATAGCTAATTCTCTATTTTATAATTAATTTTTCATTTCATTTTCTTGTTATTGTTTAATTTTTTAAGTTTCTTATTCAATCATTTATTAGTATTATTATTCTATTTATTATTAAAAATTAGTTTTTTCTATTTCATATCTCTTTTTAAGTTAATCAAGTTCTATATTATTTAATTAATTGTTCTGTATTTCTTTTTAATATTTTTAGTCTAAATTTATAATTTCTTAATTTTTTTAAGTTCTAAATTTCTCTTCATACTCATTTTAAATCTTTAAAATTTGTTATTAATAATATTGTTACTAATATTCTTTGATTTCAGACTTTATTTACTCCAATTCTAATATGTGTTAATTTTTTACTTTTTCAAGCTCTTAAATATTTTTTATTTCATACTCTTATTAAATCTCTAATCTAATTTTTTCCTTTAATTCATCAATTTATTTGCTATTTTGCATTTAATATTATTGATCAATTTTTAAGATTTTCTACAATTTTTATAAAACATATTCTGCACTTACTCTTGATGTTTTATCTATTTTTATCATTTCTTTTAATAATAGTCTGACATCATTCGCATACTCTTATTTTTAAATGAATAATTAATTAATTCTATTATCAATATTATTTTGGTTTAGTCTTAATATATTACTTAATACTTCATGTATAGAATTTCCTTAAGAATAAGTTAATTTATATACCTGAAACCATAGTCTACTTAAATATCATTTCAAATAATATCATACCCAAAGCCCAAATATCAATTTTTTCATCATAAATTGATTAATCGATTTATTCTGGTGCCATATAATAAGGTGTTCCTACTTTAACTGTTTTTCTTCCATCTTATTCTCTCATTAATCCAGTATCACACAATTTTAAGAGTTTTCCACCATTTTGATTCATATAAACAACATTATCTAATTTTATATCTCTATGAATTAAGTTCAATTTATGTAATTCAAGTGTCCCTTTTACTATCTTAAATATATAAATATTTAAATGATACTTAAATGAAGTATTTAAGAATTTCTTCTATATCAAATATTTTTTGACTTTACCAAAATTCTTCAAAGGATCCATCAGCTAAATCCATTACAATTACAGTATAATTATTATATTAATCCAAGTCCAAAATATTAACAATATGCTCCAACTATTTTTGATTAAGAGTATTTAGAGTTTTTCTTTCTGAAGGCTCTAAATAAGGTTATATTTTTAAGGCCACATAGTTCATTTACCCTAAAAGTTAGGCCTTGTAAACTTATCCACCTGTTCCCCTTCCAATTAAATTCTCTAAACAATAAGTCTTCTATTTCTGTGTGAAAATTTAGTTTTTCTATTATATCATTTTTATTTAATTAATAAATAAGACAGCAGGATAAATATAACAATATGTAATTTATTAAATATAAACTCAAAGAAAGAATCTATTAAGGTATTTCTATAGCTAACAACCATTAAATCGAACATTAAAAGATTTTATTTAGTAATTCTAAATTTACTTAAAAACTTTATAATTAAAAATTCTGAAATATATTAAAATAGGTCTCAATAATTATTCTCAAATAAAATACACTTACAATACTAATAGAACTATTTTAATTTTTATATTAATAAAATTTTAAAAAGTCAACTCAAATTATTAATTTACACTGATTTTAAATCAAATATGTATTATTATTATAGCTGCAATCAACTATCATATTAACTGAAATATTTTTATTTTTATTACACTGACATCTTTGTAATTTATATTCTTTAAATGGAAATTAACTTGCCATTTTTTCTAATCCCTCATAATGTATATTTGAAGCATTTTTACTAACTTTTATATAAAATACATTTTACAATCATGTATGATATATTAAATTAGCTTAACTAATATTAAATTATGATTGGTTTATAGAATTTAGGATATCATTTGAATTTCTGATTCTTAAATTGATAACTTGAAACTCAGAGTAATTGAAAATTTCTGAGTGTTTAAATTCATATTTCTTGAATCTAGTAATGGTTTTAGTTGTTAATATTATAGAAAGTTGAGATTTCTTTTTAAGGAAACAAGAAATTCTTAAGGGTTAGTATATTATAATATAAAATATAATATATATTCATTTAGGAGTTGATTTCTTATCAAGTATAGCTATGGATTAATCAGTATAGTGTACTACTGGCATCTCAAAGCGATTTTTTGGAACTATAATTTTCACTAGTTATTATTATTCATTCTATGTAGATAAAGTATAAATTGATGCAGGATATGTTTGAATGTTAATCCCTCTAAAGGCAGCAGCTAACAGTCTTGCAGACATCTTATTTTAGATTTAAAATTTTATTTATTAAACAAACAATATTCTGCATTTTCTTTAAAATTCAACATCATAACGTCATAATTGAGTTCATTAATATTTTAATTTTTATATTTTGTCGAACATAAATAATACAATTGTTTAATTTTTATAAAATTTTTAATAATTCTTTCATTCTATAATAATAATTTACCAAAATGTATTAATTAAATTATTTCTTAAAAAAATGACTAGATTAATACTTTATATATATATAGAACGAAGAGTTTAAAGAATGTTTTAAAATATTTAGTAAATTAGAATTAGAATTAGAATTAATATTATATTTTATTTATATTCGTTTTAATAATATATAAAATGAATAGTGATTATAGAGAAGTGAATCAAAATGAACCTGAAGAATAATAAATGTATATTGAAACCCCAATTTATAAAGAGGCAGTGAGTCATTATAGAACAAGTTAATATTATTTTATCTCATTCAACACTTTAAAAATTGGATGTGGATTTGCATTATTATACATGAATCATAAATAAAGTTATTTGAATTATTGGATCTTAGCAATTATGTTCCATGCATTTATTATGATAATAGTTCATAAAATACACTTAAAATATTTAGCAATGAATAAGAGAATATTGGCATTCAAATTAGATTAAATTGTAGCTGCTCCAATTATAGAGTAAGTAATTGAATAAAGGAAATTAAACATATTATCACGATAAATAAAATTAGAAATAGTAAAATAAACAATCTTTGGAAAATGGTGTTGTAGATTAATAGCAATAATTTACTAAATAATATTTAGTTATGGTGTATACTTATTTTGTATATATTACAGTATAAAATAAGAAGAGTTAATTTATTAATTTTATTTTTTATGCGCAATCCTTGTTGTCTCATTATATTAATATATTGATCTTTATTTGATACTCATTTTGGCAATTCTAGGATCTCCATTTTTAATTATTCTAGGTTGTTATTACTGTGCAAATTTGTAATTAAAATTAATGAATTTAATAGATGTAATAAAGAAGAATAAAAAAATGAAATCAGAACTCGTTTGTAACCTATAAATTACAAACCAAATTTAATAGAAGGGGAATAAGAATGTTGTATTTGTAGATGTCCATATGAATTGAATGAAGAAGTTGTTATTCTTAAATGTTCTAAATTGCATCATTATCATGAAACTTGTATTATGGTATTTGAGTTATTTTCAATTTCAGTCTTGGATTAATATTAACAATACATGTCCATTCTGTAGGAAGTCTATATGATTATATCAATTTTATAAATAGAACATTATATTACTAAATTTTAAATCTCAAAATATTATTTTATTTAATTATTTATTTATTTTATTATGGATTTCAAAGAAATTAAATCCAATAAGCATTATAGAAGCAATAGATTTGATAAAGAAATTAGAGAAAAAGCAAAACAAAAATTAGAATAAAATGGAGTAGAATAAACAAAAAATAATTTAAGAAAAACAATCAAATCTCTTGAAGATGTATGCAGAAGAAATAAATCAGGTAATAAAAATTCTTAAATTTTTAATGGAAATGGTTTAAAATTTGATTGTATGGCAAATGATAGACCAATCAATAAAGTATTGAAAAGAATTGATAAAAAATAAATAAACGAATAAATTTGATTTTCTATATTATCTATATAATTAAATATTTTCATTAATATTCTTTTATAAATAAATGGACTTTAAAGAATTTAAAACAAATCAATATGAAAGAAAAAACAGATTTAATGATAAAATTAAATAGGAAGCTTTTTAATTAGTGAGCATGAGCATCGCAACAACAATTAGAGATGCAATCTAAATAACAAAGGAAGCAAAAAGAAGATGTTTATCAGGAGAATCTCTAGGAAAAGTATTCCATGGAAATTCAAATAAGTATAAAAAAAATACATTTGAAAGCAGAATTGTCAATAAAGTGTAGAAAAGAAAAAATGATAAGAAATATCAACAATCTTAATAAATGTGAGTTTTTCAATGAAAATATAAAATTTGTAATTAGGCAATTATTAGAGTAATTATTTTCACTAAATTTATTCAATAGTCTCTGCTGTTTAAATTAATCTCATTTAAAAATTGTAAATTCATATAATTATTGAATTACAATTATAACATAAAAACTAGTTTCTTAATGGACTATTTCCTATTTTAATAATCTATTTGGATCTTTCAACAGTTCCTTTTATTTCTTTTGCTACCAAAATATTTTTTTTTCTTTTATTTTTAGATAGTTTTGTAAAAGTCTAGACTTTAAGAAATCTCAAATTTAAACTACAATCATATCCAATATGGAACTAAATAACTAATATATAAATGATAATTATAATTAAGCTGCAATAATAAATCATTAATTAAATGCAAAATATGATTTATGATTTTCAATGTAATTTAAATGCTTATAAGAAATAAATCCTTTTTAATATTATTTTTTATTTATTTAGATTCTACTTTTATATGAGATACTTTTGCATTTAATTAAATAATTGTATTTCTAAAAATAATTATACTATTAAAAATATTTCAATAATATTTTGAGATAATTATTTATTATATTATATTTAAAATAAAATGAAAAGCAGAATTTAATAATTTATTAGGAACAGGAATAAAATCAATCATCTTGTTATATTTAATATTTTTTTAAAATAAATGAAAAAAGCATGAATAATTAAATGGAAATATTGGATAATATGTGATATATTTTTCTTGAAATAAAGGGGATTAGAAAAAGATAAAGGAAAGTAGTAAATGTTGATAATAAAATAATGTTAATTATATATTTATCTTTTAAAGTAATAATTTAATAACTGCTTCTATGTATATTGATCCAGCTGACACTAAAGCATGGGCTGAAGAATTAAAAGAGTAAAATAAGATATTAAAAACAAGATATTAAGGAAATAGAAAACAAAAAGTCGATTTTTAGAAACCAAAGATCTTCACATAAAAGGAAATGAAATTAAAGTAAACAGAATTTAATCCTGTTTTGTAAACTTATTAAAATGCAGATCGTGATGTTAAAGAGAAAGAAAAGGATTTTTAGAAGACATCAACATTAGCATAAAAGAAAATGGTAAAATGATTTGAGATTTTGATAGGAAATGGTGAAGAAATATCTGCATGAATATGATTTAGTTAATTTAGAATAAGTATAAGGAATAGATAGACCAGATGAGAGAGAGAAAGTTAAACAATGTTTAGTATATAATATTAATAAGATAATAGTTACCACCTAATTTCAATGATTATAATATAATAACAAATGAGAAAAAGAGTGAAGAATATTACAAAAATATGAAAGTTGTTGTTTAGAAGCGAGTTCATGAAAAGCCTATGATCAATAGAAATAAGAGAGATTTCAATATAATAACAAATAAGTTGTATATTTAATTAATTTAGGTTTTTGGATAATCATGAATAAAAGGCTTAAAATTAGGAAGCAGCAGTAATGTCAGAAATTGATGATAAATGTAAAAGGGTTAGAAATTATGATATTGTTGCAGGAACATTTTATAGTGAAGATAGAGAATATGAATATTAATAGTATTTTATCCAATAAAAATGAGGAAATTGAAGTAGGATTAATTAAATCATGGCAAACACTTTAATGATAGATTTCCACCATCTTGGAAATTTAGAGAATCAGTTTATTTAGATTAAACTAAAGAAATACCTGAAGAAATTAAAATGATTGATGAAATCAATAGAAATCATAAAAAACGATATGAAATAAGACATGTTTTAGAAAATGAGTATAAAGAAAGAGATTTATAAGATTAAATGAGAACTTAAGATCGATTGATTAAAAGACATAAATATGATGATTTAATTAAAAAATATGATAAAGGTAAATTAATAAAATTAATAAATTATTTAGAATTTGATATAATAACTTTGGAAAAACCAGAAATTGATCATATTGTTAAAGCATTGCCACCTAAACCTCCTCTCAATTCTTGGGACAAGGTTTAAATGACAAAGACTGTTACTGATGCTCCAATTAATTAAGTTACTATTCCTGAAGGTATTGAATTTAAAGATAATGCAATTAATTTAAATGAAACTTAAGGAAGAGTTAGATTTCCATAAGTAATTAAATAAGGTAGTGAAAAATCATAAAAGTCTGTCTCTAAATCTAATAAATCTGGACCATAATCAATAGTTTAATCATAAAAATCAAATCCTTAGGGAACTGAAATTAAGTCTGGAGGATTTTTTTGATAAATGGAATAAATTAATTATCAATAAATTTATATTATTCTTAAATTATATTATACCATAACAATATTTAAGAAATTCCACTTAGGATAATTAAATAAATTAATAAATAATATTTATTGATATGATTTTGTGTAAATTATCATTTTCTGATTTTACTTAATTGTTAAAATACTGAATTATAATTAGTTGCTGACATTTTGTATGAGGATGATTTTTAAATACTTCCTTAAGAGCCTTTTCTTGAGAGTTAATGTTGAGAGACCTATAAGACACTTTGACTTTATAGGTTTGATGATAATGTATTTTATAAAACTGTCGAGACACTATTTTAGATATTTTACATTGATTATTTTCTAGGAATTTATTTTATGGGACTACCACTATCAACATTAGGGAAGATGGATTAAGATTATTTTTTTTGCATCATCATATTAGGACTTTGATAGATAAATTGAGCAGTTGGTTCATGATTATATGCATGTTCTTGGGATGATGTATTTTTTCTAAGTTGTTAAGTATAAGATGGAGTTTTATGATGAATGGTACGATTAACATGTTATGTTTCATATTGTTTATTATCACTAATATCTGTATTAGATGGTTCTGAGTCTTTGCTTTTTTTGAGAAATGAATCTTTTTTGGTAGGTGAGGTAGATTTTTCAGCACTGATATTGACTGGAACATTATTTAGATTACGAATTAAGATTTTATGTTCCAATTTCTTTTTTTATGTTATATGAGAGTAAAGAGCATCTCGATATTCTTTAACACTATATTTATGATTATCATCCATAAAGGTTTCAATTGCACTATCTATAAACAAATATATAAAGAATTGATTACCTCTTGATATTTCATCTTCCGTTCCTTTAAATTCTTTAACATAAGGATGATTAAGTGCTTATTCAACAGTCATTCTTTTGTATGGATTATAAATAAGAGTTTTTCTAGTTACTAATAATATTATTACTTGATGAAATCAATAGCATCATCTTAACCTGATGAAAACAATTGAGTTATGCTTTTTCTCTTTTAAGTTGTAATACTAGATATCACTTATTCAGCAAGTGGTGCTTAAATAGCATCCAATTCATCTTACTTTGGTCTTCCTATTAATTCGATAATCCTCTCAATCTAATTTAAAGTTGAAGTTCCAGGGAAGATAGCTTTACCAATAATCATTTCTCCTAAGATACAACCTAAACTCCACATATCAACGGCTTTAGAATAATTTTAAGAACCCAATAATATTTCTGGAGCTCTATACCATCTAGTGGCAACATATTCAGTGAGAATTGGATTACCTAATAATTTTATAACAACACTTACTATTATCATCTGGTTTAGCAACACTTCTAGCTAAACCAAAGTCAGCTACTTTGACTTTGCATTCTGAATTGATTAATAGGTTAGAAGGCTTCAAATCTCTGTGTATTAATTCACCAGTATGAAGATATTTAAGACCTTTAAGGATTTGGTATATTATATATTTTTTATGAATTGGTTCTAGGATGTTTGCTCTTATCACCTTAATGTTTATTAAAAATATTGATACTTTATGAAGATCGGTTTCCATGAAATCAAATACCATGTATAAGTCTTTGTTATTTTCAGCTTTTATAACACAGTTTAATTTAATTATGTTTTCATGGTTTACCAATTACTCTAAGAAAATCACTTCACGAAATGTTCTTTGAGAATCAGTGGCATTATGAAATGCATCAAAAATCTACCATTTTATAACTTAGGTACTTTCTTTAATGCAACAATCTATTTTGTTTTACGGTCAACAGCTTTCCAAACTACTCCATAAGCTCCTTTTCCTTTAAATTCAACAAGTTCGAATTTTCTCAAGATATGATCTTCAACCTAACAGTGTTCATCTTCTTTCTAAGATTATTTAGATTATGGTTGCATTTATAATAATATTAATAATCTTTCAATACAAAATAACTATGGTATCAAGTATCATTCCATTTCATTACCATTCTTTAACACCTAATAATAACTCTAATATTCAATCTCTAATCTATACAAAAACATATTTACTTTTTCTAACTGATTATTTATCAGATATATTTCTATTAATAAACCATCTCTATAATCTAATATATTTATTTTAATCTATTCTCATCATTTTTTCTAATCTTATTCATCTATTTATATAACTATGTATATTACGACATAAATCGATATTAAAAAAATTCATCTTTGTATTAGAATCAATCAAACCCTATTTTTTAACTACAGCATCAAAAAATTGATAAGTATAAAATTTAACTTATAATTTTATATATCTCACATATATTCTATAAATAACATATACATCATCATTGCTATATTGATATTTAGATATCCTAAACTATCTCAATCAATTATGAAAGATACTCCACTTTCATTTTGTCAAGATTTTAATTTTAGCAATTTTTATACATTTATATTTCTATATTTAATTACTCTATCATCAAGTCTCTTTTTCTTATCTACTTTTATAGATCAGATAATTCTTTAGAATATTAAGATTTCAACCCTTATAATTCTTACTCCATATTTATTTATGTTTCATTAATTAAATCTTAAGTCTTAGCTCTCTCTATTTCAATTAAGTTATCTTCTTAAATTGGATCCTCTTAAACTACAATTTAACTCCTTTTTATCTTTGATACCTCTGAGGTTTTTTATTCCAGTTCTTTAGAGAGCATATAAATTTTAGTATTTAAATACACAACCTCAAAATAGTTAAAATTTAAATTTACCTTTTATTCATAAACTTATTTGACTAATTCTAATTCTTAATTATTCAACTATTCTAATTTTTAGAGTTCTTGGTGCATAAATACTGAAATTAAAATAATTTAATTTATTTGTATTTTTGTTAGATTATATAATTTAATAAGTCAATAAATTAAAATACAAAGTAGTTTTAATCATTCTTACTACCTTTTCTATTTGAGAACAAAAGAACTATCAATAATAGGTTAAACATTTTCCTATATTTGATGATCAAATTCTTTGATTTAACCAGGAGAATGAGATGTCTCTTATTCTGGATATTTAAATAATCGTTATTATTATTTGGATTTGCTTCCTGGTGTATTTCGTAGAGGTATTTTTCCCAAAGGAATTTCAAGTTTATTTTATTGAATAAGAAAAGTGTGTTTAAGTAATTTGTTACAATTCCAACGTTTTCTTTCATCTACCCTAACAATATATTTTCAGTCTTAATTACTCTAAACAATGTGAAACAAAGTTCTTAGCTTCTTCAGATAATCCTTCTGGAATTTAAGGGATTTCTCCTTTGCCAATTCTTATCATAACTGCAAATTGATTAGTCAACTAATGCCATGGTGGCTTACCTGTTGCTAACTCTATCATAGTACATCCTAAACTCCATATATCAGCTTTCCTCCCATATTTCTATTATTGTACAACTTCAGGAGCCATAAAATTAGGAGTACCAAATATAGTGCTATCACTATTTAATGCAATCTTCTTACTGCTCCCAAAGTCAGCTAATTTGCACACACCTTAATTATCAACTAGTACATTCGCACCCTTAATATCTCTATGCATTATTCCATTCTAATGTAAATACTCTAATCCCAATAAAATTTATCGCATATAAACTTTTATTAAAGATTCTTAAAATGGACCAAATTTCTATAACATAGAACTTAATGATCCTCCTGCTACTCTCTCCAAAAATATATTTAATGTCTTTTCTGTACGTTCCATACCATAATATGATACTATATTCTTATGTTTCATTAATGATAGTAAATCTATCTCTATCTCAAGTGCTATTATACGATCTTCATTTCTAACATCTACCATCACTTATTTAACTGCCATCAATTATCCTGTATCTAAATTCATTGCTTCTATCACTCTTCCAAATGATCCTTAACCAATCACTTATCCGGGAGTCCAACGAATCTTTTTTGGCTCATTTTATATTAAACTTAACAGTTGATTTCGATCTATTATACGTAATTCATCTTCATCATAATAATTATCTTCATTCCCATACATTGTTTTCTCAAATACTTCAGATTTCATTTCATCTACACGAGACCTTTAAGTATCCAATTTCTTATTCTATTTTATACTTGCATTTGTAGAACTCACTCCTACATGAGCTTTTCCTTTCATGCAACAACCCATTTATAATATTTTATTATTAATATATATAACTATTTATTTACTTTCTATCATTATACTATATATTTCACAGAACTCATCACATCAATTTATTCACTTTATAAAAAACTATTCTAAATATTTTTATTATCACACAATCAAATCATTAGATAAATTAATAAGAAGTTCATAATTAAATTATTACTTTCTTAATAATAAATATTTAATATAACATTATTACATTTCAAATAAACTTTTATAAAAATCCAAACATCAATTATCAAAATTTTTATTAAATTTCATATGATCATCTAAAATCAAATATAACTTAGACTTAATTATAATTTTGCTTAATACCATTCTAAAAAATAGTAGTAATTATTATACAAATTAAAACCATATTTATATTATTGAAAAGATATAATGTCCTAAACTAAAACCTTCTTTATTTATTAAGTAATTTTTAATTTTGATTAAACTAATCTAAGCTAATAGTAAAATATTCCATATAAAACTATTCCTACGAAAAAAAAATTGCTACATAAGACTTTTTGTAGAAATTCCAATTATCCTATATGATCAAATCTAATATCTGATAATTCATAATCTTGTTAATTAATTTATATAATATAGTTCCAATTCATGATAGGAATCTAATTCATATTTTAATAACTAAAAAAATTAATAAAGTATTATTTTCATTACCATTCTCTTCCTTTTAGTTATTAAGAAATTAAATAATGAAAAAATCTAGTTTAAAATACATTTCTTTATATATGACATTTCAAATTTAATAAGAAAGAATTCAATAATCAAGTAATGATTGAATTTTTCATTAAAAATTTAATTTTATCAAATATTATTAAAGAAAAAAATAGAAATTAAATAGAATTTTATCCAGATATTAGGGTTCAATTAAAAATGATAATGAAAATATCTTATAAATGATTTTTTAAAATTGCTTGTAATAAAATGATATATACATAAAAAATTTTTGATTCTAATTAGTTTAGATAAAAGTGTTAATGTTTTTAATAATAAATTAATTAATTAATGAAATTTTATCTTTTTTTGGCAATTCTGTATAGTATTGATGCAAAAATAAATTATCCGACAGCTTGTGACTGCAATGAACATGTTAATTAAGAGTCATGTGAAGCACATCTATGCTTTTGGAATTAAAATGAGTGTAGAATTCCAGAATGTAATGAGAGAACTTTAGAAAATTGTATTAAGGGCTCCTAATTTTTGAGCTCTCATCCAAAATATTGCTATATTAAAAATGGTAATTGTGTCGAATTAAATAATTGTGAGTAATTGCAAATAATCAATAATCCAAAATTAGCAAGGGAATAATGTTAATTATTTTAGTGTGCTTATGATTTAGTGAGTGGTTATTGTTTTAAAGCAGAAAAATGCAATTAAATATATGATAAAGATACGTGCAATAGTTATATCATTGCTTAGAATAATCCTCTTACTTTAGAAACATTTTGTTATTGGGATGGATAATGTAAAGAAAGAAATTCATTCATATAAAATTGTGAATCCATAAAGGATTAAGATGTTTGTGAATAAGCTGGATGCTCATTTGATAATAAGGTTTGTTAAGAAATAGAATGTAATAATCTTAAAATTAATGATTGTAATTGGGAACTTGTAAACAATGAAGGAAAAACATTTGTGTGTTAAATTATTGAGTAAAAATGTGAGAAAGTAGAAGTATAAAACCTCAAAAAAGCAATTTGTAACAAATTAATTGGGCATACATTTGTAAATAACGAATGTAGACGATGTAACTCATATGCTTAAAATTCTAAATTAAGATGAATACTTGTGAATAATATAATCAAAAGTATCAATAAGCATATCTCTATATAATTGTTTTAGAAATTAGTTATATCATTATTAAAAATATATATTATTAATATAGTAAATTAACTTTTAATATTTCCTTCTTGAAATTGCAATTTAGATACTAATTTATTCCGTAAAAAATTATCATTTATAGATTAAAACTTAAATTGCAAAATTTTGTTTTGAATTAATTTAATACTAATTTGATAATAAAGCGGTTTTATAAAATAATAAAAAAAATCCTTTTTTCTTTTGTTCTTTTATTTAATTTAACCATATTATTAGGATTTATAAAGCAAAATAGGAAAATACATTTATCCTGTATCAATTTTTCATTTTCTTGATAAATTTTTATCTAAATAACAAAAAGATATATTTATATAAGTCAATATAAATCTATGAAAAGTTAAATTTACGTTTAAAAAGCTATTATTCTAAATGGATTGAAATAATTATTTATTTTTTAAAGTAACGGCAATAACCGGTATCACAAATAATTGAAAAATCTTTTCAGAATGAAAAAAGTTTGAATGAATTCATAATTTTTAGAAATAATTTTTATATGGTTTCTATGCAATATTATGAAAGCAATTAATTATGAATAATATCTTAAAATTTTTTGAACTTAAATAGATAAGAAATTTAATAAGATGTATGAATAAGTTTAGTTTATGAAATACTATTAAGAAAATTCGATGTGAAATGAATAATATGAATTGATACTTAAATTAAATATAAAAATAAGAATTAAATTCGAATCATATGACTGAATCTGATTAACAAAATCAACAAACAAGAAGTGGTCAATCTTAGGGCACTTATTAAATGGTAAAAACAAGCTAAGTTGAATTGTCTATTCGAAATAAACTGAAAGATTAAGATGATGATTACCCAAAAGTTCCTTAATTAAGATAAAAAGAGAAGTTATTGTGTACTAAATGCAATTAGGTTATAGAAACTGATGTTTTTTTTGAGATGGGTAGGTGTAGTTATATAGTGATGTTAATTTTAATAGCAGGTATCATTACAGCTGTTTTTGCATTTTTGCCTTGTGTTTTAGATGGATGTAAAGATGCTATTCATAGATGTCCTAAATGTTTAAAACTGATAGGAACAAAAAAATTTATGTGTGGATGAATTAAATAATATACTTTGTATAACTATATATAATATTAAAAATGGGTTCGGCAATCTTTAGATTCAAAATCATATATAGAATGACTCAGAAAAAGACATCTTCTATTAATACTAATGATACTTCATTTTAATTGTAAAAATTAATCAAATCAAATTAATATAATTAACAGAGAGAGTTATTTAATAAGAAATGCTGATACTGACAACGAATTAAATGAATTCTAAAATTACTCTATTGTTAACAATCAAATTATTTTTAAAACTTAATGAAAATATTAAAGTTAGATATAATGAATTCATCTGTAATCTAATAAGATTTTTGCTGTTTGAAAATAGATATCAAAGGATTAATTTATAAATAAATTGTAGCAAAGTTTTAAGTTTTTAAAACTGAAAAAATAAAAAGTAGTACTAAGTACTACTTTTAATAATTTTTGATTATTAATTGAATATTAATAATATATATCAAATATTGATATCTGATTAATCATAGCCTTAACTTTCTAATATAATAGCCACTAATCTCATGAAAGTTTCCAATTCAATTTCAAATTCATTATACTTGTCTTATTATAGATGTTTTAGATAGCTTTAAAGTAGTTTTTCTAAATAAATAGAGAGAGTGAAAATACCTTCAATTTCAAAGCCCATACTTTAGAATATGGCTTTACTATTAATTAAAGTAATTTTATGTTCTTAATTGGATGCAGATTCGAATTATAGAGCCAAATCTTCCATTTCTTATTTGGAATACATTTCATCTAAAGGAATATGAATGGCTCTATAAATAATTCTTTCTTTTCTAGCTAATTCCATGGATTCTTTAAGAACATTAGTAGGATCTTATAATTCAACTTTAGGAACATCTGGTAATACATATGGATCCATAAAATGTTTTTCTCTCTCTTCTTTAACAGTATAAGGATCTTCAACTTCAGAATACACACCTGTTTTAGGCATATCATCAACCCATTCACCAACAAAGACTTAATTTTTAGTTGCAAAGAAGTAAGATCCTTAACCTTCCTAAATAATAATATATAATAATAATAATTACTCTTTTATCATTGACCCAATATCCTTCAAAATGATCACCATTTCTTTTAGTTAATACACCATATCCACTTCTTAAACCTTTAAACCATGCTCCTTCATATACATCCCCATTTGCATATATCATACGTCCTTCTCCATGTGGTTTATCATCTTACCATAAACCATCATATCTATTTCCATTTTAATAAAACATTGTTCCTTTTCCTGTTTTTTTATCATTTACCCAATCACCTGTATACTCTCTTCTCATTCTATATTTATNTTTTAAAACTTAATGAAAATATTAAAGTTAGATATAATGAATTCATCTGTAATCTAATAAGATTTTTGCTGTTTGAAAATAGATATCAAAGGATTAATTTATAAATAAATTGTAGCAAAGTTTTAAGTTTTTAAAACTGAAAAAATAAAAAGTAGTACTAAGTACTACTTTTAATAATTTTTGATTATTAATTGAATATTAATAATATATATCAAATATTGATATCTGATTAATCATAGCCTTAACTTTCTAATATAATAGCCACTAATCTCATGAAAGTTTCCAATTCAATTTCAAATTCATTATACTTGTCTTATTATAGATGTTTTAGATAGCTTTAAAGTAGTTTTTCTAAATAAATAGAGAGAGTGAAAATACCTTCAATTTCAAAGCCCATACTTTAGAATATGGCTTTACTATTAATTAAAGTAATTTTATGTTCTTAATTGGATGCAGATTCGAATTATAGAGCCAAATCTTCCATTTCTTATTTGGAATACATTTCATCTAAAGGAATATGAATGGCTCTATAAATAATTCTTTCTTTTCTAGCTAATTCCATGGATTCTTTAAGAACATTAGTAGGATCTTATAATTCAACTTTAGGAACATCTGGTAATACATATGGATCCATAAAATGTTTTTCTCTCTCTTCTTTAACAGTATAAGGATCTTCAACTTCAGAATACACACCTGTTTTAGGCATATCATCAACCCATTCACCAACAAAGACTTAATTTTTAGTTGCAAAGAAGTAAGATCCTTAACCTTCCTAAATAATAATATATAATAATAATAATTACTCTTTTATCATTGACCCAATATCCTTCAAAATGATCACCATTTCTTTTAGTTAATACACCATATCCACTTCTTAAACCTTTAAACCATGCTCCTTCATATACATCACCATTTGCATATATCATACGTCCTTCTCCATGTGGTTTATCATCTTACCATAAACCATCATATCTATTTCCATTTTAATAAAACATTGTTCCTTTTCCTGTTTTTTTATCATTTACCCAATCACCTGTATACTCTCTTCTCATTCTATATTTATATTATTTCAATATTTATACTTATTCTTTCCTTCACTCACCCAATATGTACCTTGCCCATTCCTTTAATTATCAAACCATCCTCCTTCATATTTATCACCATTTCCATAATATTACACACCAAATCCACATTTTTTATTTTAATTCCAATCACCAACATATTTCTAATCAGCAATCCATCTCTCTTATTTCTAAGTTCCATCTTCATTCTTTGATTAACTTTTTACCCAATAAATTGCTTTATGTAATCCATTTTTTTCTGCTTTTTAATCATTTATCTACCATTATCGAGCAACTTTCATTGAATTATTCTTTACTGATTATTTCTACTACGATTATGAATAGTAACTGGCGTCTTAATACATTTATTATAATTAATTATTCTAATTTAATATTATCCTCAATCATACCATTATCTAATTCATAATCAATCTAATTCTAAATCATCCTCTCCTCTTACTTAAATTTCTTAATACCTCTTCATATCTATAATCTCATACTAAAATTCATTCATATATTCCTATTATGAAATTTTTCATCAAACACTCTCTATGAACATTCTTTTTAACTTATTTTAAGGACAACATTATATATAAATTGGGTTTTCTAAATATAATTTATTAAGGAATAGGCCATACTTAAGGTTTTGTGATAATTTAGAGATAAATAAAAAGATTTTTAAACTAAAATAAAATCTTGTGCATAAAATGAATACCTAAAAAGAGTTAAGGGATGTAGTATTTGAAAAGGAAGAAATAGAAAAGGAAAACTCCTTTACTTATAGTGAACCTCACTACATGGCAGATAATGAATAAGTAAATAGATTATGATTATATTTGAATTAGGAAGAAGAATTATAAGAAGAGATTCAATTACCTGTTTATTCACCTTAGTAGTTATCACATTTCAAAAGACCAAAACCAATTATTTTTGATGAATTCAATCTTGATGAAGATCCCAAAAAAAAAGTATGTATATAATGGGAATGTACTACAGCAGAATAATCAGAAATGCTACCAATGGGAGATTTAGAGAGATTAGCTGATATGCTCTAACGTGAAAATTAAAAGAAATATTCATACCCCAAGGATTTGCCTGCTCCCTCTAACGTTGACAATCATTTTGATGAATTGAATATGCGTTTCATACCATCACAAAAATAAGATGAATTTGTTTCAAACTATGTTAAGGGAGATGATTTATTAAGAATCAAAGTTGGATTGTGTGATGATATCTTAAATGATGAAGAAACACTCAAATTTGAAGATTGGGTTGAATAATTATGTACTTCAACTAATCATGAATCACTTAAAGAAATGGCTAGAAAATAAAAAGTCAAACGATATCTAGAAAAAAAACACAATCGAACTTATGAAAAGAAAGTTCATTATCATATTAGATAAAAAGTTGCTGAAGAAAGATTAAGAGTCAAGGGTAGGTTTGTAACTTGGGGATAAGTAATTAAATTATCATATATTTATTTAGGCAATCAAAATGTTGAATGAAAAAGACACCAAGAAATCATGGAGCTATAATGACTATACTAAAATCAAGAGCTTACTAAATGAAAAGTTTGGAGCTGTGAAAAGTGAAAAGTCATTTAGATTCTGATTGTTTACAAACACTTGTGTATTTTAATATATTGTATTTCCAAATCGTTTTTTATATTATATTTTTTCTCTTTTCTTTTTGATATTCTTCAATTATAATTAAATTACTTAACATAATATTTATCTTTTTTTCTTTTATTTATTTCATATTTTTAATCTCATTTCATTAAAACTTAACTCCATGCTTTTTTTAAATATGTAACAAAAAAAATAAATTCCATTTCTTAAATTAAAATTAGATATCTATAATATTGAAATAAATTAATTTTAAAAAAATAATTTTAAAAATTTTCATATAAATATATATTAATATAAATGCATAATTTTAAATTGTTTTGATAGATAGTAATTTTTAGATTATAAGATTATCTATTTTATTTAATAATTTTAAAGAAATTTAGCTTGACTCTTGTTCAAAATGAAGATTAAAAAGGAGATAAAATAAAAATAGTTTGATTATGAACTTTTAATTTAATAAAATTGAATTTAAAAATAGAATTATATATTTGGATAAATATAATAATTTGTTAATTTTAAAATGAATTTTTGGATGGATAAGAATAATAATTAAAAGATTTTTGGGTAAATTGAAGCATTATAAAAAGATTGATAAAGTAGTTAGAGACAATAAAAAGATTTGTGAATGAAATTAAGTTTAATAGGAAATGGTGATTGGTGAATAAAAACATAAAGTGAATTGGATGAATATAAAAATAAAACAAAGAAATTATAAAATTAATTAAAAAAAATAAAAGTAAAAAAATGAATAAGACTTAAGGGGGTAGATGAAAAAATAATAGTGAAATTGGACTTATGAGTGTGATATGTAGATGTGAATATAATAATAATTTTAATACCTTTAATGAAGGTGAGCTGTTTCTTAAACTTACCTTCGTATTAATCTGATCTTTTAGAAAATAGAGATGGATGCCAAAATGAAGTTAGTGAGACAAAGAGTAGTCAAAGGACAAGTAATAGAAGTGAGAAGGATTTTAGTTAAAAAGTAAGTTTATAAGAAGGAAGTAAGAAGACAGAAGGGATGAAGAAAAGAATAAGTAAAGAATAAGGTTAAAATGGAATAAAGAATTAAGGACATTGGAGTAATGAAGAACATTAGATATATGTTAAATTTTTAGAGTAGCATCATAGTACATGCATGGAGAGTTAATAAAATCGTAAGAATAACAAAATCTTTAAACTGATGTCATAAACAATAGGAACTAGATCTCCATCTTAATGTAGGTAAAAATTAATAAAATGTAGGTCCCACCATCAGAAATTTAATCCTTACACATTAGCAGGATAAAAGAGGAATAAGAGAAACAAGAGAAGAATGAGTATTTAGAATGATGGAGAGAATTATATGAATTCGATGGGAAAGAGTGTAATAGAATTTAATACACCAATGGTGAAACCAATATTAAGTATAAATGTTAAATATTGAGATGAATGTTATGATGAGTGTAATGATTACATTTCAAATTATGAGGATTCACGTCCTTAATTACAAAATTATTGTTGTAACTCCAATTAGGATCATGAATATGGAAATAGATGGGATCATGATTCATACCTCTATTGAATAAGTTTGCATAAAATATTCGATTTGTTTATAAAATTATTATATTATAATAATAATAATAATTATTATAAACAATATAATCATTCATCTGTAGTATCAGTTTAATCATTATAACAACAATACTCAGAAATCACATCTCCACAGGCAGATTCTGCTTCTTATAATTCTAATTCATCGAGACCTTCTTGCATAAACAAATGTAAATAGGCTCGCTTTTGAAAAAGAGTTCTGAATTGCTGTTATAATATATTAAGTTTAATTCCCATTCCAGTATGATGATTTATTGTAAAAGCCATCAATTCACATTGTTTTTATTTTATTGGACAAATTGTATAAGTGATTGGATCAGCAATCCACTTTACGAATTGAATTTCATCTGAAGTAATTGTTTATTTAAATTCTTATTGAACTTAAAAAATATCTGTGTCTCCATAAATCATTATTTATTATGCTAAAAATACACCTGAAGATAATGACATCGAGAAAGTTTAATTTCTTTTTGAATAGATTTCTTTACTTACTTATAAAAGACTTGGAGTATTTATATATGAAAATAATGGAGCCAATGAAATTGTATAACAATGTAATTTTGGAAATGGAGTAATATTTGTTTAAATCTTATAAAAGTTTGAATTTGAATATGAATTATGACGAAAAGATTTGTAGATCCCATCCATTGCAAATCCTAATAATTAATTATATGTTTCAAAACTTTGATCATAAATAAACATATTCTCTGTCATTTATTGTAATGAATCATTATCAAAGTAAAATCCCATATTGTAATTATAATTTAAATGCATTAAACCTAGTAGACAATTATATGGATAAATAACACTATTCTCATTCTTTGAAGGATAAATAGAAATGTTAATCTTTGAACAATCAAAAAAATGATCACTTGTATAATATACTAATTTAGCTCCAATTCCTGATCCTGTACCACCATTTATTGAATGAATTAATTAAACTGCTTAAACTCCATCACATTATTCTTATTCTTTTCTAACCCTCTCTACAATTTCATCAAATAGATCATTCTAACCATAATAACCACTTGCAAATGTCAAACATTTCCCATTCTTTCCATAAATAAAATTATTTGGATCATAATACTATAAATTCTTATTCCCACTAATCTTATCTAATGTAGTCTCTTCACTATCTACCAATATTGTTCGAGGAATTTCTTTACGAAAAAACTTTTAGTCCAATTTCTCACCACTATCCTCTATCATTTGGTTCCATATAGCATTTCCTATTTGATTTCCACTTTACCCTACTTAAATTGTAATTATTTATTTCATTAATTCATTTATTAATTCAACTCATGCACTCATTATTATTATTCAAACATAAATAAGATCTAGAAATCTAAAGGGCTTATAAATATGAACAATCCTTAAAAACTAAGGAATTATAAAAATATTAAATCCTATTAAAATCTTGTGAAAGAATGTTATCAAATAGATAAATGCAAAAAAAAATAGGCTTAGTCAACTTAATGTCCTTAAGCATGAATAAAATCCTCAACAATTTTAATTATAAGAAACAGAAGCTATTCATAATCGATATCTCAATTCTCTATCAATTAAGCCCTTAAATTGAACTCTTTACAGATGCTTATCAAAAATTGATATTGATGTAAAAAATACTTAATATTACAAGAAGAAACTTGAAAATTAATAAAATATGAAGCTAAAATCTAAAATGTTCATGAAATACAAATAATGTAATGATAAGAATTATTCAACTAATATAAATTAAGACTTCAAACCTAATAGATCAAATAATCACTTCATAGTCAATAAAAGCTTAATTTACAAGTAATTATTGTTTAATTTGTGTTAGAAAATTCAAAACAAAAATAATATGCCAAATTACAACATTTTTCATTATCTATTGAGTTTATTATTTATTTTAATTGTTTGTAAATAATGTCATAAGCTGATCCACTATTAAAACTAAGATTAAAACAATAACGAGAGTTGTAGCATCTAATGGAATACGAAAAAAAATTAAAAGATAAGGAAATTAGAAATTCGCAACTGTTATTGAAAAAAAAAGAGAAATTTTAAGACATCTCATTGAAACAATTAAAATTTAAAGAAGATTTAAAATAAAAGGCTGAATAAAAAAGAATTGAATTTGAAAAAAATCTAAGTCAAGCCAAAATGATTGAATTAGAATAATTAAAAGTTAAGATATATTTTTANACAATTTCATCAAATAGATCATTCTAACCATAATAACCACTTGCAAATGTCAAACATTTCCCATTCTTTCCATAAATAAAATTATTTGGATCATAATACTATAAATTCTTATTCCCACTAATCTTATCTAATGTAGTCTCTTCACTATCTACCAATATTGTTCGAGGAATTTCTTTACGAAAAAACTTTTAGTCCAATTTCTCACCACTATCCTCTATCATTTGGTTCCATATAGCATTTCCTATTTGATTTCCACTTTACCCTACTTAAATTGTAATTATTTATTTCATTAATTCATTTATTAATTCAACTCATGCACTCATTATTATTATTCAAACATAAATAAGATCTAGAAATCTAAAGGGCTTATAAATATGAACAATCCTTAAAAACTAAGGAATTATAAAAATATTAAATCCTATTAAAATCTTGTGAAAGAATGTTATCAAATAGATAAATGCAAAAAAAAATAGGCTTAGTCAACTTAATGTCCTTAAGCATGAATAAAATCCTCAACAATTTTAATTATAAGAAACAGAAGCTATTCATAATCGATATCTCAATTCTCTATCAATTAAGCCCTTAAATTGAACTCTTTACAGATGCTTATCAAAAATTGATATTGATGTAAAAAATACTTAATATTACAAGAAGAAACTTGAAAATTAATAAAATATGAAGCTAAAATCTAAAATGTTCATGAAATACAAATAATGTAATGATAAGAATTATTCAACTAATATAAATTAAGACTTCAAACCTAATAGATCAAATAATCACTTCATAGTCAATAAAAGCTTAATTTACAAGTAATTATTGTTTAATTTGTGTTAGAAAATTCAAAACAAAAATAATATGCCAAATTACAACATTTTTCATTATCTATTGAGTTTATTATTTATTTTAATTGTTTGTAAATAATGTCATAAGCTGATCCACTATTAAAACTAAGATTAAAACAATAACGAGAGTTGTAGCATCTAATGGAATACGAAAAAAAATTAAAAGATAAGGAAATTAGAAATTCGCAACTGTTATTGAAAAAAAAAGAGAAATTTTAAGACATCTCATTGAAACAATTAAAATTTAAAGAAGATTTAAAATAAAAGGCTGAATAAAAAAGAATTGAATTTGAAAAAAATCTAAGTCAAGCCAAAATGATTGAATTAGAATAATTAAAAGTTAAGATATATTTTTATATTTTAGCAATCACAACTTTAAGTTAATAAAACTATTGAAAGTGTTATGAAATTTGAAAATGAATATTAAAAAGAGCAATTTGATGTTTTACTTAAAAAAAAATCAGAACACAATCATTAAATTGAATAAGTTTTGGAGAATAATAAAAAAATATAAACAAAAAAATTAAAAGATTATAGTCAATCTTTGGATGCAAAATTTAAATCCTCCTAAGACGTATAAATTATAATAATTATTCTATAGTTACAAGAGAATTTGAATAAACAGTTAAGTGACAGATAAAAGTAAGAATAATAAAAAATATAAACTTATTTCAAATAAGTTGAAGAATAATAAACAAATTTATAAAAAGAGAGAATGAAAAAAGGAGAAATGTTTGATGAAAAACTAGATAAAGTAGAAAAATTGAAATAAGAAAAAGAAAAAGAATTGAAAGAAAGATAAAGACTTAGATTAGAAGCTGAAAAATAAAAAGAATTGTTAAATAAAGAGTTTTAAGAAGAAATTGTGGTAATAAATTACAAATATCTTTAAGAAAATGTAAAAGTCAAATTTTCGCAAATAGCTGATATCGTGAACAATAATTTCATAAATTATATATACTCATTATAAATATAATATATTATTATATGTAAATTAGAAGACCATTAATTTAGAAAAAAGACCTTAGAAAAGATTTCAAGAAATAAGAATAAAATCTACCAGATTTATCTGATAAATTTAAGAAGGTTTTTGAAATTTGTGGAGATGAAATAATATCTTACCTCAATAAAAAAGAATAATTGCAATTAAGATCAGGTTATATTTCATTTTAACTTTTAGCTTGTAGAATTTCATTTTATATGGTGTAAAGCTATTAAGTATGGAATATGATGATTTTTGATAGTGATCAAATTAGCTAAGCTACAACAAATGATTCAAATATGAAAGAAAGCTTTTTGAAAAATTCATTTTATTCTAAGGTAGGAAAATCACGTCCATCAACTCAAGAGACAATATAGAAAGAATAATGGTTGGTTAAACCTGTAAATTATAATCCACCTTAGAAAAAGTTATTATTTTTAAAAAATAAAAATAAGATTGAAGATAATATCCTTGTATTATGTTAAATTTAAATTAGTCTGATGAAGATCTTAAATAAACTATCACAATTTGGACACTTAATTTAAATAGTCTTGAAAAATAAATAAACATTGCAAAAATATAAACTGACAGTTTTATTTAAGAAATCACATTATGGACTGATCACATAAATTTATTGCAGGAATTTTAGAAAGAATATTAACTTGAACATGTTAGTAAAATCCTTTAGTTATTGAAATAAAAATCTATAATAGATGTGAGTTTAGATAGGAAGAGAAAAATCATATAAGATATCTTTAACTTATTATTAAATGATTTTGAACTAAAAAAAAATTATTCAATTGATATTTAGATACTAAAACCTGTTTGTCAAAGATTGTTATAAGTTAAGTTAGCAGACTTTTAATAAGAGATTCCAAATCAATTATGGCCTAAAATAGATTAGATTTAAAATTAATTTGATAAGATTTTTAATATAAGGAAAGAATTCTTTTTTATGAAATTATTTTAGATAACTTAAAAAATATTTTCTATTAATTTAAGTTGGATAGTTGATTTTTCAAAATATGAATTAAATCTTAGTTTATTAGAATAATTTTAATAGTTTCTAATATAATTAGTAAAATTATCATTTTCTATCACTAGATTTAAAGACATTCTTTTGGAGAAAAAAAATTTAATTAAAATTAAATTCAACATTCATAAAATGAACTTTATTTTTAGACTTACAAAAAATCAATAGATGATATAGTGAAAATGCTAAAGCTTAATAAAAAACTTTATGATAGCTAAAGAGAAAACCTCTAAGTATAAACAATGTTATAAAATTACAAACAATAAACTTTTGATTAATTTTAAGAAAAGCAATAATGGGCTTAAATTTATGTAATAAACTTACTATTAATTAGAAAACTTGGAAAGAAAAATATTAAAACATAAAAAAATTATAGTAAGATGAACCAGAATCACAAGAAGGAATAAGTTTTGGGTTTTTTTAGACTAAAATGAGTTGGAGTATATAATGATAAGATTTTTACATTAAATTTCAAAATTACTATTTCTTTTAAACTGAACTTAGTGGTCTAACTTTAGATGACTATCTATTTTATGATTCTATAACAATCCTAGTTTAATAGTATTTTCTGCTTTCCAATTATATTTTTATAAAGCATAATCACGTTCTTTAATATATCTTAAAAGTTGAAATTTTACCTCTTTAAACTTAAGCTAACTGTTACTGTTGATTTATAATTGATTAATTATTATTCTAAAATATTAAATAATTAAAATTTAATATTATTAATAACTACAAAAAATTTAAATAAAAACTGTGTTTTAATTTATCTTAGTTCACAGTAACTTACTCATAAACTTCACTTATCATTTCTTTTAGTTTATTAGCATAAAACCTCACAGTACTAAATCTATAGACATAAAGTTAATTGAATCCAATTAATTATAATCAATTTCTAATATAATTTAGCTTGATGATTATCTCAATTATTTAGTAGCTGTTTTATTAGTTTTTTCAATAGTTGTTACACTATTAGTATCAAGAAAATGAAATAAACTTTATTAACTATAAAATAAATTGATACTTTTTATGCTTAATTTTATTTGGCAAATTAGATTTATCTTATTTAGGAATGCTAAATGATTTAATCCTCCATTATATCCTCCAGTTTCATTTTTATCAATAACTTTGCCTTAACTGATTATAATATCATATAAATCTAACAATTCATCTACAATTTAATTAATTTAAGATCTAAAATTTAATTAATTTAATTAAATTACTTTTATTTCTCTCTATATTTTTTGAATTAAGTAAGAAAATTCTCAATTTTATCCACTTTTGCACTTAACTATTATTCATACTGAAATTTATATTGATCCAAAGATTTATGATATTCATTTTTAATGATTCCTACGCTTTTAGTGAATTCCTATTCAATTTCTATTTTGATTTATTTTTTTACTTAGACTAACATTTTTGATTAAAGCTTTTATTAATTTTTAAAAATTGTAAGATCTTAAGTATTTTTGGCAGAGAGTCTTCCTAGATCAATATTTAATCCTAATAGTCTTTATAATTCTTGAAACCTTTTTTTCTATTTTATATTCTTCAATTTCATCTTTCAATTTTTGATTTCTTTTTCTTATTGTACATTAATTTAAGTATCAAAACCTAACATAGATTATTTTTTTAGCTTAGATTAATAGTCTAACTTATAAATAAATAATGGATGATTTTGAAAATTCATAAAGCTTCTTGCTATTGAATTTATTGTTATCATCTTCTTTATTGTAAAGCATTTTATATACAAATAAATTTATTCAACACCTTGGTTTCAATTATCAAATGTTTTTATTTTTCCTAGCAACCAATGTTAAAATTTTTATATATTTATTCAATTTCTTCTTTACAACTAAACTTTTAATTCAAACGTATACAAAATATTCTAATTTGGAAATCTATTAGGTCAATAAATTAAAGATAATAAATAAAAATCTAACTAAGAATTTAATAAATAATATCAATGATAAAAGAAAAATTTCGAAAAAAATAGTCTTTTCTCAGATATATTAGTAAACTATAAAATAATTATTTAATTTATTTTTATTTAACAACAAATCCTATCATTTTAAAAAAAAACTTATTTTTTCTTCTCCAATTCCAAAAATTAAATAAAACTTTGTATTTAAATTTACAATGAATGATTTTTGCTATTTGAGTTATAAATGATGAATACACAATAAATATTCCAAGGAATAGAATTTAGATAATTTACTAAAATATATAAGATGATAAAATTTTGTTAGAATTAAAAACTTCTAAAATATCAATCATCTTTAAACAATAAGAACAAAAATTTTAAATAAAGAAATTATTACAAATATTTATATGAGTAGTAATTAAAAGTTTATTCAAAATTAAGAAATTAAATTTAAAGTGCTGAATTTTTTAGATAATAGTTTTAACGGATTTTTAAGTAAGATAGAAGAATAAGTTAGTAATTGAAAAAGGGTATAGTTAGTTAATAATAAAATAAATGGAAGTAAATGATTATATATAAATTGGATAAAGTTCATATACAAATTATAAAGTATTCGTTTTTAAAGAGAATTGATAAGCATTAATATTAATATATTATGAAGACGATTATACTTATATTATTGAGTGTACAGATCTTGCTTGCTCAGGATCCTTGGGTAACCCACTACACAGCATTTACATCAGCAGAAATAAATGATTTGGATGGTAAAGAATAATTATAATTATAAGGTTGGGTTGTAAAGAAAGCATTTAAGGGAAATACATTTAGTAAATGTGATAAAATAAGTTTGGTTGGTGGTTATGGAGCTTTTGGAAAAGGAGCAACAGCATTAAAATAATTGAATCTTCCTCCACATTATAAATTAAAGATTAATGTGCAGTTATGGAAGTAAAAATTAATTTATATAATAAAACCTTTAGAATCGATAGTTGGGATAATGAAATAATGTATGTATTAGTTGATGGTTTCATATGGTAAGCAAAGTGGCATTATTCAGAAGGAGCAAATTTATGCGGTGCAGCAAATGATTGGAAAGAAGCTTTTTATAATATTGAATTTGAAGTTCCTCATAATTCTCCAACTGTAAGTATAGTAATGACTTCAAATTTGGATGAAGATGCTTTGAATGTAAGATTTATTCTAATATAGGAATCTTGGGCATTTAGAGATTTCAAATTATCATTCTAAAGATGTCATCCAGAATGTTCAGTTTGTAGTGATAATAAACCAGATAATTGTTTCTTTTGGACAAATGTAGCTACAAATTGGAATAAATAAATATCATTAGAAGGTTGGACATTAGATGGCGAAGGTAAAGCTGAAGGAAATGAATGTGCAGGAGTATAGCTTTTTGGTGGTTATGGTAAATTAGGAAGAAAAGCTAATTTGTGGAAGAGATTTACAAATTTACCACCACATTATTAAGTTAAAGTGAAAGTATAAATGTGGAAGATTGATTCATGGGATAATGAATTATTTTTAATGGAAATTGATGATTAAGAGAAATTTAGATAAGCATTTGCATATAATGAAGGAGTAGATTTATGTGGTGTTGATACAGGTGCAAAATAAGGAGAAGGATGGGCTGAAAAAATAGTTAATATAGAAATTAATGTTCCTCATAAATTCCCAGAAGTAAAAGTGTTAATGAAATCAACATTGGATGAACCACCTGAAAATGAATCATGGGGTGTTAGAGATTTCTAATTATTTGCTGCCTAATGTTTCAAAGGTTGTACGGGTTGTACTGGACCTGCTAAATCTGATTGTACTTCATGTGGTTAAGGATTTGATTTAGTAAATGGAGAATGCAAAGAAGGAAGTAATTTAATTTAAATATTTTAAATAGTTAAATGGATGACATTAAATAGATTCTTCTTTAATGATGAATAAGATTTCTAAGGATTATATGATTGGGTTCCATCTAATGTTTTCTAAAATTAAAATCCATTTTCAACATGTGGTTAAAAGAAACTGTTTGGTGGTTATTAAAGGTTTGGTCTTAAAGCTAAAGCTGAAAGAAATTTCAATCTTCCTAAACATTCTAGACTCAGAATCTAATTCTAATTCTGGAAGATTGATTCATGGGATGATGAAAAATTCTAACTCTTCCTTGATGGCAAAGTTATATTTGAAAGACCATTTGGATTTAGTACTCCAGGATAAGCTAAAATCTGTGGTGCTCCTTAAAGTACTTGGATGACTTATTTCTTTAATGTTGATGTCATTGTTGAACATACTAATCCTACTGCTAATATTGTTTTAACTTCTACATTAGATTAAGCTGCTGATGATGAATCTTGGGGATTCAGAGAATTCTAATTACTTTATGAATTAAAAGAAGATTGTGTGGAATTATATACTGAATGTGGATTCAAAGGAACTAAATATGAAATCTGTAGAGACACTCCTTCACTTGCTAGAGTAATCATTTATTTCTATTTTAGGAAAAAGTTAATTAAGTTAAATCAATTAAGATCCCTCCTGGTGTTATTGTCTAAGGTTTTGATGAAGAAGTCTACAAAGGAAAAACTGTTAAATTCTCATCAAGTTAAGATTGCTTAGAAGAAATACAATTTTCTTTCATACAAAAAAAATTTGAAATCATTCAAGCTGATGACTCTATCCTTGCTGCTAACTTTAGACGTATCAGATTTGATTGATTTTATAATCATTACACAATATTATTTCTAATCAAAACTCTCACTTTATATTTTATTATTTTTTATATGTAAATTGAATAAAGCATCTTTTTTGATGAATTTAATTCACAGGAGCTCTTAGAAATCTCTAAATGCATATCAGCTATCCCTGATCTAATCGATATTAATGTAAAATATTATTCCATTATTTTATAGTTAACTTTCCTTAACATTTCCCAATTTACCTACTCTGCTTAATTACAAAATCAAATCGCTACTAATATAAAGTTGTATATAAATTTAACCTTATATCAAGTGAAAACTCATCACACTTGACAGAATCACAAAAAAATCTAGAAGTTGTTATCATGCAATAACTTACTGTCCAAGCCAAATTACAAAATAATTTACATTTTGGCTTATTTTTAACAAATAAATAATCAGAATGTAATTTTCCCTTCTTAATTTAAGCTCAGCACTCAAATCAATGTAAACGGATAAATCTAAATAAATTATTAATTGCAGCAGAAATTCTTAAATTGGAATTTAATTTGTATCATATTTATTCTTATACAGAAAAAATCTGATGGACTCTTATCCAATTAAATATTCAATAGCAGAATATAATCAGCTTTTTTAACAACTCCACTGTCTGTTCGTAATTCTATTTATATGGGCTAAAGTGAAGTCTTACTAACTAATGATTAAATTAATCAACAATCTCATTAATAAAATAAGTATAGATGGATTCATTAAATACCTTTTAATATCACTCAAAAAAGATAATAAACAACTTAAACTCAGAATAAATCCAAACCAAGATATTTTGTTTAAGATTATTCTTAATTAAACTAAAATCCTTATACAGATCCTAAATAAATTAATAAGCAATTTCAAATAACTGGCTGGTTAAGTTCAAAAATTAAATAACATAATAGTAACAGTATTGATGACTAAAATTAAAAATTATAATAAAATTAGATTACCAATTAAAACTCCGGTTTTAAGTTGATTATCAAACAATAGAAAATATAATCAAATAATAATTAATCTAAAGAGGGACATATTATAATTACTCTACCTAAATCAAAAAAGAAATTTGACAGTTTCTCTTCAAAATAGAAAAAACATTCAAATAGCGTGGATTAAATTAACATTAATCGACATTTTAAAAGATTGCTATAAACTTCAGAACCTAGAGAATTATACGCTAAACCATTCTTTTATTCATAATATTCAAAAATTTCGAAAATTACTGTTTCATCATCTCCAGAAAGTTTAATATCAAATTTATACAAGCCCAACAAAAAATAGAAGAGAAAGTTCTAAAATTATAGTAATACTGACGATTACCTTCAATAATAATATTATTCAGATGATAGTTTTGAGGGTAAGTCTTAAAAAATCAATAAAGTAGATTTATATCAATTGTCATAAGTAAGATAAAACTCTCTCCGAAATACTTATGAGTAATCAAATTTTAATTTTACATCAAGCAAGAAAAATAACTTGAATTCATATAAACATATTTAAAATGAATATCAGGAAAGTCCTAATCAGAATTTTCAAAGTTATTAAAAAGCTGTAGACTCCAAATCGATATTTTAAAATTCTGATAATGTAGAAGAATAAAATAGAAATTCGAATATGTAAGAGTACTCAAACTTTCATTATTTCTAAGATAATTAGACTGAAAGTTTAATACATTACAATCCTTTTTCTTCAAAAGAACCAATTTAAATTAAATTAAATATCAAATAATTTATTACATCTGAGTAGTAAATAAATCAATCTTAAAATTCTCCTATGGCTTGTAATTTTTAATGATATTTTAGTTAATTTGTTAAAATAATAGAATAATAGGCTTGCGGCTCATAATTAATGATGACTTTACTTTATTTGATTGCCAAGTTATATTTTTTAATTAGATATTATATATTTCATGATTTTTAATATGACATAAGTTTATTAATTTATTATTTAATAAAAAACAATTTATGTTTCAAAACCATACACCTTTCTACCAATTATTTATAAGGATGAAATAATTAAACACGGGGAAATGAAGTTCTTGTATAAATGAACAAAAATAAAACGAATTTGAAGAAGTAAACCTAGATTTATCTATTTCTCCAAAAAAAAGTGATACCAATAAAGAATATTGATATATTGAGAGGATTGAAAACTTAGTAGGTAGCTCCTAATTATTGTTCTCAGAATTTAATATTCAAATTATGATAATTTTATTGAATTAAAATTATAATTCAATCAGTAAAATATTTAAAGTTCATGTATTAAAATAAGTATTCTGTCAAAAATAATCAAGAATTAAGTACTAATTGATCACTACTTTACTTTTAAACTTCTTCTGGTTCATTTTATTTCACTTTTTTCTCAAGAGGAGTGCTTTCTTCTTATTTTTTTTATTTTTGTATCTGTGGCTATCTATAGAGTTCCTTATGATAAGCATCAAGCTATTTCATGAAGCCCATATTAGGTTAAGCTATTGTTCTCTTTGATTGGAGGAGTTTAAGGGCTTAAAGTGGTGTCATTTATAAATATTTTATTAAATAAGCAATAACAAAGGAAGCAGACCTAGATTTACCAGCAAAACTTTTAATATATATGATAAAATACCAATGGATAAGTACATTTTACTTTTTTTAGATGGCAGAATGAATGAAATCATTAGCTATCTCAAACTTTGACTTGATTTCCTAATCTACACTATCGTTGATATTAATGAGAAGAGATTTAAAATCTTCTGGTTAATAAGGAAATATTGGCATCTCGCACACACTTAGAATATGGGTTATTTAAGCTGTTATTTATACATTTTATATACTTTCAAAGAGTTTTTTTTTATTCAAGACTGTTCCTAAACACCCTATATATAGATTTGGTATGACCAAATTTGGCGAACTATCTTCTTTTAGTTGTTTTACAACTAAAAACGCCTTAACTTTCTCTAAAATTGCTTTGACATTCAATTCTTCTGGAAAATCAGCCATTTCATCAAGAATTTCAAAATGTTCCATCTAGCTTTTCATCGAATAAAGTTTTAGATTTTTCTTAAATTATGAAATTTAATTAATTAGTTAGAAGAAAATATATATTTCATTTATAAATCAATTTATTTTATTCTATCTTCAGATGCATGTGAATCATATCTTTAAAATATATTTCTTATAGAATTATAAATATATCAAATTTTATTCAATAAATTACGATTCAAAAAGAAAAAGCCTTCAAAAATGTTGTTAGAAATAAATATCCCATATATTAAATCATAATAGAGAAAAGAAGTATTTAATACTTTACAATCTATATAATGTTATTATAAGCACATTCTAATATTCTGAAAAGATAATTTTTAATAAATAACCTAATTTAAAGTATTGGTGCAAAATGTTTAGTATTACAAAAATTTTTATCCTTGATTTTTTGAAATTCAATACTTTTTGCATACATTTATTTGAGTCATAAAATTTAACTTTAAGAATCTTAAATAAAAATTTATTAATGCAATGACGGGAATGTTTTGAAGCTAATAATCTATTTCTAGATTGTTAGATTATATTTAATTTAAATTTGGAATAATAATCCATAAAATTTTTATTTTTGATTAAATTAAAATTATCTAATAAAACATAATAATTAAAAGTAAAAATAATATATAAATAAGTTGAATTAATTTATATAAACAATTCAAAGATTCAATTATCATATTTATCAAAATAATATAAAAGCAATCCAAAAATATATTAATAATTAAATAAAATTCATCTTTTGGTATAGGAACTAGTAAGATAAGATATATTAGATTACTTGTATCCAAGCGTTCCAATTCCAGCTTGTTAAATGATTTTATTATTTTTCTCGAATTTCTCATTTATCTGTTTATTAAGTGTTGATTTTTGCTGCATATCCATTGAATCAATAGTGTATTGTTTCTTCAAAAGAGGAGTTAAATTATTTTAAGTATATTGAGTATTAACTGATGATGGTGAGTACTATTAAAATCTAAAAAGTCAATAAATGATACTCAAAGAATTATTTTTTGTCTGGTACAAAACTATGAGTCAGAGCATATCTATCTACACTCATTTATTAATTTAATTATCCCAACATAGTTTTAGGAATGGCAACTATTTCATACTCATCCATGTCTATTTGATTAAAATCTGGTTATATTCTTAATGGTATATTTTTTAATTATTTATATCTATCATCTATGTAGGATTTTTGCTCAGTTGCATTTTGGGTTGATTTTATAACTTAGTTTCCTGTATTACAAAATTTCTAGGAATATTTAGTGCAATTTCTTTATTTTGGAGAAATCTAAATATTAGTAAAAACATGAGATTTAGTTTCTCTGATTCCTTCAGTATATAAATTAGTCTGTTTTTTTATGGGAGATAAGTCTTCATTTTCTTAAATATATTGATTGTTCTTAACAATAGGCAAAGAAGGCTTATTTACCATTCCAATAACTCCATCTTTGTTCATCACTGTCATCTTTCCTTTAAATCGAGATTNACAAAAATTTTTATCCTTGATTTTTTGAAATTCAATACTTTTTGCATACATTTATTTGAGTCATAAAATTTAACTTTAAGAATCTTAAATAAAAATTTATTAATGCAATGACGGGAATGTTTTGAAGCTAATAATCTATTTCTAGATTGTTAGATTATATTTAATTTAAATTTGGAATAATAATCCATAAAATTTTTATTTTTGATTAAATTAAAATTATCTAATAAAACATAATAATTAAAAGTAAAAATAATATATAAATAAGTTGAATTAATTTATATAAACAATTCAAAGATTCAATTATCATATTTATCAAAATAATATAAAAGCAATCCAAAAATATATTAATAATTAAATAAAATTCATCTTTTGGTATAGGAACTAGTAAGATAAGATATATTAGATTACTTGTATCCAAGCGTTCCAATTCCAGCTTGTTAAATGATTTTATTATTTTTCTCGAATTTCTCATTTATCTGTTTATTAAGTGTTGATTTTTGCTGCATATCCATTGAATCAATAGTGTATTGTTTCTTCAAAAGAGGAGTTAAATTATTTTAAGTATATTGAGTATTAACTGATGATGGTGAGTACTATTAAAATCTAAAAAGTCAATAAATGATACTCAAAGAATTATTTTTTGTCTGGTACAAAACTATGAGTCAGAGCATATCTATCTACACTCATTTATTAATTTAATTATCCCAACATAGTTTTAGGAATGGCAACTATTTCATACTCATCCATGTCTATTTGATTAAAATCTGGTTATATTCTTAATGGTATATTTTTTAATTATTTATATCTATCATCTATGTAGGATTTTTGCTCAGTTGCATTTTGGGTTGATTTTATAACTTAGTTTCCTGTATTACAAAATTTCTAGGAATATTTAGTGCAATTTCTTTATTTTGGAGAAATCTAAATATTAGTAAAAACATGAGATTTAGTTTCTCTGATTCCTTCAGTATATAAATTAGTCTGTTTTTTTATGGGAGATAAGTCTTCATTTTCTTAAATATATTGATTGTTCTTAACAATAGGCAAAGAAGGCTTATTTACCATTCCAATAACTCCATCTTTGTTCATCACTGTCATCTTTCCTTTAAATCGAGATTTAAAATCCATTAATCAATAAATTTATAAATAATTATAATCGACTAAATGAATCAATTTTATGGAAATTTTGTTAACTTAGATACTTCTATTGTACAATAATTTCTCTATCTAGGGAATTAATCATAATCTACCCTTCTATCAAAAAGCAACAAAACATATATTTAATAATTAAAACGTTAAACAAGAACTAAATGAATAAAGTTTACAATGCAATATTTATCTCTTTTTATCAATTGTTCATGGAATCAAACGATTAAATAAACTATTTATTCAGTCATGTTCTAATAGAGATTAATTTCTTTATTTATTCGACACTCAGCAATATTCTCTCCTACTTTACAAAGTTCTCTAAATTGTAAATCAATATTTCAATGATGATGACTCAAAAATTTAATTTGAGAAACATGCAATAAATAAATCTTGGCATTCTTCTGAATAGACTCTATAATAAACATCATCTTTTTAGACATCTGCTAACAACGAAAAGTTTTAGTAGAAAATAAAAAAAATTATTTCAACTGACTTAGATCCGTTAAAATCATTGATTCATAAAGTTTAGGATTAAAATAGATCATATTAAAATTCATAAGCTAAAATAAATTATACACCCCAAGTGTCATTTCACTAAAATAATAAACAAATGAAATAAAGTTCATTGAAAGATTAATTAAAAGAAAAAATAGCTAAATTGGCTATGTAAAATACATATCATTGTTAGGAGAAAATGATTAAATCTAGTTCAGATTTAATTTAATAAACTCAAAATTATATAGCTGTTAATGAGTCTTTGAATGAAAAATAGATAGAGAAAGAAATAATTTAAAAACAGAATAAAATAAATTTTGGGTAATAAATGTTATTTAATAATCTTATCCAAAAAGAGGATTAAATTGGGTTTTAACAAAATAAACAATTGAAAACAATGCAAGAACCGATTCCAACATTTGTTTAGAATAAAAAAACTGATTTTGCAGTTCAAACTTCAGAATAGTAAATTGATGTATAAATAGTTTAAAAAAAAAAAGAAGAGTAAAACATAGTGTAAAATGAAGAGTAGAATAATTAGAATAATGTTCGAACCAATGAAAACGATTAAGGTGAGAAGAAATAAGAAATTTCTGTGAATAGGGTAAGATATTGCCAAGAATGTAAAAATAAAAATAAATATAATAATGGTACTTCAAGTGCTTCTCCATAAAAAAGTGATAGACACAATCGTGAAATATATTCAATAGATTATGTACAGCACAAAAGAAAATTAGGAAGTAATTGTATGAATAGAAATTTTAACATTTTAACGAATGCATAGTTAGAATGAATGAAAAACTAAATAAAATTTAATTATTTATAATGTCAATTCTAACTTTGTATTAGTCTAATTCGAAATCAGCTATGTCTAAAGATAGGGTGGAAGGTCAATCTGCAACAACGCCAATGAAATTAATTAAATCTTAACAATAGGATAGAGAAAAACTTTATAATAGTAATATAATGCAGAAAGCTTTAATTGAATCTTGCAAGAAAAGTAAAGAGAATAGAATGAATTCACCAACATTTAAAGTGACAGACACTATAATTTAAGTATGTGTTGAAAATAAAATAGGCAAATTAAGATGCACCAACATAAAAATCCGGGAAAAAGAAAGGTATATTTAGTGGAATAGATTCCTAAATAGACCCTTTTAGAAATGTTCATACATCTACAAACAAGACAAATGTAAAGTTAATGATGTTTAATGATGGTCATTTTATGAAGAAATATCAACAAAAATAAACAGATATTTAATAAGAAAAAAACCATAGATATTCAATAAAAGTGTTTCAGTAAGAGCCAAGATAAGATGTGGCTCAAAAAAAAGTAAGAAAGAGCGTTCCAGGATAGCCAGTAGCAAAGGATCCAATCTTATCTCCAGATTCAAAAGTTGATAAGAAAGTAAAAGAGTAAATAAATTATTAGCTCAGAATTTCTTGTTCATAAAGAAATGAACATAAAGAATAGATAGAAAGTATAAGAACATATTAACATGCTAATTCATCTTTGGGGTTTCGTGGAAGTGTTTAAGAAGGGTAAAAAAATAATGTAAGTCCAATTAAAATGAGAGATAGTAATACATATAAAAGTGATATGAAAAATATATTAACTTCAGATGAGAACTTTTTAAAACTTGTAATTTTTAGAATCTATATATTGATAGTTTTCTCGAACTGATTATAAAGGAAGTGATAATATTAAGAAATCAAAGAAACTATGCTTAAAAATGGATGTTCCTCGACCAATATCAGCATTTGCTTTATATGAAAAGTGATATATAAATTTTAAATTAATTTACGTTATTAATTTCTGTATAAAGGTGTTGTAATAAAAAATATGAAATGACAAGTGTATAAATAAGATGCTTGAGTGTGTTTTAACAATCTCTACAAAGATTTTCTAATTTTCACATAATATTAAGATCTATCATTTTATGTTACTTTAGACTATTTTAACAAAGAATAAATGATTATTATCTTTTGATAATGAGAACACTTCTCTCTATGATTAAAACAAACTTAAAGAGTATAGAAAGGCAATAGCACTTTGAATAGGTTGATGAAGTACTTTTGAGAGTTCTAACTTTGTAATAAGAGATAAATAGGTTAGGAATGTTCTAAACTGGGTGATACTAATTGATTTGATTTCATAGAATAGGGGATGATGATTGAAATGAAAGTTGTCAAGATAATGGTTTGGAAAATTAAAAGATAAATAAATGCATATATGAATTAAAGTATGCAAATTATTGCTAGAAATGAGTAGTTAACAAAGAAGATTCGAATAGATTGGTTGTCTTCGAACTGGTGAATATAAGGGCTAAGTATTATTTATGAAACAAATTAATTATTTTCAATAAGCATTTTCTTAATTGAATAGATAGGTTCTGGATTTGATTATATTAAGTTAGTAGCTAAGTATGAAGAATAAACCTGATGAATAGTAGCAAAATTAAAATAAAAGCTCATAATTCGAAGACAATAATGGAATTGATTTTGGCATTCGCAAAGTGATTAAATTAGGAGAGAATGGAGATAATAATAGTGCAGACATTAGCATTAATTTAGCCACTAATTTGCAATACAAATCTTAAAGAGTCAAGGAATAACAAAAATAAGTGATTTAGTAAATTAAGCATCTTGCACGACAAGGCTCACATATGTATGTAACTATCTTTATATGTCATTATGATCTCTCTAAATACTGTTTCACATATTCCTTATATTATTTTATTGCTTATTTATTATTATTTTAGCACCGGATATTTAGAGCTCCCAACAGAGGTAATAAACTAATATAAAAAGAAAAGCAATTCACATGCCTTAATAGATGAAGTGTTATTAGAGTAAGTACTTTTTCATCACTCTCCAAAATACTATTTCCTTATATTCATCATTTATTTTTTCATTTTATTTTTACTTAGTAAGTTTTTACCGCCAAACTCCATCACTCCACTTATATTTACTAAAAAATTACCATAAGGAGGATAGTATAGACACAAAGGAACACAACCATTGTGGGTAAATGCCTTTGAAGGTCTTCTAAGTGTTGTGGTCTAATTGTATTACAAGAGTGATTAGAAATTAGCTGAATTTATGAAAGAAAAGGTCTTAATTGATAGTAAAAAAGACATTAAGCTAGTATATATAACAATTTATTTAAGGAAAAGAAACCAGGCAGAAAAAAGAAAATAATCGATAACGATTCACCCAATCAAGAACAAATCGAATAATAATAGCCAAACAACCAGAATGCTTACTCTCTTTTATAATAGGATGTCTTAGATATACTCATTTCTCCCCTAAGGACCGATTTTTCATTTGGTATTATATCCATTTTAACTTATAGAAACTTGGACAACTAAAGAAATTGCCATATTCGAATGTGGATTATGTAGATATGGCAAATAATACGAATTCTTGTCACATCTAGTATTTTTATACTTTATTGCTGTAGATTAAAACCAAAAATGCACAAGATATTATTCAATTTTATTACAATTGGAAATTCACAAGCCATTATAAGCTATGGAAAATAAATAAAGCATATTATCATCGCAGCAACCTTAATAACTATGTATGAAATGATTTTATTTTGCCATCATCTGTTTTATTTTATTGATAATACACTATCAAATTTACAAATTACATACTCAAATTCCCTCCCCCCCCCTTTCACTTATTTTTTATACCACATTTTATAATTATTAAATTAAGAAAAATATTAAATAAAACCATTTTTTAGTTATTCTTATCATAGCAAATTACATCTAATAAGTATAAATTAAACGCTATCATTATTTAATATTTCTAATTTCTTCTATAATAAATTTCTCCCATCCTATCTTAGGTACTTTTAAACTGACAGCCTTCTCATAAGCATCTTAAAGTAATAAATTTTTGCCAGGATGATTATGAGGTAAGTTTAACTTTATTTAAACTGCTAACTAATAAAATGCTTTTTTTTGATCCTAAATAATATTTATTAATGATACTTCATTCTAAATGATTGTTGGACTACTTCCCTCTTTACGAATTACCATTCCATCGAAATCTCGTTAATATTATATATCAGACACTATACTATTCGTTACTCTATTTGTTTTAGTTTCAGGATTTCTAACATCCCATTCAGAGTTTATTTAAGATAGAACTTCATTATCAACATTCTATTCCAAGTATTAAGCTCTCAAATACTTCATATTTTCTAAGTCTTCTTTTTATATTTTCTTAAATAACTCTTATTCTAATTTGGCTTATTCTAAATTACTAATTTATATTATTTATTTTACGCTTTCTCTATCTCAACTTATTTATTTAATCTACTTAATTCATTTTACAAAAAACTTTCATCCTCCAATTAATTATTTTGACTTTCTTCAACAAATTACAATTTTAATTATTTCTCTTAAGAAACTGCAAGGACTCTTTATAATGTTAGAATCATAATAAATCGTTTTTGATCAAAATTTTATTAATATATTTAGTATTATTGTGCTAACAATTCATTATACTATTTGAGTTTCTTATAATTATAAGAACATTAAATTATTTTAGTAATGCAATTAATTATCTAATCGCTATTAATTATTTCATCTCCTAATTATTTAGATTAAATAATAATGTTCTATTTTAGTTATTCCAATTTCTGATTCAAGTTTAGAATTAGAGTATGAGCATTTTAAGTCTTGGCTTATTATTTAGATTTAGCCAAACATCTAATGGAATGTGAATCAACATCCTCAAAAGGAATAAGATCTTCACAAATTACACATAATACTTATAGCTCATCTTATTTATTTCTGTTATTCTTTGAAATTGTTTAGTTAGAGCGTTAGACTTACTTATCTGTTCTATTTGGTTATTTTTACCACTCAGGTAAGATAGCTTTAGGTTATGTTCTCTAAAATTTAATTGCTTTCTCTGCTTATAAGAATAATTCTTTTTAATCCAATCTTTCCTTTTATTAAGCTATTAATATTGGGGATTAAGGTTATTTAAAGGGGGATTAAACTGTATGTGTATATATCTGAGGTTAAGGAATGATAATCTATTATTAAGAAGTGCGATTACTTTGCAATTCAAATTATTAATCTTAGAAAGTATTGTTTTTTTATGGGGATTGAATTTTTCTTGAGTATTATTGCAATTACGCATCTAATTAATATTCATTATTATCTTAAGCTCTATTGATGATGGCTCTTTATAATATCTTTTAATTTCCAATTGGTTATACCATTTAAGAGTAATAAACATCTTAATTTTTGTTATTGCCCAATATTTCTGGTTTATTATTTACGAAACTTGAATGTCTTAATGGTAAAATTGGGACAGATGGAGATGGTTAAGTTGATGATTAATTCTAAGAATTTTCAATATTGACAATTTCAGTAATTTTAATTGTTTCAAATTGATCAGGACTATTAACCCTTAATTTTTCTGTTCTAGAAAAGTTGTTTGAATTTAGATTGACATCTGTGAATGGTGGTGGTGATTATTATTATTACTATTATTCTATTTATTTTTAATACGTAAGAGATATAAATCTACTTTTTGGAGGGGTATTTTGTTATATAGGATTAGTTTGATGAGTTTTGATATGTGAAGAATAATTAGGAGGATTGTATTAAGTTTGTTCTTTAGTTTACACAGGTAATTAATTTTATTATGTTAATAGGGATAACGGCTGATAATTTTAATCAAATGGTTTGTATTAAGAATCTATATTAAAATTTTTATTTTCATAAGTTTATATGTTTGAATAATTGTTATTATTATTGTTATTGTTATTGAGATTTGTTATAAAATTAGAGCTATCTTGTATTGGTTTATTAACTTACTAAAATTGAAAAGGAGTGATAAATTTATTGTTGCCATAAAGATCTTTAACTTAATCTTATAATTCAGCTCTTAATTCCTCATCACAAAGTGTTTAGGCATTCTTAGTATTTTAATGAAGTTAAGTTGGTTCATCAAGCTTTCTATAAATAGAATCCATTTACTATATTGGTTTTTAGAATATCTCTTAATTAAATACACCAAAAAATGAAGAATTAATTAAACTATCATCATCTGAGTATTTGATGATTTCTTAATTATATTTTTTTTAATCAACTACCTGCGTAATAGATAATGTATTATTTTAATATTAACTTTCTGTTGTTCCTCTATTAGCAGGGGATTATTCAATGTGAAAATTCCTATTATCAAATGGTTAAAATATGCTATCATTCAGCCTTGATGAAATGTCTGTTTCTGATGAAAATATTTTTTCAAATTCACAAGGTAATTCTTGCCCAATTGTTGGTTGAGGTATTTTGGGTATATATTCTGTTCTACGATAGGACATAGACATAGAATGATCTATCGGCTGAAAAACTGGGTTAACAAATTATTTCATTTATATTAATATTTAAAACTATCCAAAGCAATCATAGCAAGTTCCTTAACTTCTTTAGGGGACTTTAAGATCTGCAGAATAATTTTTAAAATTCCATCTTTAATTGCCAATCTAAATGCTGGTTCATATGTTTTAATATTAATATCCATTACAAATTATAGAATGACCACTCGAAGTTAAATATTTTGAGTTTTGCTAATCACATGAAGAATCGTCAATGTATGTTTTAAAAACATCATTTAAATTGTGGCATTCCAAAAAGGTAGAGATTATCTCAGAATCTCAATCATTAATTCATCTGAATCTACCTAAGTCAAGTTTTTCATTATAAATAAAATAAATTCTTCATTATACACAATTCCTCTAAATTCCTATTCTATATTCTCAATAAGCAAAAGCAATTCTAACATATGAAATCGACATCTCTCTTTTGATTTAATATTTTAGACAATTGATCTTTTAATTGAAATTAGATGTTTGAGAATTGGGACTTGAGATTAATTTTAATTCATTTTATTAAGAATGTAAATATAAACAACTTTATTTTGAAACTTATGTCCAATTCTATATATTTATTTCTAAACTTGATTAGATTCAAATTATTTATAATTTATTAATGGGTTCTTGCTGCTCATCAAATAAAGTTGTAAAAGAAACTTATGATTATTCAGATGGTGGAGTATATTCTGGAGATTTATAAAATGGCTTACCAGTACTAAATGTCTTAACAATATTGATAGCAAGGCAAGGGTTAAATTAGTTGGGAATCAGGGTGTTTTTTTGAAGGACTTTTAGATCAGGGTAGAAAAAATGGAAAAGGATTGTTTAGATGGACTGACGGTTCTTATTATGACGGAGACTTTATAGATGAAAAGTTTAATGGTTATGGTGAATATTATTGGGCAGATGGCAAAGTCTACAAAGGTAATTGGGTTGATGGAGATCTAAATGGTGAAGGGACATTACAATACAAAGATGGAAGAATATATAAAGGTATATTGATAATTCATTTTAATAGGCAATTTTACAAATGATAAACGGGATGGATAAGGGGAGATGATATGGCCCAGTGGAAGTAAATATATAGGAACATGGAAAAAAGGTAGATAACATGGTAAAGGAGTATTAATTGATACAAATGGAAAGAAAACAGAAGGCACTTGGAATAAAGGTAAAAAATTATGATCATCATCATTATCAGATTTTATATGTCATAAATTTAACTTTTTATTTTATCTCAAATTATTTTAATATTAATGATTATATTTAGGTAATAATTAAATTATTTTTTAAGTGAAAGCTATTTTGTCAAATATCTATTCATTCATATTTATAAATTATCATAAATTACCAATATAAATTACATTCTTTATTAAAAATTATATTTTGCGCTAAATTATTAAATTAATCATGTTTTAATAGGAAGATGTATAACATTATTATTAATTTAGAATCGTGTCAAGTCTAAAAGAGAAAACTATGCTGTTGAAATCAGAAACTAAAGTAGATTAGCAATATTTAATCAAAAAAGAAATTAATTTGCTTCATAAGCAACATTATATAAATATGTGCCTGAAAATTTCTTGGAATTAATTCCAGAAGCTGATATTTAAGTATTTGTATCAGAAAAGTTATTGAATCCAAATAATTCATTACCTTATGTTTTGGAAGGCTTAAAACTTTTAAATGAGAAAAGGAAGCAAATCAAAATTTACAAATTACTTTAACCAAAATTATTAGAATTAATAAACCCATTTCTAGGTGTCTTGTCATCTAAAGAAGAGTATTTATCCTACCTAGTATTTTATCATTTATTGAATATCATTTATTATTTAGATTAAGCATAATTGCAATTATTTTATAGCATGACAGGTTTTAAGGAATTATATTGCTATATTAAGGATTCAACATTTGATTTTATGAGATAAGAAAAATTTGAAGTTGCTGCCTTTGGATTATTTACTATAGCAAATATTTTGAGTGAAAAAGCATTAGTTCTCAAACATCCATTCCTGCTTTAATAATATTAATAATTTTTAATTGATCTTACAATTCTGCAATAAAATTTTAAAACAATTCCAACAATAAATTTTGTTCATGGTCTCATGTGGGTATTGAGGAATTTAACTCAATTATCAAATAATATTTATTTATAATTCTTTGATATCTTATAAATGAACATCAACCATATTGAAAAGTTTTAAAACAATAATAATGATATTTATTTTCAATTATGCTAAGATTTTTTATAAGGATTGTCAACTATAACTAGACGTATGACAGAAGACGAAATCAGTGAATTATTTGCAACTCATATTTAATTACTTATATTTTTGATTTCAAATCCATGGGATCCAAAAGTACATTTAGAATAAGCTGAAATTCTTCGAAATCTTTTATATGGTTAAGATGATGTTATTGAGTAATTACTTTCTCTTGGTTTAAGTGAAGTTATTGCAAAATTGATGTCAAGCACTAATTAAGAAGTTATTGAAGAGACTATTGGTTGTATTAGAAATATCTTTGGAGCAGAAGATGAAGAATTAATTACATCATTTTTAGGTTAGCAACAATTTCCAATCATCAAAGATTTATTATATAGATGTACAGGTGCTAATAAATTAGAAGTTAGAAATGAAGCAATTGGAGCTATTTAAGTATTATTAACAAATTTTTAAGAATCTGGTGAAGCTGTAATTAAATTTGGAGGTGTTGAAATTTTAATTAATTCATTAACAGATACAGTTGGTTAAATTGAAATAATCAATAATATTTTAAGTTCAATATACCAACTACTTTCATATGATTTATCCATAAATTTAGATTAAGTAAGATAATTAATCTAAAATTGTTCAGGAGAGTAGATTATTAGCTAATTTCTTGATAGTAATGATGAATTAACAAGAACTTTAGCATTCAAATTAATTGGATTTATTAATTTAGAGTGATGTTTACATTTTCATTTTATATGAATATTTTAAATAAATTATCACCACAATTTAAGCAATTTCTTTAAGAAGAAGGCATTAATGAAGAAATATTTATGTTTGAATAAACACTTCGTTACATTCGGATTAAACCAGATTATTTGATTACTTTTGAAGAACTTTAAAAATAAGTTTCTGATTCAATTCTGCCAATCACTTAAATTCCAACATTATATTCAATTCCAGCTGATTAAAAAATTAATAATCTTCAATTATATAAAGATGGTATTTTATATGGCATAGATAAATCCAGTGCTGCTGTTGTATATTCATTAGACATAAATTAAAATGATAATAATTTATTAGAGATTTGCTGCGCACCTGGAGCTAAATTAACTTTTATTGCAGATTTATTGAGAATTTAAACAAATAAAGATGGAATATAAAGAAAAGTTTTTGGAATAGACATTTCCTAAAATAGATTAAATATCACTCAATCAATAGTGAACAAATATTAATTAGAAAAACAAGTTGAATTAATATTAGAAGATGGAACAAAATATTAAAGTCCAATATAATTTGATAAAGTTTTAATTGATGCTGAATGTACACATGAAGGTAGTATAAAACATTTAAAAAAATATATTGATAAGCCAATACCTGAAAAAAAATCTAAAAAATAATTCAAGAATAATAAGGCATCCAAAAAGTAATTATAGAAAAATCACACTAATATTTACACAACTGAATAGACAAAAGCACATGAATGGACAGAAGAAGATTTCAATAACAGATTTTTAGATTAAAAGAAATTATAAAAAATATATGACTTATAGTATTCTTTATTAGAAAATGGATATAAATATTTAAAATAGAATGGAATACTAATTTATAGTACATGTTCTTTTTCATAAAAACAAAACGAAGATTAAATTATTAAATTTTTACAACACAATAATGATGCAATTTTAATACATCCATTTTGGGGTATGTAAGAGTAATAATGCAAACCTGGATAAATATTTAATACTGTTAGATTTGATCCAAAAGTTTCAAATACAGGTGGAATGTTCATTGCAAAAATAAAAAAATTATGATATAAGAAAAAATTATAATTTAAATCATTTTTTTTTCCCCAATAACACTGCTTTATTGGGTGATTTTTATAATGTTTATCCTTTTGTATTTAAATTGGCAGAAAAAAGTCTATTTATAGCTAAACTTGTTTTATTTGATTGTTATTTATTATCTTTTTTTTGGAGAGGTAATTAAGAAATTGAATTAGAATTTTGAGCATTAGAATTTTCATTAATTTTTTACTAATATTGGATGGCCTATCCAAAAGTTGGAGGTCTCTAATTGAACTTTTTTGATAAAGCATCTTATTACTTTTTTTTAGCTTATTCAACAATTTTCAAAAGATCTGGTTAAAAGAATTATTATTCTTATAATCTATTTTTTTTAGTTTATTAATTCATTTCTTTTTAAGCCTATAAAATCTTTTATAATCTTTTTTCTTTTAAAAATTCTTTTTTTTAATCTTTGCTCATTTTCAAATAGTTTTCAAAATCGGAATCATAGTTTTCTTCTTCACTTTCTTCAAATTTATGCATTAATCTAGCTTATTTTTCTTCTTCAGTTTACTCCATATTAATTAAATCTATATTTGAAATTTTACCATTCCTTCTTTTGAATTCTCCTTTTAGAATTTTTTTAATATCTTCTTTCTCTTATGCATGTACTCTATCCATAAATATATGAAATGCTCTTATTTCATTTTCTTCATCTAAATCTTCTATTTTATCATCAATCATTTCTAATAATTCTTTTTCTATAATATCATTTTCTTCTTCATCATCTTCATCATCATCTTTTATTTCTTTAACAACATCATCATGAGATTCATTATCAGATCCTTATTCTGCTTAATCTTCAACCAAATTAGATTCAATAAACTTTCTCATTTTTTCTCTTTCTTTTTATCTCTCTAATCTTTATTTTTTTTTCTCTTCTATTTCTTTTTCTTTTTTCTTTCTTTCTTTAAACATTGTAGAAACTTTTTTTAAACGTCTAAACATATTTAAATCTTCTTCATTAATTTCTTCAACTTATTGATCATCATCATCACTAGAAATTATTTTGGCAAGTTTTTTGTAATCCTAATTATCTTATTTTTTATATTCTTCCTTCTTTTTTTCTTCCTCATCTTCTTACTCTTTATCTTCATTATCTTCGTTTTCATTTTCATCAGAACAAGAATCTTTTTAAATTTATTTACCTGTTTTAATTTATTATAATTATTTCTTTTCTTCATCATCAATCTAACTCATTATATCAGATTTCTCTTCTATTATAACAGCAAAATCTTTATCTTTTTCAACTTCATTCTTTTCTTACTCTTCAATTTCTTTTTCTGTTAATTTAGATACTTTAACTTTATTATCTATAAATTTATTATTATCATTGCTTTAACTACTTCCATCATCAATATCTTCACTTTCTTAATTTAATTCAGCTTACTTTGGAATAAAATCTTCATCAGGAGATGAATCATCACCATCATCTGCTAATTAATTTTTTTACCTCTATTAATCAATTTATTCAAAAGTTGTACTTTAAAATCTATTCATTAACTCATTTAATGATAAATTAATTTTATTTGCTTTATGTTCAACTTATTTTTATTGTAATAATTATTAAAATTCACTTCTTGAATAAGCTTTATTACTATTATTCAAACTAGTTGATGTTTAAACAACTCTATCAAAACCTTACTATTTTATTTTATTTAGAAAAAGAGTATTTTCAAATATTTTATCTTTAGCTCCATTTATTTTTGGTATGAATAATTATAACTCTGGATCATCAATATCTTCTTAAGATAATCCTTTCTTTAATCCCATTGAGTAAGTCTTTCTTAATTAAATATTTTTAGATTCTCCTTCTTATTTCTATATTTATTCATCTTATATAAATGAAGATGTTTTCATTAATGATGGAAATTTTGGTAAACTATTTCCATTAAATTCTATATCTTAAGATGGTAACATATTGCTTGAGAATAGAGATCTTTATGATTTTTATTGATCACCAAATACTAAAACATTCTATTTGTATTATTATACTTTGGATAACATGTCTCGTTTTGCTTTTTATTTAATTGCACTTTCTTCTATTTATTATTTTTCAAATTTTAATTCAAATTAATCATCATCATCTATTTCTTAATAATTTTAATGTTCATTTTAAAATTCTTAAGGTGCATCCTCAAATTCAGTAAAGAATTTATGTCTATTTTTAATTAGTTAATTGATATTTTTAGCATTTTATGCTTTTCTTTTATTTGGTTTATTATCAATTCCAAAAGTATCTCTATCATTTCTATTATTTTCAAATTCTATTTCCATTTCTCTTCTTGGTGGTTCATCCTCTTCTTCTGCTTAAATAAATTTTTTATTTAGTAAATTTTCTATAGTTTTTTCATTAGTTTCAACTCCTTTCTTTTTTGGCTTAATTTATTTTAATGGTTTTTCTTTTTTTTATATTTCTTAATTTTCCTCATTTTAATTGGCGGCATTTTCATTCTATTTTTTTTATCTAGGTTTACGAGGTTTCTAAGGATTTTAATTTAATTTTTTTTATTTCTTTTGTTTTTCTATCTCTTGAATGTCACTTTAATCACTAATTTAAATAGAATCAGGTTAATCAACCGAAAATATATCTTTTTTTTATTCTTCTATTTCTTCATCCGAACTTTTAGGTCTTTTAAGTCTACCTTTAATTGGAGCAGATACTTCAAGAACTGAATTTGAATCATCCTCTGACATTGATGCAAATATCTTTATTTAATTATTGCGCTAAATTGTATTATAAATAGTCATTTTTTATAGTGCAAACTAGTTAATTTTCTAATTGACTAATATGGGTCTTCTACTTATTTTGAATAATAAAGTCTTTTTGTAATTGATTATGTTTTTGAAAAAGATTATAACATAGGAGAACTATCTCGTGTATTACATCTCTATTTTGTATCATGGCCTCTTAAATTTGATATGAAATTTCTCTTCCTTCCCATTGAAACTGTAAATCCTCCCTCATCATAACTTAATATATTTATCCTTTTACCTTATATAGCCATCCCTTCCACTTCCATCATTTCTATATCTATTTACTTTTGAATCTATACAAGGAGAAGGTGATGCTTAATATCTTCGATTAGGATATGAACCACTTTCAGGACGAACAGGCTATGTCTAATTTTATTTCCAAAATCCACCATTAAAATTGCTTACGTAAGTGTCCCTACCTGTCCCATCTGCAAAATAATTACTCAACTTTGTATTGTTCATAACAGATTTTATATACATTAATATTTTAACTCTAGATGTATTAAAATATAACTATATAACATAAAATACTATCTAATCAAACTAGACTTATTTAATTATTATATATAATTTTATTTTATTATGGGTCTTACATGTGGGGCTCTCTGCTCTAGAGAGAGAGACAAAACAACTAAAAGTGAAGCAGATTTAGCAGAGTTTGCTTTTTATCAACATTTAGAAGAAACTAGAAGCTAAGGTTCTTATCGAAGAACTGCTTGTATGATGGTATCAATTTCTTAAAACTTTCCTTTAAGCCTATTTCAGAGTTTGCAGGACTAATGAATAGTGCATCTAATTATTGGATTAATAAATAATAATATCAAGTTTGTGGAAACAATAGGCCTATGTTTACATATAATTTATAAAATCGAAATCTCTTATTAAAAATCGATAATTCCGTTTTTACTCTTCAGGAGAAATAATGTGCCATTAGAATTCAAAGATGGTGGAGAAAAAAACAAGAAAAGGCAAGAAAATCTAAAAAGCATTCGAAATCCTATGTGAATCTTTTTTATCGTTGATTTTTATAACAAATTCACTTTCTAATCATTTTATATTTCATTCGTTATCTAAAATATTTATATAATTCTTTTTATTTCCGAAAAACAATCAGAACAACTCTTTTATTTAACTTTAATATTTGATTGTTTAATTATTTTTATGAAGCAACTATTAGACTTATTTAAAGATATCTAATCAATAAATTTATTTATCTATAATGAATAGCACAATTTCAAATTAAATATAATGTTATCAAATATTTTTATTTATTTTTATTTATATATATTTATTTATTTAATTGATATTATAAAATTAGTTCTGCACTTTCAGTTTTTAATTTTTGGTCGTTAACCTCCTGTGTGATTCTTCGATTTATATATAATAATTCTAGATTTGTTGATATATATGATACAATAATCAAAATGTTAACTTTATCTTCTTCATTTAATGAAATGATAAAAAGATATTTATGAAAAAAATATTAGAAATTTGGACTTAAGTCTATTTTTTGTTAACAATAGTACAATTGCATATGAAAATGAAATTTTTTAAACATGATTTTTAGTTTGTTAAACCTTTTTAATGTTTGGTCTTAGGTAAAAAAAAAAATTAATTGGAACCATAACTTAATACTTGCTTTAGAACTAATGAATCATTATATTATACAGAATTAATACTCATTGAATTTAAAATAATAAATAAATCAAAAGAGCATTAGTATAACTTATCAAAGTGATGGATACGTTTTTGTGTAGTAAAAAACTTAAGATAGTAATTTGATTCGTCATATGTAATTGGAGATTAAGATTCAATCACTTTAAAAGTTACAAATTTAAATAATGGAATCATGGAATTCTGATTGAAAAATAAAAACTATTAACTTAACCTCAATTCAATTTGAATTAATTATTAAGTAATTTTCTTAAGATTTGAAAACAAGAAGTGAATTAAAAGTGATATTGTTATCTAGATTCCTGGAAAATTACATTTTTATTATAATCATTATTTTCATTACTTAATTTTTTAAAAAAAGGCCTAAGTATTCATTATCATACTTTTTTTCCTGAATTGCAATCAAATTATTTTTTCTCATTTCAAGCTGAATTTTATTTAAATTTATATAAAAAATATATACTAGGTCAAATAATTTTAAAATATTTATAAATTTTTTATCAGAGCCTTATTATTATGTTCTTTTAAATTTAAATTTTAGGATATTACATAGAATAATGAACTATTTTTAATGTTTTGCTATATTTCAATTTTTTTTAATAGGATACATCATAATAATTTGAATATGAGTATAATTAACTGCAATTTTTGTTTATTGCTTATAAAACTAAAATAACTCGAAAATATTTTTTTACCTTTGAAATATTAAACAATTATTTTAATTCCATAAATGAAATGAAATAGCACAAATAATTATTAATATTTTGATTAGATTAGACAATTTTATTTGTTTATGTGATTAAATCATGTTAAAGTTAAACTTTTTTTGTAATAGATTTAATGTATCTCACAAATTTGTTAAAGGTATATATTTAAACAAAATTCAACTAATTATTAATAGATTGTATTTAAAATATATTAATCAAAAATTCAAAATCATAATTATTAATAGATGAGAAATGACATCATTGCACTTTTAGTTGCTCTCATTTTGCCTTAGTATTTCTCTGAATATAATCTAGGTTTGCTTATTCTAGTTGCAATTATCTAAATCCTGAATTTAATAAAAATAGTGGAATAGAACCCTTATAAGACATAGAAATAGGATTAGATGAAAAAGTAGTGCTTGGAAATTAAAATATTGGGTATGGATTATGGATGAAGTATCAACCTTTTGGATCTAACTTTGATATAAGTATTTTATTAACTTAAAAACAATAGATGATGTTTTTTCATCATAAACAAAAGACAAATCAAGAAATTCTTTTGTATATTTGCTAGAGGAATAGTAAACAAAAAGCAGAATTTTAACATTTTATATAGAAATTTCTTCATTAACATTATAAATAATTCACCACATAGATTATTCTTTTTAGACATAAAAATCAAAAATTTCTATAAATTTTGATCCTCTTAATTATGATGGTAAATGGATATTATTTTACTTTTATTTTAATTACTAATCATAATAAACAACAATAGCATTTATTTTGGAGAACTAAATACTAAACCCAAAAATACATTTGATCGATGATGTTCCTTCTTTACCAAATATTATTAGACAAGTTATCGGTGGAAAATATTTTTTAGAAGATGATAATATATCTTTAATTTTGTCATAATTTTAAGGAAAGATATCTTAAATTTTTAGTGAAGGAGATACTAATTTATTTTCTGAAAATAATAATCTAAACCAATTCATGTAAAATTGCAAGATGGAGACTTTATGTAGAGAAAGTACTTACAAATTAAGTTATTATGATGAAGAATATAGAGGTATTAGATTTCTATCAGAAACAATACCAGTTATAGAATTTCCTATATATATTGTTTAAGGTTGGATTAGAATAAAAGAATTAAGAAAGTAGCATCATGAGATGGTCATTTTAAGAATAACTATAAATAAAGACTATAATGATGATTTTACTATAGGTGATAAAGAATTATACTTAAAATATTTCTAAGACTAATAGTCTGATGATAATGGATTTGAAATTACTACTTATTCTTATGTATTTCCTAGTAGAACTGTATATTAAAGCTAACAGAAAGATATCATAAGAGTTACTGGAATAGAATATTTAAATTTGTTAGGAAATTGGCATTATATCTAATATGAAATTGGTACTCGAGGTAATGAATAACAAGCATAATTTTAAATTTATTTCCCTTCTTAATAAAAAGTTCTAAAGTTTGGTTGGGAACATCCAATCTATCATTTTAGTAGTATACAATTACAATTTCATTTTGGAGGAGATAAACATACATAAAATTTTATGAGTGGATATCTACTTAACTGGATATTAACTACTTATTGTACAGCTCCACTTACCACTTTTTCTCCAAAATGCCATTATTCTTGTTAAACTTGCAATGGTCCTTTTTTTGATAATTGTTTAACATGTCCAATTAATAGTAACCGTATTTTCTTAACTAATAAGAATACTTGTCCATGCAAAACTTAGTATGTAGATATTAAAGATCAATCTAATTGTGAATTAGCATTTTCTATATATCCATAACTAACGCTATTGGAAAAAAAATAAAAATGTAAAATAGATGGATATTAATTTTGTGATTTCAGCTTTAAAATCTGTTCCTAAGGATATTTTCTATATAATTCTACATGTTTGTAATGGTATTATTATATCATTTTATATAGTCCTGGATACTCTCCAATTACAAGAAATTATTTTTATTGTTCAAATTGTTTTTTTAAACCTGAATAATTTTCATTTATGTTAGAATGCACTGAAGATACTATTCAATTAGAAAATTCATGTCATACTATAGAAAGATCATATTCTCAAATTTAAAGTTTTATTGTTTTTCAAAATAGCTAGAATGAATTGGAGTTAAAAGAAAATAGTCTTAAAAATGATTGTAATGATGGCTATTTTTTAGATATTGATAATTATTGCATTCCTTGCTTTTAAGGTTGTCAATTATGCAAAAATATAGAATATTGCCTAACATGCAAAAAGGGTTATTATTTAACAAAAGAATTTTAATGTAAGGAATGTAAAGATTGTAAAGAATGCTAGTTATAATTTAATTCTTTGAGATGTATTTCATGTCATATTGGATAATATTTAAATTCTAATGGCACTTGTACATCTTGTGGATCATACTGTGCTAATTGTAATAATAATAGAAAATGTTATTATTGTGATGATCCAAAAATGTATTATTTAACAATAGATGGTGAAAATTGTCAATATTGTTAAATATCAAATTGTATCTATTGTTACCAATATTACGTAAAAGAAGGTTTAATTTATTCTACTTTGGATATCAATTTTGTTAATGATTAGAATTATTATTCTTCATTAAATATAGGCTGTGCTCTCTGTGAAAACAATTATTATTTTAATTAAGTTTCTTTAAAATGTGAACTTATCGTTGTTATGAATGAAGAATATAATGAAAATGAATAGTGTACTTTTGGCTTAATCACTGATAATCAAGGATCTAACTATTGTTTGATTAGTAAAAATAGATATACTTCTACTTAAAATACAGATTGCTCAGATTTATATGATTGTGTTTAATGCATACAAAATTATAGTGAAGGGATATCTTTTTGTATAATTTGTGATCAAGGATATTATTCATCAATTTTAACTGGAGAATGTCATTTGTGTGATTTTTCTTGCTTTGTTTGTATTTAACAAAACAAAATATATAAAGATTATTGGAAATAGGACATTAAAGCTTATTATAAATTTGTATTAAATTAGGACAATTCTCATCCTTTTGAAAAATATGCAACTCTCTCATCATAATACGATTTTGAAATAATTTGCACAAAATGTAATGTCGGCTATATTCTTTATGAACACTAATGCATTTATGATTGTGATTATGATTGTACAAATTGTCAAGTCATAAATGGCATTGCTACCTGTGTATAATGTATAGAAGATTAAGTTGAAATCAGAAAAAGCTAATATATCTAATAATGTAAAAATTATGAAGATTGTTATTATAAAGCCATTTTGGCTTATAATACCTATTGTTCTAAAGAAGATTATTAAAATCAATTAAATAGTAAAAGTGGCAACTAAAAAGTTGATTTTCAAAAAAAGAATATTTATATTGATTATTTATAATCTCTTTATACATTGGATAGTCTTTTTTCACAAGCCATTAAATATTTAGATAGTAGTTTGGTTAGAGAAATTGATTTTCAATTTACTTTAATTTAAGGGACTACTCCTAAATGTTAAATTAAAGATTTTTAAACTTTCGAAACTTTCATATTAAGTTCGAAAAGTTAAATTGCTGCTGTAAATCTTAAATTTATTGGAAATTCAGATACTACTATTTTAAGAATCCAATAACTCAATATAAATAGTTTTACATCAGTTATATTTGAGATATTACAATTAGAAACTTAGATTATGTTTGATGTAATTTCTGTGGAACAAGTTGAATTCAAAAATTGTATATTTCTATCAATTAATTAATTTGCAATTTAACCACAAATTAAATATTTAAATTTAATTAATTTAGAATTTAGAAATTTAAGTAGCATTAATTCAACAATTTTCGATAGTGTTACTAAAAACTGCTAGATTTAATTAAATCAAATTAAAATCACTTAATCCAAATTTTAAAATTCCAGCTTATTCTATTTATATGCAAAATCTCAAAATGCTGTAAGTAGTTTAAGAATTTAAGGAATTTCTATCTTCTAAACTTAATTAGACAACTCATTCATTATTAAAATTAAAAATTAAAAAGATTTTGAATATGGAGATATTATTTTAGATTTTGTTTAACTTAAAGATGTTAGAATATCAAATTAATCATCTATTTTTTAAGTTCTTGGAGCTAATTTTTTTTAAACAAACAATATTATAATTACTGATTGTTAATTTTTTTATTAATCTTATTTTTATATGTCAAATATAATTTAGATTAAAGGTATTAATATAAATAATATTCAATTGGTGGATAGTAATTTATTTAGTAATAAAATTGATAATTACACTTCTGATATCTCTTTATCTGAATAAGAAAATTTATTTATTATACAGAGTAAAATAGAAAATATCCAATACAATAGAGCACAATCAATCATTTAAATTGTATAAATAAGTCAAGCACACAAAATGAATGTCAAATTAGAATATTTTAATTTAAATAATTGTACTTATACAATAAAATAAATTCCAAATTCATTATCTTATAATAAATCAAATATTTATATTGAATGCTATTACTGCACATTTAATGAGTTTTCTATTTTAAGAGGATATGGATTACCAGATATTACTATTTTAAACTCAAGAAATATAGAAATTAATAACTTTTATTTAATTCAAATGAACTAATATTATTTTAAAACTTTACACTCATCTTTAGATTGTGTAAATAATTATGCTTAAAATTTAATGTCTTATTATTTATATATTGGTTTTTTTTAAAATATAACTATAAGTAATTTGTATTTAAACTCAAGCATAACTTTCAATTACCCTTTTATTATTTTTAGGGGATTTAATGAGATGGATACAACATTAAGTTTAAATTTAATCTTGAAAGATTCAACTTTCGATTCCAATATGTTGATAATCACAAGATCAAATGTAGCAACATCTATAATAGATATTTAATCTGAATTAATTTCTACATTAACTTTTGATAATGTAACCTTTTCTAACAATCATTTAAATTCTTATTTTTAGGATATGACTAAATAATCAGCCTCAACATTATTGATTTCTTTGTAATAAGGAAATATAAAAATATTAAATTCGATTTTTCTTTAAAATATTATGACTAATTCAACAGATTCTATTATGTACATTAAAGCTACTTAAATTTAGATTTCAAATACAAATTTTAAAAATAATAATATTATATCTTTTTCTAGAATTACTAAAAATTTACTATTATTCAATTAAATTGATCAATAAACATTAAAAAACATTTTCCCAATAAATTCACGAAGTGGAAATGGAATTTTAATTTCATCAAATATTATGTTAAGTAATTTGATAGTTGTATAATCATACTCGAATTAAGGAGGAGGATTTAGTTTAATTACTTAGAGTACAAGTATAATAAATATTTAAAATTCATAATTTTCTAATACTTTAACATCCTTATCAAGTTATTCATATTCATTAGGAGGTTGTATTTATATTGATTCTTAACTATCAACACTGAAATTAATAATAAACAATACTATTTTTGATAAATGTTTCAGTAGAAAAGAAGGAGGAGCATTATACTTAATTCCATCAGCTAAGTAAAATTATATCTCAATGACAAATTTAAAAGTTTCAAATTGCTTTTCTATATAAAATACATTTATATCATTTTCTTTGTCTAATTTGGAAAAAGTTTAATTAGATGTTTATCTAAATCAAATAGATTTTTTTGCTACAGAAAAAGGATTTGAAGAATACATTTCTCTTCTAGAATTTCCAACCATCACAGAATTAGATGATATTCGAAACAATAATCCAATTATTATGTTTAAATATGGTAAAATTAATATTGTGAATTGTAACTTCCATAATATACATATCTAAAGTTTAATTAACATTGAATTAGCCAACAATATTATTTTAGAAAATATTCGTGTAATAAATTCTACATTACTATACTCGACTCTGATAAAAGTTAACCTTAAAAATTGTAATAATTTATTTATAATATTTAGCTTAAAATGGATAATTGATATTAAAGAATTTAACTTTCTTAAATATAACTGAACATTAAAGCAATATAAATAAATCCGAAAGTCCTTGCCTTTGGGAAAATTAAAAATATCTTGAAACATTAAAATGCTAATATAACACAACTTCGAATATTAATTTCAACATAAATGAATCAAATATTTCTTTGCAATAGATTTAAAAAGAATGCAATAAGAATTAATTCTATGAGAATATCAAATATAATTTTAGTTTAATTGAAATTGAGGATGTTAACGATAATCATCATATAAAAGCTGAATCTCTTATCTTTAATTCAGTTAATTGCTCTAAATGTTAACATGGACTGATAAGTTTTCTAAATATAAAATAGGTTGAAAAAGACAACATTTTTATAAAGAATATTAATATGGCAAATTGCGTTTGTGGATAAACAGGGTGTTTATCAATATTATAATATTGGAATGAAAATATTTTAGCTACTGAAATGATACCAAATAATCTTAATAAAAGATTATTATAATAACATGATTATACAAAATTAGCATTCTAAGTAAGCAATTAAGTTAAAATAATTGATAGCTTATTCTTAAATAATAATGCTATATTTGGTGGATCACTTTTCATAGTTGAAACATAAGTTTTAATTCATAATTGCAGATTTTAAAATAATTCTGCTAGTATTGGAGGTGCTATTTATTTTTACTCTAAAAACTCAACTTTACTTATTTTTGATAGTTTTATTATTGAAAATAATGCTTAAATAGCTGGAGGAATATTTCTTAATGAATAATCTATTCAAGAAACAAAACAATTAGATGTGATAATGCTAAATAATAATTCTACAAAATTTGGATAAGATATTTATGAAAGTCCACGTTCATTAACTATCTCTGTAGATGCAGGCAAAACTTTCTTAAACAAAAAGATAGTTTTTAAAAATTCTTCTAAAATTATAGAATAAATCTAAATAGTTCCATATAAAGTTTTAGGGTCTTCTTAAAGAGTTAATTTTCTTACATATCCTTCTGGAATTTCAATATCATCATATGAATACTTTGATTTAGAAAATTTAAATTTCATTCCTTACAATTTAACATTTCGGATTATTCCTTTAAATAAGTTTAATCATCAAATGAAAAAGTAGACAAATAGTTTTTGTATACTATCTTACAATGTATTTAATTTGACTGATAATTCTATTTTAATAAATTATCCAGCCTAATTATCCTTAACTAAAGTTGAATTCAATTAAACTTCAGAGGATTTTAATTTAGATGATATAAAAATAATTTTTGACCCTTTAGTAAATGAAGATATAGTTTTGAGATTAAATATAAATTGCAATAACATCAAAATACCTTAATATAATTTAGAACCACCATATAATATTTAAAATTTGATTACAGATTATGAATTAATAGTTGACTTAAAAACATTTAATTGTTAATTAGGAGAATATTTGAATTCAACTTCTGGAGGTTGTATATTTTGTGATCCATCTCTTTAATTTTATTCTGTTTAAGTTAATGCATAAAGTTGTAATTATAAGGATGATTAAAAGATGCGATCTATTAAAAGTTCAATGATTGAATTAAAATCTGAGTATTGGAGAGCTTATTATTATAGTGATAAAATTGAACATTGTTTTCATAATGTAAATAATTGTTTGGGAGGATGGAAACCTGGATATTAATCATGTTTTTTAGGCCACATTGGAGCCTTATGTGAATAATGTGATTTATATAATATAAGAGGTGATGGATTTTATTCTATTAGTTCACCCTATTAATGTGGTAACTGTAATCAGATATTAGATAATGTTTTAACTATTTGTCTAATTAGTTTTTGGACTCTTATTTCTACTTTTTTATCTGTTTTAGGCACTATAAGGAATATTAATGATTTAATATTAGAGATTCGACTTAAATCTTTCAAAATTAACCCTATTAATTCAAAGGTATCATCGGCCATCTTAATTAAAGTTTTTACTAATTATTTTTAAATTCTTTCTACTATTTCCACCTTTTAACTTTAAATTCCACCTGAAATAACTTCAATTATTAATAATGTCGGTAATCCAATTGATTCTATGGCATATTCTTTTGATTGCTTTTTAATTACAATATCAGATATTCTAATAATATATTTTAGAATTATTTGGAGTTTAATCACTGCTGCATCATTTCTCGTAATTTTCTTTATTTTTGGAGGTCTTGTTATATTGATGAAATTTGTAAAATTTAAATTTTCATTTATTTCAACTGCTTTTTTATACATTTTCATTTATGTGTAGCCAAACTTAATTGGAGGCTTAATATCATTACTCTCATATAGATTAATTTCTAATGAATTATGGATTTAAGGAAATGTAGCATATAGATACGATAATAATAATCATTTTTTATGGCTTTTATCATTTTGTTTGCCTTTGATATTATTATTTGGTATACTATTACCTACTTATTTTTTTTATAAACTTTATATTAATAAAAATTTTTTGGATTAGACCTAAATAAGATAGAATTGGGGTTATCTTTATAATGAATATAAATAAAAAGCCTACTTTTGGGAAATAATTAAAATTTTATAAAAAGAATTAATTATTATAGTCTTAGCATATTATGAGGATCATGTTCCAATAAAAGCATCACTTGTATTTTTATGTTTATTTGCTTACATCTATTTAACCAATTCATTTTAACCTTACTATACTGGTTATATGAATTAATTAGATAAATAATCAATAATTATTTGTGCAATCTCTGCTATTTTAGGTAGTTAAATTTATGTAGCTCAATAATCAAATTTAATTGAAATAATTTGGCCCTTTTATATTATTATTGGTATTATTAATTTATTTTTTATTATCAAGATTGTGGTTAAAATAATATTTGCATATTTTAATAAACTTTATGATTAAATAGAAAACATTAGAGAACTTATTTTTAAATACTTTCCTAGTTTAATAAAATTGGCTAATTAAAATTTTGGTTTTTTACAAAGCAAAAAAAAGTAAAAAGCTAGAATCAAAGAAAGATTTGCTAAAATTAAAGGTTATTTAATTTATAAGGCTAAACTTATTATATAATATAAAAGGTATTTTTTATATAAATTAATAGAACTCAAAAATTTGATTTTCCTATCCAAAATAGATCAGATTCTTCACATTTCTAAAATTTATATTCAAGTGGTTTGAAATTAAGTCCTGTTAAATCTAGCTAAAATTAATAATCTTATATCCTGGATTAATTTGATGATTAAAAAAGTTCCTTCTTTTAATTAATGTCATAAATGTAAGGATCACTTTCTAGATAAACTCCAATAGAAACTAGTAAAGTAATCAATTCATCAAAGCAATGATTCATCTATTGTTGAATTTTATTATAAATAAATATATATCATCATATATTAGAAATTAAGAATTTTAATATTATTTATGTAATAAAAGATAATTTTGTTAATATTGATTGGAAAATACATAGGATAAATATTAATTTTTTTTAAATAATTTGTATGAATGTTAAAATTTCATCTTTCATTATTAAGTTAACTAAAAGATTGGATTGCTTTATTATAAATTAATTTGGTGTTAAATACACAAATTCTTCTAAATTGAAAAAGTTTTTTTTTCATCATTTCAATCCTTAATTCAAATTACAACGCTATCAAATTTAGCAAAACAAATTGAATAGGAATTTGTCTTTTAATTTAAATTTCTTATGTATTTAATTTTATTTTTATATTATTCAAATTTAAATTCATTTTATTAAATGTAGAAAACAGCAAACATTTATTTAGAATAATAATAGTAAATTTAGAGTTCTGAGAGGATTAAACAATCAAAAAAAGAAATAAATTTTCTATAAATTTTAGTAAATAACACATTAAATTTTATCACCAAAATAAACTTGAGTGTATGTATGCACAATACTGTTTATATCAAAATCTAAACTCATTATGGAATTTCTGATTTGGGATAGTATAAGTTTAAAAATGGAAAAATCAAATAAATTTAAAGATTACCCCCATAATTTGAGAATTAGATATTGATCAATTTTATTTATTTCGCAATTTAAACTATAATAATCAAAATTTTACAAATATGGGTCAATTGTTCATTAAATCATATAAATTAAACTGAAAATCAATTTCTTTAAAAATAGATATATATCATAATAGTATTTTTTGGATATAGCATAATAATGCAAGAATATAACTATTACATAAAATACATATAGAAGTAGCATGTAATTAAAGTCTTTAAATTATAATTGAATTTTAATAAATGACTAATAGTAGATTTAAATTTGATATTTTGTAATAATAATACAAAAGAATTTTATTTTAACATTAAATAATTGAACATTTTATATTTTAAGACCTATTGTGATATTAATGAATAAAATAATCTAAATTAAATATTTTAAATATCTAAATATTGATGTATATATCTTTCATTATTTTCTATCTATTTATTTACAAAATGTCACATAAGTAATAATAAATTGCTTATGAAACAAAAAAACTCAACTAAAGAAATTTATTTTTAAATATTAAGAAATATAATTAATAAAGATGATCTTATAAGATGACACAAATAATAATTAGAATTAAAGAAAATATAGAAAAAATTAAATACTTTTGATACTGTTTTCAATAGGCGCTAGTATTTTACTGTTTATCTAATTAAACTTAACATTAGATTATTATAGTAATCCAAAAAATTTATCAGACTTGAATATTGCAAAGCCTGAAAATTCGTAATCATAAAATGATATGAATTAAAATAATTTAGATTAATTGAACACTTTATTAAAGTCATTTGATGGAAAGAAAAATTTTTTTTAAAATTGCACATTTTTCGCTAATTAATTTAAAATTAGAGCAGAGATAAATTTATACTTTGGAACAGCAGAGTAATTTTAGCTATGTACTTTTGTTTTAGATTCTTCCTCTTTAAGCAATTTTTTTTCTCCAAATAAATTCTACTTTGAAAATGTCACAGGCTTTTATCAAATTTATAACAAAGATAAGAAATATGGAGTTGAAATTTTTGCTACTTAGGTTGAAATTAATTTTTATAATGAAGTGGGAGATATTGATCATCAAAATTTATTTATAATGAATATCAAGGTAAATTTCACTAGGGAAAAATATGATCAACCATTTGGAATAGAAATTAATGAAATAAAAGAATAAATATTAAATTAATCTATTGTAATTTATTCTGTTTTAGATAATAAAGCTTTTACTTATAGTTTAATTGTTTCCTTAATTACTATTATTTAAATTATTGGGAGCTTAATATTAAACAATATATTTAAAGATCAAATATCAATTGCAAGATAATTTAGTTCAATTACTTTTGAATTACTTTTGGCTTAAGATATAGTTTTGGGAACAATTCATTATTATTTTTCACAATAGAATATAGTAAAGATTAATAATATATTAGTGGTTTTTATTTCCTTTAATCTTTGAATTAATTCAATCCTTTCTACTTAGTATACTTATAATTAAAATTATTGTAGAAGAATATTATCCTTTAAAAATATATTTTTTTAGTAAATTGTTTCTTCCTATTGCTATAATTACAATTTTATTAATATTATGTTTTTACTTAAGTTATGAAGTATTTATAATTGCTTTAAACTTATTTTTATTGCCATAAATATATCATTTAGTATCCAATGTCGAGGAATCTCAATTTTGCTACAGCTTTGTATTATTTATATTGAGTAACAGAATTATCATACCAGTAAAAAATTAATTAAAATTTAGATATATTTATGCTGTTGCCCATTCAATTTTTTATCATTTTAAGCATCAAATTTTACTAGTATTATAGTATTATTGATTTTTTGTACTTAAGTAATTATATATACTCTTTAATGTTAATATGGAACAAAATTTTTCATACCTTTAAAGTATTAAAGTAAAAACCACAATTATTTTGTGATAAAGAATAGTACAGAAGAATGCTCTATTTGTTTTTAATCTTTAAAGTAAAGATAATACTACATAGTGTAATCTTAAAACCCTAAACTTAATTATATGTTATTTAGAAACATAAATATGTAGATGAAAACGCCTTGTGTAACAATGAATTATATTCTAGAAACATTATTTCCACTCTGTTTGTTTGATTATTTGGATGACTATATAAATGTCCTGTCCTTTATGCCGTTCAAGACTTCCATCTATTTTATGATTCATTAATTAACTTAAGTAAATGAAATATAAATTTAATCATTTATTTCTAATACAAATTGTAATTTCTATTTTTGATATTTTACAATTTTCTTTTTATTTATAAATATTATTAATACATATTTTATAATAAAATAGTTAGATGGTTTAATTTAACATAGAGGTACAAAAAGTAAATTTAAACGACATATCAATTTATATTTATTAATATTTTTACTTTTCTAATCAATATTAATATTTTATCAATTTTTGTGTAACAACTTTATTTTAAACATACATGATATATAATATAAAAAACTCAAAAATATAAATTTTGGTTTTAAAATTTAAGATTCAATATTTATAATTGAATCAAAGCAGTATAATTACACTTAAATTATTCAATAAATTCATTAGATCTGTTAGTTTTATAAATAAATTTAGTTTTAATAACAATCTTCTCTTTGTTGAACACCTAATTTGTTTAATTTTCATAAAAACTAAAAACAAATTAGTCTAAACTGAGCTTGTTTTTATAATTTTCTCAAATTAAATACTACAAATTATTAGTTTTTAATTTAAATAAAATAAAATAAAATAAAATAAAATAATAGCAATAAGAAAATAGCAAATAAATATTATGGAAAAAATTTCTATGTTGTGTTGACTTCATATTAAATAACTATTATATATATTAGAATATTTTTAACAATAATAAATAATTTATGTAAGAAATAAAATATCCAGACTTAAATATTTAAAGCTAAGAAACTCTATCATAATAATTATTTGAAAATAATAATTAGAATATTAAATTTATTCCTGTAATAATACCTAATCAGAATTAATTTCCATAAATTACTTAAGCTCAACCAATATTTTAAAATAATCAAATAGCTCCATATTAAGAATATTCAAATTATCAAATCACACAATAATAACAAACAAAATCTAATTTAATAAAAGATTAAGATTTTTTACAATAAAAGAAATTTTTGAAAAAAATTTTGGGAATTTTTATTCTTTGGACAATTATAGCCTGTTTACTTTACTTTTTCTTCTGTCTCTATTTATTAGAAATTTCAAGAATTGGAATAGAGTTTTATATAATATTGATTATTTCAATTATATCAATACCAATACTGATTAAAGTTGGATTGGATCAAAATCATAGAAATGTATAATTATAATATCAATTTTTTAGAAATAACATAGTATTGCAATCTTGATAGGATTAATAATAAGCCATACACTTTTTTATTAAGGAATTTTCGGCATTATTATGAAAATAACTAATGATGGTTGGGCATGTATTTATTTTCTCCTATAAAAGCGGTGGCTATTTTTTTAATTTTCCTTATAATTACAGGGATAAACTTTTTTGCTAATTTCATAATGATGATTTATATAAGTATAGAAAATAATCAAATTAGAAGTTCTTGTAATAATTTATAAATTCATTTTAGATGTTTGTTTTGCACAACTAATTTTTATTTGTCTTTTCGTAATTATACTAAAAGAATTATCATATTTTTTAGTTTTCGCCATTCCATACCCATTTTGTGTTATGAATGTACTAAAGTAAATCCTCAAAGGAAGAGTAAATTATTTGTTTTAATAGATTAGTTTAATTTGTAAGATGATCAAATATTTACAGCCTCAATAGCAGCCTTTTATGGTATGTTTATTTGTTGTTAAGATTGTGATTGATTTATAATTAATAATTTTCTAAAATCCCTATTGTTGATCTCATAACAAAGATCATGAGATTATTATTAAATATATAAATGATCAAAATTTGATTATTTTCTTAAAGATTGACAGATTTCTAATAAATCTAAAATTTGTAAACATTATGGATGAGACTTGAATTAAATTTTTAACAAAAGAAATTATTACATATTTTCACATAAAAAAAACTAAATTTGATTTTATGATAAAAAAGAAGAGTATTACTTTTTTGTTTTATGAAGAAAAATAATAATAAGATTATTTGTTTGATTGTATAAATAATATATTAAATATTCTTTTGGGAATAAATATTTAGAATTAATATTATCTTCTAACCTTGATATTAAATTAAATATTATTAAAGGATCTCTTTTAAAGATTTTAAAGAGGATTTTATTGAAAATATATTGAAAAATATTTAAAATGATTTCAATTGAGTTACCAAATATTAAATGCTTATAAGAAAGCCACACCTAAAGCATTAGCAAGGTTTGTCTAAATAAACAATGTACAGAGCCAAGATTAATTTGCAAATAATGTATTAAAAAGGGATTTCATTAATAACACAATGAAGAAGTCAAAGGGTTGAATTCATTGGTAGATTTTATTGATACCAATAATAAGTTATGTGATAGCATATGTGAAAAGATAAGCAAATAAGGAGATTTAATTATGGAAGCTTTCTTCAAAATAAAAAATGAGATTAAAAATAAGCATCAAATTCAAAAGGAAAGATTTTTAAAAATGGATATCAACTAAATGAATAAAGCAATCAATTAAATGTTTTCACTTTAGGATTATAAAACTAATATCACTAATCCAATTGAGGATTTATAAGCAGAAGTGAAATAAAAAATTGATAAACTCTATTAATAATTATCGATAAGAACAATTAATTTTTCAGAAGTAAGTAAAGATGATGAAAAATCATCTTCTAATTTATACAATAAAGGTATTGTTAATTATTTAAAAAAAGGTTTCAATTTATTTAATAGTCAAGAGTTTGATGAAGCCCTGAAGGTTATTAATTAAACATTAAAATTAAATCCGAATAATAAAGATTCTTTGTGGTGTAAAGGTTATATATTCATTATAATCAATAGGTGAATGTTTAATAATGAAAAACAATTTAAATGAAGCTTTGAATTGTTATAATTAAGCAATCTCTGTTGATCCAAAACATTTAAATTCTATAGCAGCTAAAGGTAAACTAAAGAATTAAAATTGATTAGGAGATTGCTTAAGAGGACTTGGTTAATTCAATGAGGCTATAATTTTGTATGATTAAGCATTATCTATTAATCCAAAGCATATAGACTCTCTTTATGGCAAAGGTATATATTTATTCTATCATTTAGGGGACTGCTTAAGAGAGTAAGGTAAATTTGAAGAATCTTTGAAATGGTTAAACTAAGCCCTTTCCATTTAACCTTAAGATTACTTTTCTCTTTAATCAAAGGGTATTTAAATATCTTTATTATATTTATAGGAGTATGCCTACAAGAATTAAAAAAATTTTCTGATGCATTAGCCTGTTATAACTAAGCTTTAAAGATTTCTTCAGTAGATCAATTTCTTATTATGAGAAAAAGTATTCTATTTAATAAATTTAGACAAATGTGAAGAAGCTTTAAAGAACAAATGAGGAAATAAATATAAATTTAAAATTAATTTAAATAATTTTCATCATCTTTGAAGAATTCTGAGAATCTTCACTAGTTTGTTATTATCGTATTTCATTTCTTTCTCTAACGATGTCAAATTATATATAAGATTATATTTTGTATAAGAATCTATACATTTATTAATTATTGTAAGGGGTTCTTTAATTTTTAGCTAAATAAATTAGCAGAATTTATATTTAAGATTTAAATCCCAGCTTTTTCTGATTTCCTCCTTCTTTTTTAAAGTTCTAATTCTATTATTTTATCAACTTAAATCTTTAATTATAAGAAAATAGAATGATTAAATTATTTTACTAATAATTGACTGTCATATATATCTTAAAATTATGATATCAAACACTAATCTATTAAATGTTTGAAGTATAATTGCAAAATAAGAAAAAATCTAAAGTTTAGATTAAAAGCTAAACTAATTCTGTATTACAGCAAAAGAGCAAATGCTAAGAAATAATTTAAATAAAGTTTATTTAATATCATTAAATAAACTAAAATTTTTGCCATTAATTAGAATTTATTCAGTAGAATTTCTTATTGAAGATATTGTAAAGAAATGTTAAATGATGACAACTATAATAATTGCTCAATTTGATATCCAAAAACTTTAAATCAATTAAAGATGATAAAACCAAATATTATCACCAAAAGATTATTCTTAATTAGAAGATCAAAAAAATAGTCTGAGGATAAATTTGAATTCAGACTTAATATGTATGGAATATAAATCTAATTTTGGTAACTTTTATTTTTGATAATAAAGACTATAATATTATTTGTATAGTAAATGATTAAAATTAAATTTAAAACTGAAAAATATTCAATATTCCAGATTTATAAAATTGAATGAACAAAAAGTAGATTTTAAAATTAGTGTGAAATAACATAAATTATTTTTTTTAGTGTTATCAGGAGAGTTCCAAAGACTCTAATAGAGTTGTTTTATGAAAAAAATAATGCCCAGGATTAATGATTATCTAAATTTAAAGATGAATCATTAAGGAAAATAAATTAGTATGCTATTTTAAAGTTAAAAAACTTCATGTTCTACACACATTCAAGATAAATAATTTGAATCTACAGGAATTAATATTTTAAATAAAAATTGTCTTGAATAAAATTATATTTTAAAATTTTCCTTTTAATTTTACAATTTATCTCAATCATACCCATTTACATATTCAAATCAAAATCTAAAGTAATTTTATTTTTTTATAAAGTAGGAAAAAAGTTAAAATTCTATATTCAAATATGATGATATTATAAAAATTCAGTTGATTTATACATATATAACACAATAATTTATTCTGTTTTAACTTCAAGAAATGCAAAATAATTCGTTTATTAGAAATTTGCAGCAATCTAATATTTTCATAAATTAAACATTCCTGATCAATAAAAGATAAAATCTTGCATTATAATTAAATTTATCTAAAAAATCAAAATGAAAAAATATATCATTCATTTATCATTATGATCAAGAATAAAATAATCAACCTACAAAGCTTGATTAAGATTGTTCTCTTATTTATTTATAATCAATAGTTATCTAAGGTAACTTTAGGTATTTTAAGCTTATATCTCTTTCTTTAATCTCTTCTTCAGATATCAGTATGTAGCTAAAATTAAATGAAATCATATCTACAAACTAATTTATAGTGTTATAAGTAGAGAAATATGAATCCAAAAACATATTAAAAGTGAGTAAATTAAAAATGAATCTATGGTTGTAAACAAAATAGTTTCCCTAAATATTAATTTGATATATTCATAATTTGATTTTAATGGTAGTTCTTAACATAAATAAATCAAGTCACATGAGGATTTTTCAAAATAGTTGTAAAAAAATACAATCAAAAATATATATGGTAACAGATATAAAAATGATTTAAATTGCTAGCCAAAATTTAGATTTTGATTCTTCAAAAAAATACTTCCATTTCTTCCTATTTTTTATTTTTAAATAGTTATAAAGAGTGATTTAAAACTAAGATACATAATTAATCCTAATGAAAATAATGAATTGATTGAATTAAAATTTTCCAAGAATGAGTAAATACTATAGTTAGGCTATTTAAATCGTAATTAATCGAGTATTGTAAGATAAACTTAAACAATGCTTTTAGAGAAATATTCATATTGTAATATCAAGCATTATTTTTGAATTTTATTTTATTATAAAATTATATCCTTAAATATTTAATATTTTCTTTTTTGATAGATCTATATAACAACTTTTATTAAATTAATTAATCTGATTGGGTTATGAAGCTGTTTTTTTTAATTATGGAAAATCTTCTCCGTTTAATTAAAGCTAGAATTTATCAATCTATAAAAAATCTACTTTATTTTAAATGAGATCTTTGAATTTGTTTCTAGAAATTATTAAAAAGAGGCTGATATTTCTGTTAATTATGTTAAATGTAAGAAAAAGATTATAGTAAATCAAATAGATTAAATAGTGTTGCTGGATTACCAATTAAAATGCTAATGTAGCATCATTCATAGTTATCATATATGTTAACTTTTAAATTAAAATCAGATTCATAAAATAAATATTATTTTTCTATTTTTTAATATAGACAACCTATTCAATGTTTAACCTATTTTAATTTTTCTTACCAATAAGAATTTAAAGGAAATTCATTATTAATCGGATATAGAAATAGGTAAACAACAGAGAAAAAAATCTACAGTTACGTTAAATAATGATTTTTTTAAAGAACAAAATTGATAAATTTTGGTTATTTGAAAGTTTATTTAATCTATATGAACATTAGAAAGTGTAAAAATAAATAAAAATTAGCAATATAATATAATTAGAATTTATACAACTTTAATAAGAAAGAAAAAAATAGAATAAGTATAACTTCCAATTAGTAAGTAAATTTTTTGAAGTTATAATACTGATCACCATATAGAGAGCTAAAAATTAAAACTAGTCTTTTATAAATTTTTATTAATGAGGGCCTTTAAACTCAATTCTATTTTTTTGTTTTTTAAATTTTTATTTTTAAATTAATTATGCATTAAACAAATTCGATAAGGACAGTTAACTAGTATTCTCATGCAATCCAATTAGTTAATTCTTTGTATTTGAGAGGAGGTGGTTGTACTATTTCGCCAAAATAATTGAAATATCCAGAAAAAATTTAACATTAATTGCCTGAAAATTTTTTGATTAATATTTAGGTGTAAATAAAAAATATATCTGAAAAATCATATTCCTTTTCAGATAAAATGAGTTAGGATGATGTACTTTCAGCATTTTAATGGTTCTTTAATAATAAAGAATATTTTTAAATTATTTGTAACGATGATTTAATTAATTCTCAATGTTATGATCAAATAGAAAAAGGAGTAGCAATATTAATGAAATAGCTGATTGTTTACATTAAATTATCAGGATATTTGTTTTATTCTTTACTTTAGATTATCAATGATTTTTTCAAAATAATTTTCTCTTATTAATTAAAAAATGAAGATCGCTATATTTAAGAAGAATTTAAGTAAATTTTATTAGAAATTATTTCTGAAATTGAATCTCAAATAAAATTAGAAGTGACAAACATTTGGAAAACTGGAGTTGAATATGAACTCTAGTTAACTAAAATATGTATAGCTCATCTTAAAACTAATTCTGAGAAAGGTCAATAATTAATAATATCAATTTTATGTGGAGTTGCCTAATCCATTTCTTCATTAAAACCTAGTAGTGAACTTATAGATTCTTTAATTGAAGGTGGTAAATTTTTATTACTTAATTTTTATGATAAACAAATTAAAAATCCACTTAAAAAATATGAAGTCTATTATTTTTTTGAGAATCTTAAATGGTCAATAATATCCTAATTGAAATTAGGATATTCTGTTCAAAAAATAATCTATCAACTTAAATAGGGTTTTTGTTAATATATTAAACCATCATAAGATTGGATGATACATTACTGCTGGATAAATTTATTAACAGATCTAATATCATATCGACTAATTATTAAAAAAAGTGAATTTTAATCAAATAATCAAGAAAACTGGATATAATTAGTTGCTTAAAACTAAATTTAATTATTGCCTTATGATAAGAATTAAGCTAAGGTTTCATTTTTTTCTAATAATGAAAACTATAATCTATTAAAGATTGCATAATTTCGAATATTATAAGAGTTTTTATTAAATCATTAAAATGATATTTTGTTGCTGCCTTCATATGTTGAATTTAAATTAGACAATCAGATAAAAGCACCATTAAACAATAAAGATGTAAAATTATAATTATTATGTAATGAGTCTAACTTAGAAATTATATATGTCTTAAATGAAAACCTAAAATCATACTCCAAAAATATATAACATCTTTTTGAAGATATCGATTAAGAATTAAGTACTTTCAAACCTTGTAAAAATAAAGAACCATAGAGTAAACTTATGATAGCAGAAAAAATTTATTATTCAATTAAGTCAATAAAAAAAATAGGGTAATCATGCTTATATAATTTATTTGAACTTGAAATTTGTTTAAACTAATAAAGAGAACTATTGAAGATAATTTCAAATATTTTAAATTAAAATAAATAACATTTCTAAACTACAACATTAAAATTATACACTTCTTTGATCTCATCTATAAGCAAAATTGAATAGAAATATCAAGAAATTTTTCTTGGAAATGTTAATTAAATTCTTAAATTTTGGGTATAAATCTGTCATACAAAATCTATACTAAAAGATAGACTTCATGAATAAAATTTAACATAGATGCAAATTACAAAAGAAGAAAATAAATATGATGAAAAAAAGTTTATTGAATCCTCTCTCGCTATTATCAAATTTTTAGATTGGGTATTTAATGAATTATAAAAATTAAAAACAAATTCTTTGAATATATTAAAGTCAAATGAAATTAAGGAGTTTTTAAATGAAAAAATTTCCATGTCTAATTATAGTTAAAAAATTATAAATGTATATGACATTTATCTAATTAAAGCTTTAGTGAATGAATTAGATGAGTACTATTCTAAAAATTGGAATAAAAAGGAATAACTATTTCAAGTGTTTGAAGATTTTAGTAATAGTTTTATTGGCTGTAATTTCATCGTATCAGTTTTGAAATGTTTTAGAAATCTTCTTAATCTTCAAAAAAGAAAAATTAACACTTTTACTAGATAACAAAAATATTCTTCTGTGAATTAAAATTTCGAAGAAAATTTACAAACTTCGAACAATATTGATATTCTAAGTACTATAAAACTTATGATAACATAATAAAAAGATTTTCTAATTAACCTATCCAATAAATTCAAAAATTAAAAATTTAATGAAGAACATGCAAAGGCTTTGTAAAATGCAGCAAAAGAAATTTAAATGTGTATAAAATTAATTTAAAATTAAAATTGCTCGTAGGATTTAAAAACCAAATATATTTCATTTTTCTTTGAAACCGAAAATAAGATATTAACTGGCGAATTACTTAAATTGAATTTTGAAATAGTAGTGCAAGAAATAATTTAAATATTTGATAGTCAATTAGATAAAATGAATCTCAGATAAGAAATAGAGGGTTAAGAAATAATGAATTAAGTTAATGCCGATTTATCCAAAATAAATAAAGAAAATACTAATCTTATATTTAATCAAGAAGATCTATTTAATTCTGAATAACTAATATTTGATATTTCAGAGCTTATAATAAAATCATAAAAATTTTAAAGCATAATTTAAAAACGAATGTCAAACATCCATTTAAATTAATTTAAATCTCTATAAGAAACATTAGGGAATTCATTAATCATAAATTATATCAAAATCTAATTAGATATACAACTAGATTTGAATTAATGTTGTAGAAAGTTTTTGTTATTCTTACAAACTATTTTTGATTAAGAAAAATTAAAGAGTTTCTCCATATAAGAAACAATTCATTAAATTGAAGCTCTTTAAATAATTTTTAATAATAATAATTTATTTAATGAATAGATAATAGAAAATTCAGACTAAGGAGATTTTGATGATAAAAGATATATATCTTTTTTCAGGGAATTATAGAAAAACTTTTAGAATAGCGAAGAAAATGAAATTTTTGAAATCTTTTAGGATTCTTCAAATAAAGTTAGAGAATCTTTAGCATTTAATTTGATTAAATTGCAATCAATTGTGAATGAGGATAAAATTTAAGAATTTTGTTCAAATTTGTTGAAATAGCTTTGGATGATCGAAAAATAAGCTAGTGTTAGAAACATTTTAAAAAATAAAGAAATGATAGAAATGCAAAAAAAATTATTTTCTAGGAATCTTACAACTTTTTCAAATTAATTAAAAACTGAGATGCAAAAAAGATTAAAAAAATTAGAATAGTTAGAAACATTGGTTCTGTTAAGTGATAATTAAACAGAAACAAAAAATTAACTTTAATAAGCTTATGATGATTTTGAAATTTATCTTGATAATATCACAGAGATGTCACATAAAATGGATATTAGTTTAATTTTTTTAAGAGAAATAAGTAAAGATTTGAAAACAATAAAAAGTTCAATTAATTAAATTCTTCAAAGTGTAAAAGGAATTGAAGATGATGTAAGAAAGCTTAGAGGAAAAGATTATTTTGAATTATTACTTATCCGTAAAGATAAAGTATTGAAATATAAATAATAAGCTGAATTAGATTAGGTACATATTTAATTTACAACATAAGAATATGATCCTTCTTCAGGCTAAAAAATAGAAAATAAAAATGGAGCGATATTTTCATATTTAATAAAAAATCACTATAATGATTTTGAAGGAGAAATAAATGAATTTATATGGAAAGAAGAAGAAAAAAATAAAGATGTAATGCTTTTAAAAGGTAAAGCAGGTTCTGGTAAAAGTAGAGCTTCAAGGAATATTGAAGAATTCTTATGGATGAATGATTATATTTAACCTAATTGGATTCCTATTTATATTTCACTTCCATAATTAAATGATCCTAGACATAATTTAATTGATTAAGCATTAGAATCCTCAAATTATAATTTTGATAAAATTTAGATTAGAGAATTCAAAGAAGCGGTAATTAATGGTAAAATAAAAATTGTTTTAATTTTGGAAAGTTATGATGAGATGAAGTTTGAATATATTTAGACTAATTTATTTTATAGTAATCGACTTAATTAAGAATTAAATATCTTAATACCTGGAAAAGATGTCAAAATAATAATTACTACAAGAAATGAGATTTTAACGTCAATTGGATATTAAACATGGTTTTATGGATAAAATATTAAAACTTTAAAAGAAGTTGAATTACTTTTATTTACTACAGAATAGAGTGCTGAATATCTTAAATAATATACTGAAATAAGTGTAAAAAGAACAATTAAGCAATTTTATGAATTTTTGAAATAATTAAAAAATTAGAATTTTTGCTTAGATGAATTTAAAACAATATGGAATCAAATTTATTCTAGTGTTTAAGGAATAATAAATTAGAGTAAAAATTAAGAAATGATTTTTAAAATTGAAGATGTAGAAAAATTGATATCAAAACTTTAAAAAATAGAATTTTTTAGTTATATAAAAGGAGATCAAATGGTATCTTTGAAAAAGGAACTTCTTGAATTATGGGGACATGAAAAATTTACATAAGTAATTAGGAATGTTAATATTAATCATTTATTAAGCACACCTTTTATGATGGAAATAATTGTTTATGTACTTCCTAAAATGTCTTTAATATTTTCTGAAGCAAATTTCTTAAGAGAACTTTTGAAAAAAAATTATATGTTTTTGAAAATGGAAGCCTTCAAATCAGAATCAAGAACTATTAAATATGAATAATAATAAAAAAAATTAGAAAATATTGATGATATTGAAAATTAACAATAAAAAATTTAAGATATACAGAACCCAATAATAGTTATATAAAATATTTAAAATTAATTTGAAATGCTTGTAGAAGAATTAGAGGGTTAAAATTTTTTTGAATTTTATTCTATTGCTCATTAAATTGATTTTTATGAACATACTAAAATTTTAACGGGAAAAACATTTAATGTTACTAAGGATGCAAAATTTATTGTTACAGCATTCAAAATGAATTAATTTACTGCATATGATTTTTATGAAACATTTGTAAACTTTTATCATACATTACAATTATAAAAATGGAAGGATTTAGGCAAAATAATAAATTATGAGAGTAGTTTAATAGATTTAAATGAATTTTCTTTATATTTAGCGATTGATATGACGCTTAATTAAAAGACATAAGTTAATTATGTATAAAAAGGGAAATTATGTATATAATCAACTCAAGATGATGAGGGAAAAGTAAATGCCACTTGGGAAGAATATTATTTCGATGAAAATAATGATGAATAACAATATAAAAGTTTATTACGGAAATGTATGTTGATTAATGCAAAAGGCAATGTTTATTCTTTTAACCATAAATCGATACAGGAATTTTTAGTTGCTAAATATATACTAACATTTTTACAAAAGATTACTCATCCGGAATCAATAACAATATTTTTGGAAATCTTAAGAAAAAATAAATTCAATAAAACTCAATTTAACATTTCATTAGACCACTTTTCTGGTACATTAGAATTATTGATACCTAAACTAAAGTAGATAACTAATTTAAAACATTTTCTTATTTAAATAATATAGGCTACTTCAGAAAAAGAAGAAAAAAAATATAATTTAACACCAATAGCTTCAAATGCCATTTATTTATTGAGTATACTTGGTGAAAATTTAGATAATATAAACTTAAGCAATATATGTATTTCTAACACAAAATTAAATGGACTTAACTTCTTTTAAAGTAATTTAAGTTAATCAAAATTTGATAATGTTTCAATAGAGATGTGTAATTTTAATTGTACTAGTATTGAAAATGCAGAATGGAATAATTTAATATGTAAAGATAAACCTTAACTTAATGGTCATACTTAATTAATTACTAGTATAGTTTTTACAAAGGATGGTAAATATTTAATATCAGGAAGTGAAGATAATACTCTTAGAAAATGGGAAGTTTATGGAGATAAAATGATGATTTCTTAATTTATAAAAGAGAAAGTTCGTTCAATTTTTATACCTAGAGATTAAGACGTTTTAACATGTTTAACTGATGAAACAATTTATTTATTAAATCTTTAGGATTTAAGTTTAATTAGATAATTGCCACTAATAAATTATAATTATTAGAATATGCTTTTCGCTTCTGATTTGAGTTATGTTGCGATTTAAAATGATTCTAATAAAATCTCAATATTTGAAATGAAAAGTTTAGATTAGAATTTAAAATATTAGAATCACATATCTTAATTTAAAATTTAAATCTATATTAAGTGCATAGCAGTGAATTCTACTTTTAAAATACTTGCTACTGGAGGTAAGAAACTTCACTTATGGAAAATTAATGGTTTATCTGATATTGAAGAGATGGCTGTTATAGATAAACATGTTATAACATTAGCTTTTTCACCTAATGAATAAGTACTTGCAACAGCCGATTATTATAAGATATATTTTTGGAATGTGTAAAATCTTAAATAAATTGAACTATTATTTTCAATTTCTTCTATTTATTCAATTAGCAGAGTTGAATATTCTAAAAATGGAAAATATTTTGCCTTTAGTAATGAAAAATAGTTAAAATTATATTAATCTGAAAATATTATGTAATAATAAGATTATTTTGATTTTTAAGTGTTTAATTAAAATACTGATAGCTAAATTAGTGCAATAGAAATATTTCCTGATTGTAAAAAGTTAATAATAAATAGTTTTAAGGAGTAATCAATAATCAGCATATGGGATATACAAGATTTGTCATAAATTTATTAAATCACAACTCTGCCTGAAATTTCTATGAAAATTATAAAATTAAAATTGAGTGCAAATGGCAAAATATTATTATCAGTATGTAATGCTGGATCAATAATAATTTGGGATTTAGAAGATTCTAAAATCTTAAGCACAATTAAGACACAATAAGAAATTTACAGTATTACTATTGCTACTGATTTATAATTATTTGCAACAAGTAATAATGATAAAACAATAATTATATGGGATATTTCAAATAAATCTTAGCCATAAAATGTTTTTACTTTTAATTTATAAGAGAACTGGGGAATTGCTGAAATCTGTCCATTTTCTAATATATTAGTTTCATTTAATAATTATTATGCCTTTAAATTAGGTATATAACTTTGGGATATAAATAAGAAAATCAAGATTTCTACTCTTCTTGAGAATGAATTCTTGTAGAGTCTTTGTTTTGATAATGAAGGTGTATTTATGGCAACTTTTACACAATGTTTAACAATTTGGGAAAGAAATGATTAAACATTTTAAAAGTAAAGGTCTTTTAAATTTGAATGTAATTATATAAAGCAATGTATTTTTAAAAATACAGAAAATTTATTGATATATAAAAGCGACGATTCCAATATAATAGAAATTTCTTTAACTAATTAAGAAAAAATTGTATAAAATGTTAAATCTCAAATATAAATCTATAGTGACCGAATAATTATTCATTAGAAATTTATTGTATTATTTTCATCTAATGTAGTTGGGATATAGTTAATTGATAACCTTAATCATTTTGAAAAATGTGAAAGCAGTAATGTTAAGGGTTATTGTTTTTCACATAATTCTGAATACTTGGCAATATCACTTTATCCTGAATAAACTTATTTATAATTGATAAATAAAAATTAAAAGATATTGATTAATAATATATTATCTGAATTCATCTAATTTAACTAAAATGACTTATTGTTAATACTTTATCATTAAGATACCAGTAACATTATTATATATAATATTGAGGATATTGAAAAAATATATTAAATTGCGAATATTTAATTGCCTTACAAACCTATATAAATTTGTTTTTTAAATTAAACTTAATAAATTATGGTTCTTAATGAACATTTTATAACATTGCATGATATAAATAATTTATCAGTTTCCAAGATTTGTTAATTAAGCAAAGCAAAATAAAAATAATCAAATTTAATTATAACTCCAAATGAAGAATATTTTGGTTTTGTATTAGATGATTAAATTTGTTTTTAATCCCTTTTCAACTACATTGAAATGACATATTACTAAAAATTTAACAATAAAATTTTATACAATAGCTTTTCAGCTGATAATAAACTATTTTATATAATTGATTAAAAATCAAATTTTATTCAAATAGATCTAAATTCTAAAAAAAAAATAGAAGATAATTTAGAATTTGGATATATTAATATCTTAACCCTTAACTGGTAAGGGACTGAGGCTATTTTTAATCGTTCTAATTCATAATTAGAATCCAATAAACTATTATTAGCTGATATAAAAGCAAAGAAGGAAGTATAAATTATTGAGAATATCCATATAGATATTGAATATAGAAAAATAATATTTTCTGCAGATGAAAAGAATTTTATGACAGGATACTAAGATTAAACAATTAAATATTGGGATAAAAAGTCTTGTAAGCTCCTATATTTATTCAAAAGCAACAAATAAATATAATAGATATAACTTTCATCATAAGGAATCCTGGCTTAAACAGGTTAAGATAAAATATTGCTATGGAATCTAAAAGTTGTTAAATAAGAGAAAGTTTAAATGGATGGACATTCTAAATAAATAACAATACTCTTAATTTCACCTGATGGCCTATAATTGATTGCTCGTTCTGATGATCTCTTAAGTCGATGGGATTTATTAGAAATGAAAAGACTAAATTTTGAAATTAATGAATCAAAAATTCCATATAAATTTTGTTTCTCATAAGATAGTCANTAGTTGGGATATAGTTAATTGATAACCTTAATCATTTTGAAAAATGTGAAAGCAGTAATGTTAAGGGTTATTGTTTTTCACATAATTCTGAATACTTGGCAATATCACTTTATCCTGAATAAACTTATTTATAATTGATAAATAAAAATTAAAAGATATTGATTAATAATATATTATCTGAATTCATCTAATTTAACTAAAATGACTTATTGTTAATACTTTATCATTAAGATACCAGTAACATTATTATATATAATATTGAGGATATTGAAAAAATATATTAAATTGCGAATATTTAATTGCCTTACAAACCTATATAAATTTGTTTTTTAAATTAAACTTAATAAATTATGGTTCTTAATGAACATTTTATAACATTGCATGATATAAATAATTTATCAGTTTCCAAGATTTGTTAATTAAGCAAAGCAAAATAAAAATAATCAAATTTAATTATAACTCCAAATGAAGAATATTTTGGTTTTGTATTAGATGATTAAATTTGTTTTTAATCCCTTTTCAACTACATTGAAATGACATATTACTAAAAATTTAACAATAAAATTTTATACAATAGCTTTTCAGCTGATAATAAACTATTTTATATAATTGATTAAAAATCAAATTTTATTCAAATAGATCTAAATTCTAAAAAAAAAATAGAAGATAATTTAGAATTTGGATATATTAATATCTTAACCCTTAACTGGTAAGGGACTGAGGCTATTTTTAATCGTTCTAATTCATAATTAGAATCCAATAAACTATTATTAGCTGATATAAAAGCAAAGAAGGAAGTATAAATTATTGAGAATATCCATATAGATATTGAATATAGAAAAATAATATTTTCTGCAGATGAAAAGAATTTTATGACAGGATACTAAGATTAAACAATTAAATATTGGGATAAAAAGTCTTGTAAGCTCCTATATTTATTCAAAAGCAACAAATAAATATAATAGATATAACTTTCATCATAAGGAATCCTGGCTTAAACAGGTTAAGATAAAATATTGCTATGGAATCTAAAAGTTGTTAAATAAGAGAAAGTTTAAATGGATGGACATTCTAAATAAATAACAATACTCTTAATTTCACCTGATGGCCTATAATTGATTGCTCGTTCTGATGATCTCTTAAGTCGATGGGATTTATTAGAAATGAAAAGACTAAATTTTGAAATTAATGAATCAAAAATTCCATATAAATTTTGTTTCTCATAAGATAGTCAATATTTAGCTGCTGTAGATTGGTACGCCTTTTATTTGTGGAAATTTAACTCAAAACATATGATTGGGAGATATTGTAAATTGTATTTTGATTGTCTTTTTAATTTTGAATTTAACAGATTAAATAATTCTTTAATTTTTACTAAGAATGAATTAATTATAAAATGGGACGTATAAAAAATTGAGAATTTAAATATATAACCATTTATTTAAGATTAATCTCAATGTTTTTGTGAATTTATATTTTCATCATGTGCTGAATCGTATGTATCTACTAATCCACTTTAAATAGTATACATTGATGATAAAGGTTAACAATAATTTTAAAAATTGAAACTAAATTAAGATATTAAAGTTGGTGTTATAGCATTATCCTAAGACTGTAAAAGATTGGCTCTAGTGAATTAAATTAACAATTCAATAATTTTATTAGAAGTTGAAAATAATTAATAAAAATTATTAATTGATGAAGAATGTAGCAATACTAAAATTCTATCTATGACTTTTTCAGAAAATGATAAATTATTATTCTCATGTCATGAAGATGATAAACTTAGACTTTGGGATGTTTAAGATAAATTTATTTTAATTTAAAAAATAAATGCTCCATACCAATGTGTATTTACAGAACCATTTGGTGTTGCATATTGCTAAACAATAAGAACATTTCCAGAGAAGAATGATGAATTTCTCATTTTTTGGGCAGCTACTGTAAATTGTTATTCAGATTGGGCTTATGAAATGAATGTATATTATTATCTTAAAGGAGAAAAAAAAGTGCTTAAAGATGCAGGACACCAGGATGCAGAATCTCTAAGTGCAGCATATTCAAGTTAAAAATAATTATTGGCAATTTAAAGGATTAGAAATCTTCAAATATATAATTTAGGTTCAAATGAATTGATATTAAATATTAAGTGTGATGAGGCATATAAAAATAATATTTCAACTCTACTTTCATTTTCACCAGATGGTAACATATTGTTAGGGTTAAGTGAGAATAATAGAATAAATTATTGGGATCTTACTGATAATTAAATCATTAAATTAAAATGGAATCTAAATTAAATTGTAAAAGCTAATGCTATTGTTTATGTACCTACTAAAAATGTCATCAGAATTCTAGGATAGGATAATATGATATATGATTTACATAAAACAGAATTTGTTGAAATGTGTCAAATAAGTAAAATCAAAACTGAAATTAAAGTTAATAATGAAAAAAAATAATATCAATCATAAAATTACACTATTTCATTTAATGAAAAATAATTAGAAATATTTGAAAGAAAAACTTAATAGTTGAAATATACATTGGATTCCTTTTTCTCAGGTATAAGATGTTTATCTGAAAGTCCTTGCGGATTCTAATTTTTTTTGGGAATGTAAGATGGATCAATATTATGTTATAAAATAGAAGAAGAACTTTTAAATAAATATACTAAACCAGTTTGCTATAAAGTCATTTCCAATATTCCTTTCTTCTATGCAGAACTTTGTAATATCAATAATTCTAAATTTTATTCAAAAGACAATGAAAATTTAAATAGATTATTTATATAGAAAGGAGCGATTGAATAAAAAGAAGCCATTTGATTATTTGAGATTTTTACAAAAATATTCATATTAATATTCTAATTTTATTGGTCTATTTAGCTTTAATATTCTCTTTCTTTATTTTTACATCCCTCTACTGTTAATTCCATGTGGCTATTATTCATTTATTCTCCATCCATGATTTTATTTATATGAAGTAAAGTAATTTTACAAAAGTAAATCAGCATCTTTTTATATCTCATTGCTTTCCTCATTCTCGTCTTGTAAGTTGGGATATACTTATATTATTTCATTAATTGTTTTTGAAGATTCTTCTATTGTCCACCTAATTAAATAGATTCTATTCTTTTAAGGAAGGAAGATCATCTTTTTTTTATATGATGTAATTCATCAAACATTTATAATTTAGTTCTTTGATTATTTTCAATTTTTCTCTTTAAATTCAAACGATATTTATATATCTAATTCAAAAAAATCTCTTCATTTATTAAATAAACATTAAATTGCTCCAATAATAATTAATCTTTATACAAATAAAAATAGATATAAATACTAATAAAATTTTAGTTATAAGAAAAATTAAATAGTCAAATAAAATAATAAAGCATAATATTGTGAATGATTTTAAGCTAAAATAATAAGAACCATAAAAATCTATTTTTATTAACATTTGTAGTTGAATAATAATAATAATTCATTGACAAATTCTTGAGAGATTCAAAAAATAATTATTTTATTCAGCCTATATGTTTAAAATTAAAATTTTTTAATTCCAAAAGTTAAATAATAACTAAAATGATATAAGAATAGATTTTATTTATTAATAAAATTTTTATTTAGTTTTCTAATTTAATTCCTTTAAGTTTATTTTTCATTTCTGATTATTTACATTTTTAGAAATTTTTTAAGAATAAAATAAATTATATTATTCAAATCTTAAAGGAAAAAAATAAGTAGAAACTAGGAGTAAATATTTTTCTTTGAATTCAGATTTTTTTTACCCTCATTAAATTTTTCAAAAATTATTAATAAATAGGAATATTTTGTTTTTTCTAAATTTTTAACATTTTGAATAAGAAAAAATTTAATAAATAATGAAGGTATTTAATATTATATATTAAAGTTAATATTATAAGCAATTGATTATATGCATTCTCAGGGAATAATGCATAGGCATTTGAAGCCAGAAAATATTATGTTTAAATAACCTGATTAATTATAATCCTTAAAAATAGTAGATTTTGGTTTAGCCACTCTATAAAATTTAGATATATATCTATTTCCTAGATGTGGTACACTTGGATATGTGGCACCAGAAATTGCTAATTTAGGAGAAACATTTTAAAAATATTCTGTACTTTGTGATGAATTTAGTGTAGGCTGCATTTTTTATAAACTGTATTTTTTTTATAATTTGAAGATGTACAGGAAAAGAAATCTTTCCTGGAAATGATAACTCAGTAATTATGAAATTAAATTAATAATGTGACATTATTTTAGATGCGCTAAACACAGATCAAACACCATCAGAAGCTATTGATTTATTATCAAAATTACTTAAAGTAAACCCATAAGAAAGAATTAGTGCCAAAGATGCATTATAACATCCATATTTCTAATAATAATACTAAGCTTAAAATCCTTAATTCTCTAATATTTCACAATAAAACTCTGAGCTTTAAGCTTAAAATTAAAATTAAAAAATAATTAATATTGGTTAATAAAATTTTGAAGCAGTAATTATTGAAAACTAAAATGCAAAATAATTAAGCATACCTGCTCCAACAATTATAAAATAATTTAAATATTAATAAAACAATTCTTTTTCAACTTAAAATCCTCAAAATATAGAAATATAAACTTATTATAGTCCCAAGAATCCGATCAGAACAACGAGATAACTTTTTCGAGATTTAATAATGTTTAACCATCTTTAGTCAAATATACAGATATATAGAACAATGTGAAAACCTTTCAAAGTAATTAAGTAGAAAATGTTTGTGTTTCTGAGGCAATCAATTTTATAAGCCAAATTGAATAGAAGAAAGACGGAGAAGAACTAATGTAGAAATGATTAAATGTTAATTAAGTATTTGATAATTGGCAACTTTTTTCACTTTTAATCTTTTTAATATTAAATAGTTTTTAATTAACCTTAAGGAAATAATTAGACAATCATTTCTATTATAAAAGGAGTAAACAGTAGATGATTAATATTTAAATTTTCAATTATTTATGAAATTTTTATTTACTCCAAAATTAGGAAGCCTTTCTTTAACCAAAAAAATTAATCTGTTTTCATAAAATTATAAAAATTAAACTACTAAAGTTTATTAAGGTAATCTCTTTGCATCAATATTTGAAAAGATACCATCAAAAGAATCTATAATACCTTCTAGATTTGACCATATTTACTTAAATTCATGTATTTCTATGCTAATCCTTTTAATTATTTTAAAAATTTGTAAAATCTTTTTATTTTCTTTTGATGGTTATTTGAATATAGATTTTAATATATTGTTAACTTTATTAACGAATAAATGAAACTTATTCTACTTTAAACAATAGAACCATAAAACTATATTTGATATCCAATAGATGTTAATATTTGTTCTCTTGTTGTTCTTTAATATTTTTCTAACACTATCATGTTTTTCNTCTAATAATAATACTAAGCTTAAAATCCTTAATTCTCTAATATTTCACAATAAAACTCTGAGCTTTAAGCTTAAAATTAAAATTAAAAAATAATTAATATTGGTTAATAAAATTTTGAAGCAGTAATTATTGAAAACTAAAATGCAAAATAATTAAGCATACCTGCTCCAACAATTATAAAATAATTTAAATATTAATAAAACAATTCTTTTTCAACTTAAAATCCTCAAAATATAGAAATATAAACTTATTATAGTCCCAAGAATCCGATCAGAACAACGAGATAACTTTTTCGAGATTTAATAATGTTTAACCATCTTTAGTCAAATATACAGATATATAGAACAATGTGAAAACCTTTCAAAGTAATTAAGTAGAAAATGTTTGTGTTTCTGAGGCAATCAATTTTATAAGCCAAATTGAATAGAAGAAAGACGGAGAAGAACTAATGTAGAAATGATTAAATGTTAATTAAGTATTTGATAATTGGCAACTTTTTTCACTTTTAATCTTTTTAATATTAAATAGTTTTTAATTAACCTTAAGGAAATAATTAGACAATCATTTCTATTATAAAAGGAGTAAACAGTAGATGATTAATATTTAAATTTTCAATTATTTATGAAATTTTTATTTACTCCAAAATTAGGAAGCCTTTCTTTAACCAAAAAAATTAATCTGTTTTCATAAAATTATAAAAATTAAACTACTAAAGTTTATTAAGGTAATCTCTTTGCATCAATATTTGAAAAGATACCATCAAAGGAATCTATAATACCTTCTAGATTTGACCATATTTACTTAAATTCATGTATTTCTATGCTAATCCTTTTAATTATTTTAAAAATTTGTAAAATCTTTTTATTTTCTTTTGATGGTTATTTGAATATAGATTTTAATATATTGTTAACTTTATTAACGAATAAATGAAACTTATTCTACTTTAAACAATAGAACCATAAAACTATATTTGATATCCAATAGATGTTAATATTTGTTCTCTTGTTGTTCTTTAATATTTTTCTAACACTATCATGTTTTTCTATTATTCAAAGTATTTTAGAGTTATGATTAGAATTCTTTTTTTGAGATTCTAAAACAACTGACTATTTGAGATTCTAAAACAACTGACTATATCTTTATAAATTAAAGCTAATGATTCTCTAAGCTTATATGAAGAATTTCCAAACACATCTATAAGTTTTCTTCCTTATTTAGAAATAAGATCTTTCTTAATTCTTAAAGAAACAAAGAGAATTTTTTATAATCTAATTTATCTCTAAAAGTTCTATCATCTATCATCTAACAAGGTTAGTGTATTAAATAAAATGATACTAGCTTTTATTTTTTAATTAAAACTTTATGTTGTAAATAATTATTGATTTATAGACTTTATGAACAAACTCTAATATTAATTATTAATGCCCTTACGACAATTTAACTGTTATATTTTTTTAATAAATTCATTTAATTTTTATTGAAAATTTTCTCAATTTGTTGATTCTAATATAGAACTTTTCGGTATCGATTAAGATAAACTAACATTCATATATATTTTTATTGAATAACGTTTATAAGAATTTTCAGTCAAAATTTTTATCTTTTAAATTACTACTTCCAAATTAAATTATTGATCTTGGAATTATCTAATCATTTTATTCTTCTTTATCAATAATAATTGTTTATAAAGATAAATTACAGAAATTGGTTTAAAGAAAATAGTCAGTTAATTATTAATTAAATTTTAAAATCAATAATTTAGTCACAATTTCCTAAAACAAAATAGTTAAAGATTTATATAATTCTGATCGCCAATTTTGGAATTATATTTTTTTAATCCAAATTAATATACTGATTTTTTTAATTCGCTTATAATCTTAAACCATGATTCAAATTGAATTAGACCATATAAATATTTATAATTTTCAATTAGTTTAGAATTGAATGTCGTTATTTAAAAAAATGGTTGATATTAATTAAAGAAGCTTTATAAATCATTAACTGTCCTAAAAATATATTTTATAAATTTGAAATTCTTCCTGAAAATAAATAAAAACCTTTTAATTGAATTTATTATCAGTATAACCCTTCCTTTAAGAAATATATCAATGCTTTATGTTCATAAATCAGACATGAACTGATAAATTTTCCCCAAAATAAGAATCACCCATAATATTTTGAAACAATTGTCTTTTGTTTGGAAATTCACAACTATTAATCAATTTTCCATCAAAGGAAAATGAATTAACTATAAATTTAGCAGCTATTTAATATTTCTTATTAGTTATAGTTGAGAAATATACATACTTATTTTAGTTTGTATTATTATTAGTCCAATTTTATATCATCTTCTATTACTATCTTGTTCATAAACTAATATTTTCATAATTATTAATATTAGCTTATAAAACATAATCTGTTGATAAATATTAAGACCAAAACCTATAGCCATAGGGGTATTATTTGATCATGTTCTAATAAGCAATCTTTCAAAGTAGTTGGATTACTTTGTTTTGTTTCTCTAATAAATGAGAGCAATAAAAAAGCATGTCAATTAGCACAAAATCATCCATTAAATTGATAATATTAATATTATATAAATATATATTTATTACTATTTTTATATCAACGGGTTTTTTTTGTTACTACTTAAAATATACTCTAATTAACTAGAACCTTTTTTATCTTTATTAAATAGATGCTTTGGAATATTT